GAAGACACTGGCTATAAATGTAATGGAGCTAATGAGTCAATGTCATATCCTGGGTCGATAACTTCATAAAGATAACTCACAGATATAGAAAAACTAGCATAAGCTATGTAGTCAGGCCAGGTCGAACTCCAACTCTACATCTCTTCATTCATCTATCCATTATTTTCTACAGTGCTGTATCCAAATGTTTATGCCCCAATGAGCCATATAAAACCTTTTATCAAGAACAAAAGGATATTAGGAGAAGGGGGAAATAATGGACTATCTGCTAAAGAATTTACAGCACACTTTTGACATGGAAAGCAGGAGACGATTGTTTTGTTATCCTTTTAACCTCCCTTTTTTAAACTCATCCACTGTACACTTCCGTTACTCAAAATGTGCAATAATACATTAGGTACCATCATGGCATGCCTGATAATTTACTTCATACATCGTCACAAAGTTCGTCACAGAATAGAATTGTTATAGAATAACACAATACAACATTGTCATAAATTAGATTCAGTCTGGGTCTGTCTAGTTTTTCTTATTTGGAACTCTACTCTTCCCGATTTGCACATTGTCGACATGCATCATTCAGCAGCATAAGAGACAACTGAATCAGTTTACTTCCCCCATCATTCAGTAAACAGAAGGATCACAGAACCATGCGCACATTTGCTCTGGTTATTCATATCCTGTCTTAAGTTTCCAGTTTCCTTGTTGCAACCATGCCAATAAACACTAAAAAAAATTTGGGGCTTTCCGATTGTTAGCTGAATACGAGACCCTCCCTATTAAGTGAAAATCTCATCTTAAATGCCCTGGGGTGAATTCAGGATAATGTTCAAGCTCCAGTATGTTACTGAGGAAAAGTCAGTCAGTTAGAGCAGCTTTAGGAATAGGCTTCTGCCTCCAGGAGAGGAATAATGCCAAACTCAAATGAAGGAAAACCAAGGGGTACATGCATTTAAAGTGGGAGGAAAATCTAGAATAGATAGAATAAATTCATGCAGGCCTGAATATTTCAGACCAAGTCTCTTACTTCCTGAGCCTTAATTGTATTTAATGCTGGCTTATTACATTTACATTAGTCTGGATGAGACCCAATAAAAACTAACCTCATATCCTGTAGTTAACTTGGATACCAAAGCAATACTTCTGCTAATCATAATAGCATTCTGTGCTAGGCAATTTCACTAGTTCATCATGTTTCACTACTATTATAATTTACATTTGTATAGTGCTTTTTGTGAGTCATCCTGGCTCAGTGGTAGCACTCTCACCTCTGAATGAGAAGATTGTGGGTTCAAGTCCTATATTCAGGTGGACGTTAAAGATCCCATGACACTACTTGAAAAAGGAAGGGTCTTTCTCCTGGTGTTCTGGCCAACAATGCCCCAAATTGGTTATTAATTTCACAGCTGTTTGTGGGACATTGCTGTGCACAATTGGACTGCCATGTTCACCTAGAAATAGAGTCACTCCATTTTACAGTTAAATCTTGTGAAGCACTTTGGGACATCCTCCTGTAGTGAAATGCAAAGATTATTATTACGTTTCACTTCAGAAGGATGCCTCAAAGTGCTCGACACTGCTGACTGGATATCCTGCTAGGAGTAAGAGCCAAAAGGTGGTGGGAAGGGGAAAGATGACTGAAAACACGGTTAAAAAGGTACATCTTGAGATGGGTCTTGACTGGGGGGAGGCAACAAGTGAACATACTAACAGCCAAATAAGTCACCAAGTATCTGAAACAAACAGAACTCTTGAAAGGACCAACTCTTTGTAGTATTAATATCTAACTGTAGTGACACAAAACAGATTAAAACATAGTATTCATGTTGTGTGGATTCAAGAAACTCCAATATTAAAACGAAAGAGGCTTAGTTCCGCCACTAGGCCTTCTTTTCCCTATATCCTGTAAAGAGGCATTGAAATGACTGATGAATTCCTGTATTCTTATGATTAAATAAACGCAAAATAAACAAGATGAAAAACAAACTGAAAACAGTGTAAAGAGTCAAAGGTTCTCAAATTATCTGTACTGGAATATTGTCGTAGGTTGGTATTGTGAAAACACAAATGGTCAGATCTGTTACCATGATACAATAAAAGGAACAAATCAATATGTTCTTGAGTGGTTGAGGCTATGTTAACAGAATGGGAAATAAAATGGAATACGTAATATCATACCAATCAAAGGTAGTTTCTACCGGACATAGTTGAAACCTTTGGCATTTCAGAAGCGCTGCCTTCCAATGTTGCTAATCACCATCAAGGATGACACTCTGCGATACAACAACTTGCACTTATATAGGGTTCTCCTCACAGGGTACCGTCTCAGAGGTGCCAAGTTGACTGCACTCAGTTCCGAATTAGCCATTTATGGCATTAAATGTGGCCTCAGCATCATGAATAATGGGAATAAATCAGCTAGAGTTCTCACTCTCACCTCCTGAAAAATTATGCCATGTGTGCAACAATCAGGTAAGGATAGAATTGGGATTGGCTATAATGCCTCAAGTTCAAATAGTCGTCAACACCTATTGCCTAGCATTACATAATAAATAGATACTTGGGCCAAGAAAATTAGCATTTCAAAATGAGAACATTTCAGTCATCAAAGCACTAGAGGCAACCAAACACTGAAATGTCATCTGGCCTGCCCATTAAAGCATAGGATCTAGGTTTCCTCTCCATATATTGTAAAAATCACTTCACCATAAGAAGATATCAATAATTAAGCTGGAAGAGCAGAGATAAGTCATCACAGACGCATCCCATCAGCCCTTCATATTCCTCCCCCTCCCCAGCAAATATTCTAGAAGTGGACATGTGGGGAAAAATAGAATGTTTACACGTGCTAGATAAGACAACTGTGAATAATGTTGACATAAATCAAATGTGACCCATCTGCGTAAAACTGGAAATTACCTCAAATTAACGTAACTGTTAATTGACTTATATAACATATGAATACATTCATTTGACTTCTGCTTATTATTTTTATTTGTCCCCTCTCCCATCACTTTTTCATTCTCAGTACTTCCTTTACACCTCACACTAGGGCATCTAATGGGTGACAAAATCTGCAGCATAAAGGCCTTTCCTGAGCATCACAAGACTGGAAATCTTTGAACTAATCAAAAAACAATAGTAGTCACACTGTCCTCCTGGTTCTGGGTATGTTAATTCTGGAAACAATGGTTAACAGATTTGAATACCACCAATTTATACCAATTGATGTACTGGAAAGTGTGCTACTTCTGTTGAAATATTACATTAATTTGTACTTGCAAGGCATTATAAAACTCACTAGCTACTTCACCGCTACGTTATTGGGTATCATCCCCTGTGCAATCATGAACTGTATTTTATAATCACCATCAATTCTTCTGTGTAAAAATCAATATCAAAAATGGCCTAATATTCCAATCTAATTATCCTAAATAAATCGTGATGCATGCAATATTTTTAATATGTCTCCTGAATCCCATTACTAAACATTGTTGAAGTAACAAACTGGAATAACATAACATAACATGCAATGGATAGATGTGTATTGTCCTATTTCCAGTTTTCTACGAAGCATAGAACTGCTTCATTTTCAGAAGTATAAAGACTATATTAACACAAGAACCAGTGCCAATTATTGTAGTTTCAGAAGTTTAATTTATTGCCAAACTTTTTTTGTATAATAATAATTTCAGCCTAAATGTCATACGTTTATACAACCAGCAGGCAAATGTTGATGCATCAAATCACAACAGAGTAATTTTACAGACAAAAAAGATATTCCTCTTCCCCTCCTCCTTAGCTGTACACCCCAAGATCATGTTTACCACAACAATGTATAAAGTTTCTTCTTGAATATTGCTAAGTGGCAGGGAGGTTAGCAGGGAGAGATAAACCATTGCCAGTCTGGGTATGAATCAAAATGCCAAGTCTATAGGCAATACATGCTTTGTACAATAAGATTTGTACAAGTGGAAGAAAGCATTCAAAGAAAATCCCCAAAACTCAATAACACTTCAATGCAATGCTGGCAGTTGCTGCATTGCTATCCTTCAGGTGAGACGTTAAATCAAGTTACCATCTGCTGGTTCTAAGAAACGTTAAAGATCCCATGGCACTATTCAAAAAGAGAAGCAAGTTTCTCCTGGTGTCCTGGCCAACAGTCCACCAGATTAGTCATTTACTTCATGGCTGTTTGTGGGGCGCCCTTGTGTAGAAATTGGCTGCCAAAACACGCTCTACAGTAAATCTTGTGGAAAAGCTTTGAGACGTCCTCTCAACATGAAAGGCACTATATCAAAACCAAGGATCGTTATTTTACTATTCCGAGGTTTCAGAAATCAGACGATGAGCTTTGAAATGACAGAACCGTGTAGATGCGTTAATTTCCTGTTTATTTCACGTGGAGTGATTCATGTCCCATTCTACGCCACCATTACCTGTGTAACGACTGACACTCCCTTTCAACAATTTCCACCCGTGTGTATTTGCTATTTTTTCTTCAAATAAAAAGGCATGTACGTGTGCAACACAGCACAAATCACGGCCAGTCACGCCATACCCCCGCCGCACTCCTCGGAGGAATTCACAGCAGATCGACGCAAAGATTAACTGGTTGAGAAATAATAACTGTATATGGGGAGGGAGGGGGGGGGGGATGCTGCGATGTGTGTGTGTGTGTGTGTGTGTGTGGGGGGGGGGGGGGGGGGGAGACGGCCGGTCAATGGACAGGCAAACAGAACCAAGTCAGGAATAAAATCACGTCGCTAAATCACGAGAAGGCACCGAACCCAACTCACAGTCGGGTCCTTGTGAACTTCCACTTCCCAGTCTTAACACAGGCAGCGGGTTTCAGCCCTAATGGTCGGATTAAACTGACTAAACTGGCTGTGGCGGCGCAGATAAGACACACACACACACACACACACACAATTCCTGCCACAGTACGAGCTGTGTACGAATACCCGCCGCCGGTTACCGTCTCCCTCTCCCTCTCTTACCTCCTGGTACTGGTTGTCCTCGGGCTCGAAGTCGCTGCTGACCGTCTCCAGCTGGACAGTGACATGCGGGAGACGGTGGAGGAGCTTCACCCACCAGGGAGGGGAATAATTCACCGCCGCCATCGGGAAGAACCCGCTCACAGACTGAACCTTAAAGGAAAGTGGGGGGGAGGGGGGTGGCTGAGTGTGTGGGGGGGGAAGGGGGGGCAAGAGAGGGAGAGGGGGGGAAGAGGAAGGTGGGAGGTAAAACGATCCTCACTCCATAGCGCTACGAGAAAGGGAGGGAAGGGAATTCGTTCGCGATTCCCCCTTCCCCTAACCCCCCCCCCCTTACCCCCTCCGCCAAGTGAAAACCAGTGGGCGATTGAAGGATGGGAAGAGTCTGGATTCTCGTCGGACGAATGAAGATTCCCGGCGTCGGTGGATTCCTCCCGATTTGTTATGGTGTCTGTAATGTTGTGTGTGGAGTGTGGAGGGAGAGGGGGGGGGTGCGTAGGATGCGATGATGATGATGGTGGTGGTGGTGGTGGTGGGGGCAAGGAAGGAAGGAAGGTTGTTTTGCCCTTTGCCGTCAGTTAACGTAAAATAATTAAATCCTCGGGATATGGCGGACGACTCTCTTTCTCTTTCCGCGGGTTTGTTTGGTGGTTGTTTTGAGTGTTCGTTTCTCCTCCTCCTCCTCTTCCTTCCTCTCCTCCTCTCTTTCTTCCTTCCTTCCTCCCTTCCTCCCTCGTTCCTCTTCTCACGGCAAACAAATCCCTTTCTTTCCCTCCCCACCTCCTCCCCCCTCGCCCTCAAACCCGAGAGGAGATCGATCACCACCTCAGTCGGGTCACCTCACGGCCGTCGCTCGGACGAACGATAAATCACACTCACGCGCGAGAGGGGAAAAAAAATGGGGTCGCGAGGAGAGAGGAAGAGAGAGAGAGAGAGAAGAGAAGGGGGAAAAAAGAAAAATGTGGGGGGTGGGGGGGAGGTGTGTAAAAACAAAACACACAAGGAATATTTTTTTCTCTCGTCTTCTTTTTTGTTTTCTTTTCAGTTCCTGACGAGACTCGTCGCCGGTCCGCCCGCCGGGCTCATCGTAATATGTGCTCGGCGTCTCCTCACGACGCCGCCGCCGTCGTCGACTGGAACCTTCTCTCCGGCTCGCGGACAACAGCCCACCGTCCCTCGCGCTCCCTCCCTCCCGGACAGCCGCCAAAGAGCAGCCACAAAGGGATGAGAGCGGGGGCGACGGTGGAAAGAGAGCCCGGGGGAGGGGGGGGCTGTTGTCGAGCGGATCACTAGCGCCACCCTTTTCGTTCGCAGGCGCTGAGCTGCAACTGCAGGCGTTCGGCTTTAATGATAATAATAATAATCATTGCATTTGATATAGTGCTTTTCACGTCGGGAGGACGTCCCGAAGCGCTTCACAGAACACACTGTAAAGTGAATTGACTGTATATTTGTGGGCGAACGCGGCGGCCAATTGCGCACAGCAATGTCCCACAAACAGTCGTGGATTGAAAATGACCAATTTATTATTGTTTTTGGTTTTGGAGGATTATTATTAGGCTCTGTGTGGAGTAAGGAAACTTGCCCAAGGTTTCGCCCTCTGCCTGGGATTGAACTCAGGTCTCTCACTTGCAAAGCGAGTGCTCTAACCACTGAGCTACAGGGCTCCTACTTTGAGGGTAGGGTGGGTGGGAAAAGGCGTTGAGATTAAGAAGGAAAGAGGATCTTATTGTCATAATGATTCATAATAATTATGCAGGGAAAGAATTGTTAAATCCAATCGTTTGCCTTTTAAAAAAAACAATAATAAATCGGTCATTTTCAATGCACGGCTGTCTGTGGGGGAACGCCCCTGCGCGCAATTGGCTGCCGCGTTTCGCCCACAAATATACGGTCAATTCACTTTGCAGCATATTCTGTGAAGCGCTTTGAGACGTCGAGAAGACGCTCGACAGGAGTGACGATAAATAGTAATAATGGTGACGGTCGCCGCGATATCATGGTTTTTTTCTGGGTGTCCGACGCGTGTGGAAACCATCGCCGCTTGATTAAGAGTGTACCCAAACCAAAAATGAAAGTTCCCGTGCATTCCGCATACAGGTGAAACTCCAGTGTATCGGAATGGAATGCACGCTCCCTGCCTGCCTCTACCGGATAGTAGAGCTGATAGGAATGAAAACAATCTCAAAGTCCTTCATGTGGAATTGCTATCAAGTGTCACTGTTTTATAGGCCACTGTTTTATAGGCCAAATTACGTTAATAACAGCAGCCAATTTGCACAACGCTAGGTTTAAATAAACCAGCCATAAAGCCAGGGATCCATTTATCTGGAGGATTCTTGGCCAGCTCACCAGGAGAAGCTCCCTTCTTTTATCATATTGTGTCACGGGATCTTTTACTGAACAGGCAAATGGAGCTCTCAGTTAAATGTCTCATCTAAAGGAAGTGCAGCAATGCAGCGCTACACACACACACACACGCACACTGGAGCCAATACCAATTTCTTTCCAAATTTCACATTCTGGTTTAAAAACACAAACTGTTTTGATGCATCTCAAGCTGTGGGCAAAAAAAAAACAACCAACACCCTGTTTTTGAATTGGTTTGTGATTTGTGATGATAGCTACGCCTGTCTCCATAAATGCTATATAATGAATCTACCAACAGGCTGCTCTTAATTACTGTCTAACAATCAGGCTCAAGCAGAAGACACAAAAACTCCTATCTGTCTCCTGTCTGACAGCGAATTATTTTTAATTTTAAAAACATTCTGGAACTTATCCTCAACAGAGAACAGTTTTTAAATATACATATATATATATACACACACACACACACCAGTGAATTTTGAAAGAGAACATGATAATAATCCTTCGATGCAGTGCCTTATGACATTTTTGAGATGTGTCAAAGCACTGAAAGGGGATTTTATGGTGGTGTGAAATGTATTTTGTAGACAAAGGCGGTGGCTAATTGGCACCCAACAAATGTCCACAAACAGCCTTGAAGTGAGTGACTAATTTCATATGGTGGATTGTTGGCCAGGAGAAACTCCCTTCTCTTTTTGAATACAGCCATGGATCTTCAACATCCACCTGATGGGATCTTGGTTTGACGTCTGATCCAACGGATGGCACTTCCAACAATCCAGCGCCCCGCCATCATTGCATTGGAGTTTCAGCCCAGGCTATGAGCTCCAAATCCCGATGCGGGGCACAAAACCCTCCGACTCGGAGGCAAGAGTGCTTCCGACCGAGCCAGCCAGGCTGCACAAACAGAAAAGGCACCACCCTGGAAAACATTTCACGGTTGCTCAGAAATGGCTTAAGACGATAAGTGCTTTGCAACGGCAGTGAAAGTCGTAAACAAGACGTTTCTGCAGAACCACAAAGTAAGATTGTATCTACACAATCACTACTCACGAGAAATGAAAGACTACCGGGATACGTGGCCACTTACACGATGTGTTGTTCAACAGTGGAGCTCGCAGCCAGCATCGTGAGTCACGCGTGATTATTTTGAAGGGTTACTGTTGGTTAAGATTAGATACAGTGAAGGTTATTAGCCACAATATTAGTGTATTTTCCACAACGTACAGCTACTGTTATTTGTAAATAAGTGGATGTTACCTATTCGGATTCTTTGGAACGAGGCAGAGAATTCCTGTCACTGTTTTCTAAGAATATTTAATGTGTTACACTATGTTGCAAGGATGAATCAGCGGCAACATTGCCTAAAACTTGTTTTTTTTTGGCGCTACAAAAGCAAGTTATGAGTTGCTTGCTACGTATGATTGACACATCAGGGGTCTGGATCAGTGGCTTATTCAAAGAACCCATTATAATTTGGTGATTATTGGGAAAAATTAATGGAAGAGCAGCAGGCCACGCCCGCCCTCTGTTCCTTTCACGGGTCAACGGTTTTGAGAGAGAGGTTTAACCTGGTTGCCGTCATGGTGACTACAATATGGTGCTTTCTGTGATTAAATCTGAAGGCTCAGCATACACACAAAAAAACAGATGTATTTTTGGGGCTATAGCTGTTGTGGGGAAGGAAGATTTAAAAGATGTTTCTTGGGCAAGAAGAAACAAATTAACAAAACCATTTGGAGAACCGTTATGTTTCAGAATGAGGTTTCTCAGTGCCAGTTCAGTAATCTCCAAGAAGATTAGTGAAAAGCTCCCATGTTACCAATTTAGGAGTGAATTGACATTGCAAAGGCTCTTGCAGAGGACAAAGAGATATCAGCCTACATAGGCATGACTGTACCGCTGGGTTGGATAGCGTAAGTGACGCAGAAGCAAAAGGGGTTGCTTAGTGATAATTTACATCAAAGATCAGTGAGTAGCAGGAGGTTGGTGACGCGGCCTTTAATTCTCCATGGTGAACAAGTACACAGGACAATTAACGAATGGTACCAGGTTGCCAGGAAAGTTGATTAAAGCCAGAAGACTGAATTTAAAAATGGTACTGTGATGGGAGGGCGGCAGAGTGGGTGTTCTGGAGGGATGAGATCAGATGGGTCGAAGGGCCTTCTTTATCCTGACCAATCTTGTGATCTTGTGAAGTCACACAATGAAAAAAATGGAATCGACTGAGAGTGAGTTTAGACCCACGTCTGATCTCTCTTTGTTGTTGTAAATCAGGCGAATACAGGAAGATGGTAAAAGAATTTCTGCGCTGACTGGATGCAAAAGCCTGACATATTTGTATATATTGACCGTAATTACCTGTGAAGCGTTTTGAGACATTTAGCCAAGTTCCTTCTTCTTTCTTCCTCTCACAGTGGATCTGTGTTGCTGGGTCATCATCAGTAAGTTTATACAAAACAGTAGAGCCACTCACACCAGTCTATTAGCAGATATAACTTAACACTCCCGCGTAACTTGGTTCTAAATTTTACACAGCACATATAGCACTATTAATAGTATTGAACTTATAATTTTCAGTTGCCAACAAACCAGATGAAATCTGCATTATCAGCCACTTTCCTCTCCTCTCTGAATGCCATCATAAGTTTAAACATAGACAAGATAGGTATCTCTTAAACAGATTCTAAATTATAATTATAAAAGCAAATAGTTTGGTACAGGTCTTTAATTCTGCAAGTAATTGTGGTATTTAGAAATTTACAAAATATTTCAAATGGTGATTATATGATACAAATGTGCATATTTAGAAAGCTGTTGACATTTGATTCAGTTCCAGCCCAATCACAGAGTTCTGTCTGTCGCCTTTTCTTAATTCCTTCCTTCTGCTCTCAAAAGGATCGAGCCTTTTTAATGTACAAGTAAGTACATATGTGCATATACTGTACCACCATGCGTCATAAAAGTCTATAAATCCTCTTATCACTGTTCCAGATCTCTTAGGATCTTGTGGTATTGCTTGTCATGTTCAAGAGCACAATCTGCTTCTTAATAGCACTAAGTTCCCTTTTAATAGCAACTGGAGAGATTGTTTTTTGCAAGCAAAAGGAAACCATGACCGGACATTTTGCTTTCCTTTGGAATTTGATGGTATATGTTGGGCTGGAGAATGACCGGCTGCGATGTTCTTCCTGGATTCCAGGAGCTTATTGTCCATAATGATTTTCGTCTCGTTTCAAAGATCGTTCGGGAGAGTGATACCCAAAGGGTTTCTACTTAGCGCTCATCACTTTCTGTACCTGACATCTCCCTTCATCATCGTGTTGTGTAGGTTTGTCCCCGTCACTCCACAGGTCCGGAAACCCAAGGCAATTCCCTTCTTGAAGCTACTGGGATGTGCTAGGAGCTGCTGTGTGTGCACGCCATCACCTGGGCCTGTTGTCAGTGTTAAAACAAGACAGGTTCACGTAGAACAACAACAACAACTTGCATTTATACCGCGCCCCTTATGCAGGCTAACATCCCAGAGCGCTTCGATTTATTTTCACAGGTGGCACCTATGCGTTGGCGGTGTTTCTATAGTTCCAGCCACACCATACCACCAGATAGCGGTAGTTCCATTCTGCTGGCAACAATGTTCATTAATTTGAATAAATGCATGTTTTTTTTCTTTGCATATGCCAAACTCTCTTGGTTTGAAAGCCGCAGCAGCCATTGGATACACAAAGGGTTAACGGTGGTAAATTAGCCATGCATTCTCACAAAGTGATTTTCTTTCATACTGGATTACCACTTGCATGGATTATCAATTCCCCCCACACACACTGTATCAGCCCATGAAAACATAGTTGCTGTAAACAAGTTCAGGAATGCAATTCCAACGAGATTGAACAGCAAAATATAAAACAGTACGATTAAAATGCTGATGCCTCAAGGAACAGTCACCCCTGAATGAGTTAAGAAAGGAACCCTCCTTTCTCTCCTCTCCCCAGCCAGAACTATCACTTAATTTAGTTTCGCCCGCAAAATATACAGTCACTCCACTTGACAGTATATTCTGTGAAGCGCTTTGAAGCGTCTCAACGACATGATAAGGCGCTGTATCAAATGCAAAGATTAATATTATTGCTATTAACTTCTGCCTTCTGAGTGTAAATGAATTCTTCACGGGATCCATCAATGTTACTTGCGACAGGATTTAACTGGGCCCAATAATCCAGCAGGGTAGCCACTGGGTCATCTGAGCTAAATGCCTGTGATGGAAGAGTGTTCACTTGGCAGCAGGCAGGCCTGACAAGCCACTCTGAAAATAAAGTCATCTTATCACAATTTATGGAGCAGAAATGCTCGAGGCATGCATTTGGGAGTTTGCTTCAATAGGTGTGACACCTAGAGTCACTGACCACTGACTAATTAATTTTCATTTAACCTACAGTTACCTGCTGCTGCACAAAATGGGATCCATTTATTGATCTGAAAAGCCACTGGAATTCAGCTAATAAAAAGATTCGACACTGCAAGAGCAGCCAAGACCATCAATAACACTCGAGCCATTTTCTGCACTGGCTCCCGTGCTTCGTGTTTAATCAAATCAAGTTTTCACACATAAATCTATTGTAATCCAACATTAATCTAACTTTCCCGGTTCCAAAGAGATTAACGGTTATCAGACAGTGTTTGACTGCAGCAAAGGTTATACAGCGCCTGTCTTTCTCACTTAATATCTCATTAACTGCAGGAAAAGAATGACACAAAAAAAAAAACCCTGTGTGCTGGAGACAACTGCAATAAATATGTCTGGGACAAATATTTACAAGTGACTTCTAATAAATTTCAATGTGCTGCGTATAAAAGGCCAATTTGCTACAGTTATGATTCAACCTGTTTAAATTAATGATTCTGCAGCTGAATCTCAGTTACAGCTGAAATACCCAGTTCCTCAGCTGCCAAGCTTGACAACTCAAGGCTGTCTCAAAATAACTCACTGAATCACAACAGTGAACATTGCAGGCAGGTTAAAAATCAACCGTGTTCCTACGAGGGCAAGAATTCCATGCCTTGTTACATACGGGGTCCGGTAGCGTAGTGGATAGAGCACTCGCCTCACAAGCGAGAGGACCTGGGTTCGATTCCCGACCGAGGCGAAACCATAGACAAGTTTCCCTATTCCACATTCCTCCGTTTGCCGAGCGGTAAGTAGGAACCCGGTTGTTAGTCAATTGGCGGATTGCTTTTCCAGGGGTAATAATCCCTTCAAAATAATTAATTAAATAAAAATAATTTGTCCACTCAATCCACGGTTGATTATGGGACACTGCTGTGCGCAATTGGCTACCACGTTTTGCTCACAAAATATGGTCAATTCACTTTACAATATATTCTGTGAAGCGCTTTGAGACGTCTCGAATACAACAACACAACCACAAAATTACATTTATAGAGCGCCTTTCACGTCGGGAGGACATCCCAAAGCACTGGGGTAAGGGGTAAAGAATAAGGGGTAAAGCGCTATATCAAATGCAAGGATTATTATTATGTCACAACTGGGGTATTCTACGTAAACTTTCAACCCTGACCTTTGATTCGTTTGTGTAAGACCAGCCCCTTGTTTCCCTCGGAGTGTCTCTGCTGGATGGTGCTCGGTGGAGTATTGCCCACTTCCAGCTTCTGTAAAGGACTCTCGCCTGTGAATAAGTCAAACAGTTATCAGCAGATTGAATCGACTCTTAGATAATAAAATGGTTTCCTAGGTAGGTTAATGATAGGTGTCAGTCTGGCTCAGTCGGTGTCAATGAGAACAACAAAATTACATTTGTATAGCGCCTTTCACGCCGGGAGGACTTTCCAAAGCACTTTCGCTTCCAGAGTCAGAAGGTTTGGGGTTCAAGCCCTGTGTCGGCTCATTGTCTAGGCTGACACTCCAGCACAGCGCTGGGGGGAGGTCTGTATGGTCAGAGATACTGATCTTCAGATGACACATTAAACTGACATCCCGACTGTCTGTTCAGATGGATGTTAAAGATCCAATGGCGCGATTCGAAGAGAGTCAATCGTGTGACATCCTCACAACATGAACGGCGCTATATCAAGCGTAAGGATTATTATCACATGTATAAATAAAATGCTGGTTACCTGAATGATGGCTCAGTGGGAACTTGACTTTGTTTGCCGGGGGCATTGTCCCGTCAGAGAGCTTGCCTGTGTCTCCGGTGACGATCTTGGGCTGCAGGTAATGGTTGGAATTCTGGAAAAGGCGTGGGGCAACCGCAAACCTGTGGTCAGAAATACTCTTGAGATTGTGAGGCCGGGAGGGGTTTTGTCTGAGTCTGGGGAGCTATGGAAGGAAGCAGAATTTTAGTAACACAAGTTATAATAATAATAATAATCCTTGCAATTGATATAGCGCCTTATCACATCTTTGAGTCGTCTTCACAGGAATATACTGTAAAGTGAATTGACTGTGTATTTTGTATTTTATGAGGATGAAGTCCAGCCAAATGCTACAGCCAAAGCTCACCAATTTCCCCCTCCTCCCCAATAATAATAATACATGCATTTAACATAGCGCCTTATCACGTCGTTGAGACGTCTCAAAGCGCTTCACAGATTATACTGGAAAGGGAATTGACTGTGTATCTTTGGGTACCAGCCTTACCCCTTGCGAGTTAACTTCAAAAGATCGCGATCGTTTCTTCCTCAGGCTCATCTCAGTGGAATCCTCCCTGGGCTCGGGCTTCCTCAGTCCTTTAACATTGGCCCGGCCTCCACGCGGGGTCAGGGGGTGGCTGGACCCCTGGTGGTTGCTGAGGTCAATCACCCCCGTCTCCGTCGAGAGGTCATCAAAATTCGCCACGGACGATATTTCCGAGTTTAAGGTGTTTTTCTTCAGGATTACCCCCCGGCCCCGATTCTCCTTCTCGGTCTCCTCGAGGGAATGGACGGACGCGGTGTTCCTCTCTTTCTCCTTCAAGGCCATCACTGTAGACTCCAGCGGCAGGGCCTGTGCTTTGGAACGCCGCTTGGCTGCTATGACGGATATGCTCTTTGTGCCGGTGGCAATCTCCTCCAGTTTGCCGGAGCCCTGTGGCTTGTTCAGGCTGTGAACCAATTCTGACTTGCTGCTGTCCGTCTCCGACGGAGTGCTGGATAGCCGACTCCGGCTGCGGTCCTTCAGGCCGAGCAGATTCTGCTTCTGTCAAGGGCAAACAAGCACGAAATAAGTCAATTAACTCGGAGGCCCTGGGCTGCAAAAAAAAATCTCCTTCTTGTGTGAAAGTGATTACAGGTCAAAAACGCACAACACGATTGTGTTTTCGCCCACAAAACACACAATCAATCCATTTTACAGTGTATTCTGTGAAGCGCTTTGAGTATCTCGAAGACGTGATAAGGCACTATGTCAAACGCAAGGATTATTATTATTATATTAGGAGGTTGGCAAGCATTTTCCCCAAAAAATTGTCAAAAATGATCTTTTAGTTTTAAACAGTTGACTTTCATGAAAAAAAATGAAGTCTGGTTCAGATTGATTGACAAGACGGCAAGGTACTGTGTATGGGCAGAAGAGGCCTTACTAACCTGGAGGAACAGAGGTCCAGGCAGACGGATAGGAGGTGGTGTTAGCGTTGGCAACTGTTTCATGTAGCGTGACTGGGCGGTGGCTTTAAACACTTTGTTGGTGTCACTGGAGAGAGCACACAGTTCACGTATTATTTCGTGCCACCTCGTTTTGAGCTAGTCTTTGAGTACATTTTGTAAGCTCTTAAACCTGAAGTCTTCATTTAGAAGCCGGTGTTCCGCATTTCCTAAACAAGGGATCAGCCTCCGAATTACAACTGAACTTAAGGGTTTTGCGCGATCTTACACTTTCGAAGATAAAATGAGGTATTTAGAAACATAGAACCAGCAGGAGGCCATTCAGCCCCTCAAGCCTGTTCTGCTACTCTATAAGATCAAAGCTGATCTGTACCTCAAGTCCAATTACCCACCCTTGCCCCGTATCCCTTGATAACTTGACTTAACAAATATCTGTCCATCTCAGGCCTCTTAGTCACAAACCAATGTACACAGAAATTACACAGAAGTTGACCTTTGTATTTGGACTGTAAACAGAGTAAAGCCGCCTCCGAGGCAATAAACCAGAAATGAAGAATTTAAATTGCTCAATAAGGAAAGTAAATCTGGTGTTGATGGGAGCGGATATCTTAAACTTTACAGTAGAGAGAGGAAACTGAATTTGTAAATCCCACACCATTCACTTGCCATAATGTTCACTTCTCAAGTATTAATTTATGTGGCTTTGAGAATAATTCTGTAAAGATTACAAAATTATCGTTCATAATGGGATGATGGGAGAAGGGGATCTGGACATTGCGAAGGAGCAAAGAAACTGCAATATGGATCACTTTGTTTTTTCTTGAAAAATCGAACTTTATAAAAAGTAACCCAATTTTGAACTCACTTGAACACAATTGTTCTCTCTCCACTGCCTGTGTTAAACATTGATTTGACCAGTTAATTCATATTCTAGCTGTTTCTGAACACAGACACAATTATCAAGGATTACTGGAAAGGGTTTTGAAGCTATTACCCATCGTGTTCGGAGAGGATGGGAGGTAGCGAGTCCTTTGCCCGTGGATGAAGCAGTTTCTTATTCTCATGCACAACCATTTTTGGTCTTATGTCTTCTTTACTGCTATCCATTGCCACCACATATTCCCCCAGGTTTAGCTGGCGGGCAACATTCAGGATCGTACCATCCTATGAGACACAATAATAATTCTAGTTTCTGGAAGTGGACACCTGAGCATTACAGCCATTATACCCCGTTACCTTTGGTACTCCCTCCCTAAACCCTTACTGCCTTGCCCCCTCTCCCCCTCTACGCTCATTCTTCCGCCTCTCTTCCCCCCAGCCTCCCACCCCCACACTCTCTCTCTACATCTTTGCGAGCTTCCCAAAGGCTTTCGTCTTTGACCGTGCCTCCCTCCTTCTCCCTCCACAGATCCCCATTCAGTGTCCGTCACCGTCACTGTAAAGCGCTTCGAGACGTTACCCTGCATGTGAAGGATGCTACGTAAATACAAGTTATTGCTGTTCGAGTCAATGACGTTTCTAAATAATATTTGCTGCAACATTTGCTTGCCAATGGGGTCTCAAAGGCTAGAGAGGGAATTGACTGTGTTGGTGTGGTGTGTGTATTTACCCTCAGTGTGTTTGCGGTGATGGTGTGGAGGGTGGACAAACTCTCCAGGGTCCCCTCTTCCATCTCTTGGAAATAGATGGCGTAGAGCTCCTGTAGCTGCCGAGGAACCTGCAGGTTGTGATCTTGGGGGGAAAACAGGAACAGAAGAAATCAGCAGCTACACTCGGTCACCAGACACAACACACACTAAATACATCACTGTGCTGTTCACATTTCAATTTATTCCACCTATAAAAAAAAATGTGGTCACTTAATTTACGCATATTTTCGGGACACTGTTGTGCGCAATTGGCTGCCATGTTTCACCCACAAAATATTCAGTCAATTCACTTTACAGTATGTTCTGTGAAGCGCTTTGAGATGTCATAAGGTGCTATATCAAATGCAAAGCTAAGTTTTGCGGGGGGTAGGGGGTGGGGGAGGGTTAGAGAGAAAGATGGTGGAGAGAGATGAGAGAGAGAGAGAGAGAGAGAGAGAGAGAGAAACAGATTTGGACCATCCAATAGTTGGGATTCTCATTTCGGTTACATTTTCGCTCTGGATGATTTTCCTCTGTGCTGTCATCCAGGGACTCTTCATGTTGCTGAGCAAATAAGAATGATAACAATTGTAAACTAGTTATGACGGCGCGGTTTAGTTACAGCAGCCATCTCCTGAATAGCACGCAAGGGAGGTTTAGATATTACAACAAATCACATTAAGGGTACAGAACTGCAACTGTGGGATACGTATCTGAAGGTACAGCAGTTACGAATGAAGACTCTAATGGAATTATAACCAATTAAGAGCCATTAAAATTCAGTAAACCCAGAACACCAAGGGGCAAAGCAGCAATGAAGAGTCTGCCAGAGCAGAATCTTCCGAATGATTGTATCCCCAGCATCAAGTGCCAGCGCCAAGCACCTCAAGAGATTTACAGCGGCTATTGGAAAAGTTACACATCGCCATTTTCCAGAGAAACCAGGAAGGAGCGATAAATGGCCCACAATCGTGATATTAAAAAAAAAATGTGGTCACTCAATCCCACGACTGTTTGTGGGAGATTGCTGCCTGCAAATTAACTGTCAGGATCTCACGTGAAATGTTTTGATGTGAAAGACACTGTATCAAATGATTATTGTTTGTTATGTCAAGCAGTAATTTTGGGACCAATGTAACTGAATGACACCAGGAAATAACCCAACACGTACACATTGCAACCCTGTAGTCAGACATCATCCCGAAACTCTGAGGAACTCTCTCCCTCAATCCCTCCGCCTTGCACCCCTCCTCCCTCCCCCACTTTCAAATCCTGCCCAAATACTTTCCTTTTGGGTCGTGCTTACGGTCACCTCCCCCGCCCCACTCCCTCTCCCCCCCGGCTCGGGGTCGGACTCCGCCACCGTCAAGCGCTCCGGGACGCTACCCCACACGAAGGGCGCTGTGTAAATGCAAGTTGTTGTTGTTGTCGCAGCATTTACCGTACCCTCTATCAGCTGCCTCTGTTGCTGTATAATCTCATCGCAGAGTGTTCTGTGCTGCTCGTATCGCTGGATAACAAAGTCCTTCTGTTGCAGGATGTTCTCTTTCCGCAGGGCTGTGGACTGGATCTCGGTGTTCTCCACCTCCAGCTCGTGAACCTTGCAGAGTAAGCTCAGGATCTCCTGCTGGTCCTCACTGCTGATCCACTTGGGCAGCAAGTCCTCCATCTTGGAGACCTTCACCTTGGTGTCTCCTAGTTTCTGTTCCAGCTCAGACTAGGAGACCAGGGGTGTGTGGGGAGGAGGGGGGTGGGGGTGGAAGTGGGAAGGGGAGTGGGGGGGAAACAAAAGACCTCAATTTGATAATAATAATAAATTAGTCACTTCAATCCACGACTGTTAGTGGGGACGCTGCTGTGCGTAATTGGCTGCCGCGTTTCGCCCACAAAATATACAGTCAATTCACTTTACAGTATATCCTGTGAAGCGCTTTGAGACATCTTGAAGATGTGATGAGGCGCTGTATCAAATGCAAGGATTATTATTATTATTATCATCATTCCTCCTTTGTTCCCCACATATCAATAAGTAGAGCCCAGTGTGGAGGGGAAGAGAGGTAAATCTTTTGAGTGCTCAGAAATAAAATCTCCTTTGCTAGCTGTCTGAAAGGCTAACGTCCAGGGGTTTGCGACACTCTTTACCTTAAGGACGGCAGTTTTTCTTTGTTCAGCCAAAAGCATGGCGATTTCCTCCCGTGCCACAGTGACCTCCACAGGTTCACTCGTGTCCAAATCTCCGTCTGTCCCGGTTCCTTTTCTGCTCCTCCTCCTCCTCCTCCTCCTCCTCCACCTTCCTTCCTTTTACCTGCTTTCTCCCACCACTGCTCCTCCCTCCACCTCCGAGCGAGATGGGCTTTCTCTCTTTCCCAGCTAAAGAAAACATGAGCTCAGGATGACTCAGCAGTTTCTACTGAAGAACTTTGAAACAGAAACAAAAGGGTCGATTATGCGAGTTGTGCAAAGCACATGTACGGGAGTGACGTAACTATTATAGAATCTTAGAGTCCTACAGCACAGAAGGAGGCCATTCGGCCCATCGTGCCTGTGCCTGTTCTTTGAAAAAGCTACCAACCAGTCCTACTCCCCCTGCTCTTATTCCGCAGCCCTGCAAACGTTTCCTTTCCAAGAACCTATCCAATTCCCTTTTGAAAGCTATATTTAACAGCCAACCAAAGGCAATGAATTATATATTTGCCAGTTCTTTTCATTAGTTGTTAATGGCACAATTAAAAGGAAATGCAATTCCCTCTGTCTGTCTGTTTACACATGGATTGCACATGGTTTACACAGTGTATGTATATATATATATATCATATAAAATCAAGCCCAGGGGTTTTGAGAAGCAAAGGATATTGTGAAGCCACTAGACTTTGTATTGATTAATATATCATAGAAAGCAAAATAAAAAGGATTTGATTCAATTGGGAGGGGGAGGGAGGAGGGGATTATGTCTTTTTGGTGCACAGAAAAAAAACAGCAAAGAGTTTGCTTTGCTTAATTGAGAATGCCCGACAGGTCGACAGTGCAGATTCCGTGTGGATAAGAACGGTGGTCTTTGAGGCCTGAAATTCCACCTAGCCTTCGCCTGTGAGCAGTGTTTTGCCTTCAAAAAAATTAAGATCAAGCAGAATCGGAGGAAAGACATAAATGCAAGAGCAAACTCTCCGGGACGCTAACCCTGCATGAGGGGAGCTATAGAAACACAAGTTATTGTTGCTGTTGTTAATTTGGAAGCCTTTTTTTTAATATAAAAAACACAGCCATCCAAACCATGACTGAATTTAAGAGTTTTCCATAGTTCTGCGCGATCTTAAAATTTTAAAACTAAAATGGTCTTACAAGCTATGACAAAGTGAAATGTCAGACCCCTCACATGTACACGCACTCACGCCCACACCCAAACATGGCCTCGTCAATTGCACCTTAGCTTTTCAATGACATGAAGAAACGAAAGAAAGAGCAGCTATTCCCATTGAAGATTCAGAGCACTTTGACAGGAGGCATTCTTTAAAGCCTCATTAATGCATTCATGCTCAAAAGAGCTTTCTGTCTACTCCGGGAGACCGCGGTGTAAATAGAGGGTTCGCAGTTCAGCACAGGGAGCTACGTACAGTAACATTATCCCACACAACACTTCAACACCGACCCGGAGGAGGCAACAGTTCTGCAGTCTCTCTGCCTCTCTGCAGATAATGGTGTTTCTTAATATATAAAGGAGACTCTCAGATAGATTCCAAGTGTGGTGGTGCAGTACAGTGTAACGTAATGAGGTGCCATCGATCTACCGACTCGGGCGGAACTTGGCGCCGCGAGCTATAAAGGGGATGTGAAGCATCTCTCAGATATCGACCACGACAAGTCGCGCGTGTACAGTGCCCCCTCGTGCAGGGTGGCGCCCCCTGAGCGCTCCCCACACGGTCAGCCAACGCCCCGCACAAAACTCACTCGGCTATGGTCAGCAAGTGCCTGGAGGTGTCGATGTGAAGCTCCATGTTGGTGTTCTCCAGCTCCATGAGGCTGCGGCGGATCTCCATCTGTTGCCTGAAGGCGCTCATCAGTTGCTCCCGCAGACGGCCCATCTCCCCGCGGTTATACTGCACCGAGTGTTGCTGCACCTCAGCTGCGAGTTCAGGACAAAACTCCTAAAGTCGTGAATGAGTTTGGACCAAGAGCGTCTGTTCTCTCCGTGTTTGTCCCCCCACCCCCGTCTCCCCTCACCCCACCCCCAGCTCTTCCCCCATTCGGTTCCAATCTGATTCTTTCTATGTTTTTTTTTTAACCCCCCGTTCTAATTTCCACCTGCAGCGATAAAGCCAGCAGAAGGGGCAACAAAGCTTCGCACATCACTACGGATGGCGTTTCGCCCACAAAATATAAAGTCAAAACCACTTTACAGTATAACCTGTGAAGCGCTTTGAAACATCTCAACATGTGATAAGGCGCTGTATCAAATGCAAGGATTATTATTATTGTTATTATTATGATGCATAGAGCTTTCCGCTGCTGTAAAATGGACTAAAACTGAATTTAAGGATTGTTCCACAATCTTGCACAATCTCAAATTTTAAGATTAAGGATCTTAATCTTCCAAAACAATATATATTTGCGATTTCGAGCCTCGAGGTCTTTCTAGAAAACTTCTAGAATTCCTTTGAGGAATTTCAATAGGGAAGTGTCCATACAATTTTTTTCCATGAATCTGTTTGTTTCATACAAACAAAGTGTCCTGCCACCCAGAAGGTGTGTTGCAAATTCAACCCGCGGAATTTATGTTCTCAAAGCAGCCAGTGCCAGACACCCTGGAAATTTATATCAGAACTCCAGTCTCCGAGTGATGTATTTCTGACAGCCTAGGAACTGTGCTCAATCTATTTTGTAAGTGAATGATCCCAACTAAATGGTGCCGGAGGACATAAGAACTGTTGGCCACCAGTGGGCAATGTCATTTCGCAAATAGCTGCAGCGTCCTATTGCATTCTGTTTGCTGTACACGTCACTCTCTCTGCACATCCCACAGCACTGTTCGAAATGAGAAGGGAGTTTCTCCTGGTGTCGTGTCCGACAATCCCCCTGGGGGGGTGGGGTGGGGTAGTGGGGCCAGCCGGGTATCTGACACGTGCGGAAACCCAATTGTGCACAGCAGTGTCCCACAAACAGTCGTGGATTGAGTGACCAAATTATTATTTTTTTTTGAAGGGATTATTACCCCCAGAAAAGTAATCTACCAATCGACTAACAGCTGAGTTCCTAGTCACTGCTAGTTAAACCCCTAACGGTCCGCTCTGCTCGGCAATCAAACCCGGGTCCTCTCTCTTGCGAGGCAAGTGCTCCAACCTACCTTGGATGTCCCTGATATTGGCCTTTTCCAATTTCCGTCGCTCGGGACCCTGCTCATCAATCTTTGATTTCAGCCTATCAATCTCGTTCCTCAGATCAGTGATGATGTTGGTGTATTGGGTGATGTGATATGAGATGTTCAACAGGTTGCGTTTCACCTGCAGTCCAAGGTAAATTGGAAACAGAGAAAAGTTACAAACTATTCCGTCGCTTCACTCTTCACAGTAAATCACATGAGATGTCTTAACGAAATGATAAGGTGCTGTATCAAATGCATCGAATGATTTACCTTTCACATATGGATTTGTGCAGAAAATGACCCTATTGGTGCTTGTATCCACACGGTTGAATGGGGGTGGGGGGGTTTAGGAACAAAGAAAGGAGTGAGACGTGTTCCACATCTCACCTGGTTGGAACACGCTTGGTAAAACGGAATCGGGCCAACGCTAGTTTCTGCACCGAGTCTAACAGTGAATCGGCAACGAGCTGCCAACCAGTCTGTGTCCGCTCGCGCTGTTGCTGTATGTTTTGTTGCATGAATGAGAATCCTGACACTGATCGCGGGCCAGGTGCCCACTCCCAGCAAAACGTGAGCCGTCAGCTCCTCGGGACAGTTCAATCACTCGCTCACACACACGCGCGTGTACATATCTACTGTATATATTAGATTTTTTTCAAATTCCGCTTACAAAATGATTGATGTTTTTCCAGTGCGCAAAGATTTCAAGAGAGACTGGCAGTTCCTTTGGCTGCTACAAACCCGTGCTGAAAAATGTCCTGCCTGAATGATGGATTTCCCTTCCCCACAACCAGCGCCTGGGCAAAGAATCTGCCCCCGCTTAAGAGTTAAGAGCCCAGCTTTTTCTCCCCCAACCCTGAAGCGGGTTTGTAACGGAATTATTGGGAAGGAGGGAGGGAGGAGATAATAATACTACTAATAATAATCCTTGCATTTGATACAGCGTCTTATCACGTCCTCAAGACGTCTCAAAGCGCTTCACTGAATACACTGTAGAGTGAATTGACTCTGTATTTTTGGGCGGGAATCGAACACAGGTCCTCTCACTTGCGAGCCAGTGCTCAACCACTAAGCTACTGGACTCCACATGGATGGAGATGGACGTGATGCGCTGAGGCACAGTGTCACTCTGGGTTTACACAGATCGAGCGCTCGGTGTACAGTGTAGGGGAAGACTTCCTTGCTGAAGGGTATCTGGACCTGACTGAGGGTACCACAAGTCACCTCCGCTCGGAAACCCGCTTACCCTGGTTTTAATGTTCTTGGCACGGTCTGCGTAGATCAGGGTGTTCCTGGATTCCTCAAAGGAGGCACTGGCGGGGCTGATGTGAGCAATCATAACCGTCCTGCTGTTTCCTCCCAGCGAGTCCTGAACCAGAACAAAAGGAAGGGCCACAGAAATTCAATGCCAAACAGCTGCTTAGTAGACAATTAACCGTGAAATCACAAGAGAGGCCATGAAGAATGGGCTTCGCTCACAAAATACGCAGTCACTACACCTTACTGTATATCCTGCGAGGCACTTTCAGACGTCTCAATGGCGTGATGAGGTGCTGAATCAAAAGCAAGGATTATTACTTATTTATGATTATTATTTATTTAATATCATTATATTATTTATGATTATTATTATTATTTATCAATGATCAAACGGAGAGACAAGTGACCTAAAGAGCAGCCGACTTTTGAGTGTCTCAGTTACAATGTGCAGTGGCAGAAGTGGAAGCAGTGAGATACCTTGAGCAGACGGGTGAGTTTGCTGTCTCTGTAGTTGACGTACTGCGATCGGTTTGCTCCCTTCTCGCTCAGTGCGTTGATGCAGTTCCCCAGAGCCAGCAGTGACCGGTTAATGTGGGCTCCTTCTTTCATTCGTTTGCCGGTGTTCTGCGTCTGTCAATTGAAAAAAAAGCGATCAAAACACAGAAACACAGGAACAGGAGGAGACCATTTAGCCCCTCGAGTCTGTTCCGCCATTCTATAAGATCATGGCTGATCTGTACCTCAACTCCAAATACCCGCCTTTGCCCCGTATGCCTTGACACCCTGACCTAACAAACATTTATCCACTTCTGTCTTGAGGAGGGGAGCTATGATCAATTGGGGGGTGGGTGAGCTAATGGGGGGTGTGGGGGGAATGGGACCGTGATTGACTCGGGTGGGGTTGGAGAGGAATAAAATTAATTACCTGCGACGCCCTCTCAGATCCCGCAAGGTCGATCATGAAGAGGCGTCCGACCCGTATCTCCTCCATAATGTTCTTTATCCGGCTCTTCTGTTTGACGGTGACCTGCAGCACGGCGTGGGAGCGAGACGAGGTTCTGTTCGCAGCCGTGGGCTCCTGCGTGCGTTGTCGGTTTCCCTTTGTCAGCAGCTGCATGATCTGAGCTCGACAGGAACCATTAAGAGTTAGCGTTCGGGCCATTAGGAAATGGGCGCAACTTTTCGGAAACGGCACTTAATTTTGACACAGCGCCTGATCGCATCTTCGAGAAGTTTCAGAGCGCTTCGCAGAATACACTGTCAAGTGTAGTGCCAACACGGGGCAGCCAATTCACTTTACGGTATATCGTGTGAAGCGCTTTGAGACGTCTTGAAGACGTGATAAGGCATTGTATCGAATGCGAGGATTATTGTTGTTATTTTTATTATTAGGATTATTGTTATTATGATGTCTCGCCTTCCGTCGTTTTCATCTGCACCGTGGGGATTGGACGTTGACCTCTGTACCCCCTGAGACGCCGGCCGGCGTGGAGGGCGCTATATAAATCCAAGTTGTTGTTGTTGTTGTACCTCCATGGCATTGCTGGTTGAGAATTCCGTGATTCCCGCTATCTGGATCCCACCCTTGGAATCTTCCCGCAAATCCAGAAACCCCGATGAAGGGTTCAAGAGGTCGCGGATCATTTCATTGTAAATCTGGAACAAACAAAAGGGGAATGAGGGAAATGTAGTTAACCATTAATGATAGATTTAGCATCTACACACACACAGTGTTCCTAAATACATAGCATCACTTTAGTATATCACAAAAGCCATGATTGTTAGAGGACAAAGGGACGAACAATAATAATAATCCTTGCATTTGATATAGCGCCTTATCGTGTCATTGAGACGTCTCAAAGCGCTTCACAGAATATAGTGTTAAGCGAATTGATTGGTATTTTGTGGGCAAAGTGTCGGGAACCCAATCAACCTATACGCCGGCAGTCGAGGGGTTAAATATTGCACGACTCTCGGGTTTTGTTAACTCTTTATAAACTCACTAGTGCTCCTGCTGAACAGGACATTGCATCTCTGTTCCCCTCGGACAACGTCACTGTGCCACAAAAATACAGATAAGGGCATTTTTTTGTGGTTTATTAAATTTAAAACAAAATCCAGGACCTGAACTCAATCCTTTTCCCCTCCCCTCCCCTCCAGCAGCTTCCATACAGTAAGAGAGAGGATACAGTGTTGACCAGCGCTCTGCCAAGCCACAACTCAACTCGCGCTGCAGAGGACTTCAATTAAATGAGATTGACCTCAAAGTCAACGCTCTGTGTACTGGGAGTGTGCTCATTCGGTGGCAGTTAGCTGTCTTATCTTTCTTTCTTTTTCTCTCTGTTTGTCTCTCTCTCTCTGTCTGTCTGTCTGAAACACACACATTGATGCACACAGACATCTTTCAGCGAGACTGTTTCTGAGATTTCCATGTACGGCTGTGTGTCAGAAACAACAGCACAATAAACGCTGTGAATTCAATTGAAGTCAAGCAGCCTTGAAGCTTCCTTATTGCCAATTTGCATAGGAGGTTCAGTAATACCTCTTGGGGCAGGTAGAATGCCTAGGACTAGGGCTGGCTACACGTCGATGTCCAACTCTCCTGGAAAGGACAGTTGCCTAACTCAACGGGTTGTCCTCCATGCTGTCTGATTCATTGGATGAAACTCATACCAATGGATGGCAATGCTACAAGATTTGTAACAACAACAACTTGCAATTATATCGTCCCCACCCCCATGCAGCGCTTGGCTCTCCCGTGAAGACCTGGCACTTGAACAAGATGTTCTGTTCTGTCAGTTCTGACGAAAGGTCATCGACTTGAAACACTAACTCCCTTTTCTCTCCCCATACATGCTGCCTGACCTGCTGAGTGAGACACTTCCCAGACACTTCTTTTTTCGCGCCAAAGAGCAAGGTGGAATAGCAGCCACAGCACGAGCCAGGACCTTCGGGAGACGGGGGGGAGAAACTCAGCAGAAAAGAGGTTTGGAGTTTACCTCTAAGTAGGACATCGAGACATTGTACTGCATGCTCTCACTGGTAGCTTCAATAGCTCGGAACAGGTCGTTGAGTGTGCGGATGTAGATTCCAGGCTCACAGTGCATCCCCAGCATGGTGTATGTCTTGCCAGCCCCTGGGCACAAGAAAACATTGGCGTAAACTTACATCGTTAGTTGGCAGAGTGCCTCAGGGGGGAGTTGTGCGCAAGACAGTTTTATCTACACCACTCTGACGGATTGTGTTGTTCATTTTTTTTTAATGGGGTACTTGGAGTAGCATAACAGGCAGAACAGGCTCAAGGGGCTGAATGGCCTCCCGCTGTTCCCATGTTTCACAGAACGCTTGTGAAGCCGAATCCGAAGAAGGGAAACAAAACAAAGACAGGTTTAAGAAAGAAAAGTCAACGACTCTATTGGACGGGATGAATATTACATAAAACATCATCTGGACAAATTGATTTCATAAATCACCCCCCAACCCACACTACCTGTAGGTCCATACGCAAAGACAGTAGCATTATATCCGGAGATGACACCTTCTATCAGGTCCTTGGTGGTAGCCATGTAAACATCTTCCTAGAAAATAAGTACAAATGGCTTTAGTTTACAGTGACTGTAAGACAGGGATTCCAGCAACAATTTACATGTACACAGCGACTTTCACATCAGGAGAAAATCTCAAAGCTCTTCACACAACTTCGAGACGTCTCAATGACGTGATAAGGCGCTCCAGCGAATGCAAGGATTTATTATTATTATTATTACTAAATCGAGCATTATCAATTTGTTCCAAATGTTGAGGCAGGAACCCGCCCCACTAGTCAGCAGCGGTTGGTAGCACTTTATCAACCTCTTTGAAGGATTTGCAAGAATAATGTGTGTGTCATTGAAATGTGGTACAGCTGCAATAATGGGCCCTCTTCTGAGATAAAAGGCGTGTTCTCACCGCAATAGAGACGGCTCTTTGTTGCATCCAACACACGGCAAAACACGGTAAAGAACATCTCCTTGACAATGCAGAGAGACAAGAAAAACAAAACCCCCCTTTGGAACAAGATTCACGACACGCACGCCGGTACCTGGGAGGCAGTGTGATCAAACACCACGTCGAACATGAAGGTCCGCTCGCGAGATCGATTCGCTCGGAGGATGTCATCTGGGTCTTCTGTCGGATCCATCAAGACCACCATCTGCGAAATCAGAGAGAAGAACAGAAGTGGATTGAGGAACGAGGACAGGAAATCATCTGCACCTTCAGCAGCGCAGCACAATCCAAAACGACAACAATTTACATTCACACGGGACGGCATCTCGGAGCACTTCACACAATATACCCTTAAGTGGTTTGACTGTCTTTTGTGCAGCGAAACACGGCAGCCAATTGCGCACAGCCGTTATATAGTCATATGTATAGTTTGATAATCTTCCTATGACGTATGCAAACTGATTACACAAGTCAAATAGCACCATAGAACTGAAGCCTGTTATAAAGACTAGCATCCGGTCATTATAATGAATAATAATAATCCTTGCTTTTGATATAGCACCTTATCACGTCTTTGCGACGTCTCAAAGCGCTTATCAGGTCATTGGCCAAACGAACGCTGGCATCCTGGGCTCACAGAGAAAGTTCATCTTATTTATTATTGTCCGACTACCTATGACAACTTTGAAACTCATGAGCAATGCACAGTCAATTAAACCCTGACGGCTAAGTTGTAAGGTTGAACTATACCACATCAGGTTTGAGACTCCTATTGTGTCTAAAAGCAATGTTTCTTCCTAAACTACTTCTGAGCAACGTCTTAAAGTAATTTATTAACTAATTAATTTTGTGCGGAATTATTCCGATCAATAAAATGCAAGAAACCACATGGGAGGGCAAGTTTAAACCTGTCTGAAACAGACTAATCAAACACATGAATGCAGGCACTGGCAACTCACTAAAAACCCATTTCATTAAGGAGGCAAAAGGGGATTATTAGGTGACTTTGCAGCTGTATGAAACGCAACAGTGAGTTAATAGACCTTGCATTTGTGAAGAAAAATAACCCGTTGATTTATTTTAGCCCAAATAAATCTTTCTAATATGAACAGCGAGCCTCACTAACACTCACGCTAACCTCATATTACAATCACTTCAATATGTTTAGATGCCCTCTCCTTCTGCTCTGCCAACTCGTGCCAGCTTCAAATCCCCCATCAATGGGTGAGCTATCAGCCACTAAGCTCTTGCTCTCTGACCCTGCTCCTTCATCCCTCTGCTCTCTCCCAATAATAATAATCCTTGCATTTGATACAGTGCCTTATCACGTCTTCGAGACGTCTCAAAGCGCTTCTCAGGAATATACTGTAAAGTGAATTGAATGTATATTGTGCGGGCGAAATATACTCTGCCTCACTCCCTGGCAGAGGCCAAAACCCTGCGCCTCGCTCCCTGCCTAATTGGATCTGCTCGCTCCCCAGTCTGCCTTCAGAACCCATCTTAAAAACCTCTCTCCTTTGCCCATTCCCCTCTCTCCCACCCTACCCTACGTTTCGCCCACAAAATATACAATCAATTCACTTTGCAGTATATCCTGTGAAGCGCTTTGAGACGCCTCAAAGACATGGTCAGGCGCTTTATCAAACGCAACAATTATTATTATTATTACCCTCCCACCCTAACAATCTTATGAAACTTTTTTCAGCTTTAGGCATTTGGCAAATCTGATTCCATGGACTGTGCCACGCATTTCTGGGACAGTCAGTTCACAACTAGCTAAGTCTTAGCACAAATATGTGCGGGGCATTAATCTATACTTTGATCAGAAATGCAAGGAGTGCCACTTGGAGGAAAATCAACGGCTCCTCTGAGATGAAGCTTTCTCACGCAGAGCTGGTGCCAGGCTGCCACCATCAATCTAAAGGCTCGGCTCGAGGTGTATTCATGGAAGGGGTGAAGTGCCCATTGCTTCAAGTTTCTACCACAGTTGCTAAGGTAATGGAGCCATCATTCACAGCTGCCTGTTTGAGGAATGAGTGGTTCAATACTGTACGTCCTACTCAAATTACTCTAAATATCTTCTTCGGTCACTGCTGCCTTGTAGCAAGGGGTAAAATGGGCATCACGCTTCAGTGAAGCTACTGTTGGTTAGCAAATGGATGAGAACTGAACGACTGTTGATGGGGGTATAGCGGGTGTGAGATCACAATCCCATTGGAAGCTTAAGCTATAACAGAGCCCGTGCATCTCGAATGAATAGTAACATATCTCGCATTTCATGTAGTGCCTACAATGCTGAAACTTGCCAAAGCGCTTCACGGGCAATTGCTCTCAAATGTAGCGACTGTGTATTTGTAAAGATGGGAAGCAATAAAGCAACAAGTCTTCCAAATGAGACCTGAGCCAGATTGTTGGAGGTGATCAGTCCAAACAAAGGAGTCTTATGAACAAACAGTCACTTGGTATTCTCCGCTGTCTGTAATTACTGTTGTAAAAGCACACAATGGCTTTGGGCCTTTTCAACCCAATATCTGAAATTACAGTGCAGCCTTCTGAAAAGGGCCAAGGTAAATAATTACAAACTAACCTCGTTTCATCCGTACTGGAGCGGTGAATAGAAAACAAATCCATTTGTATTTTTTTTTTCTGACTTGTGTTGCCGAGGAAATGACTCCCATTGTACAACATTCCTCAATCCAGCCAAGCCCGTTTCTGTTTTGATGCAGGACAAATGCAGAGCTATTTTGTACACCTCGTGCTCATCAGTGAAGGGAACGGACCTTGAATGCAAAGCTGATTTGACTGAATTCACCGCGTTCAACTGGGATTTGTCTTCATTTACATTTGTACCACTAGGTACCTGTCGCATCACAAAGAGGCAGTTTTATTGATGAGTTCTTCTTTAGAGTACAGAACTGGAATATTTCAGTGTTGAACATTGTATTGTATTGAGCAGGGACAGCAAAACTCTATGTGATATAAGACACACTGTAATATTTAGCAACCATTGTGATTCCTTCCACCACTTTTAGACTCTTGCTATCAAGCCAAACTTGGCGTAATATCATGTCTTAGCCCTGAAAGATGCAGAGAAGAGTTATGAATAACTGGGCTGAGATACGAGGCTGTTGTCTAACAAGCGGTTCAGTCAAGGCTATATCCTGAAGCTAAGAATGAAATTGCAGCTTCAACTCATGCCCTGGTATTTGGTTTTATTATTGTGCTACATTAGTACTGAATCATATTGTTTTTATAATGTAAAAATGTTTGTTCAGTGTCTTGATAATGACTCAATAAAGGGTTCCGTGCCTTGAACCCTGCCAACAGGGGAATGAATAAGATTCACTGCACAATATCACCTTATATCAGGATTTACTTAGACCGACGTTGACTGTGTTCCTCTCCTGTGTGAATTATGTCTCAATTTTTTATCAGTCTCTAATTTACTATGTGACCGAATATACCATCCTCAGATTTTCTTTTCTCGAAAAAGATGCACTTTAAAAAGGAATAGAATGCATTCAGAGCATACATAGATCATACAATAATACATCTGTGTAGTGGGTTCATGCAAATTGTTCCCGGAAACACAATTTACCTTTACTAAAAAATATTTTTTTATGTCTTTGACATAACGTTATCACAACACACACACACACAAAGTGTTTTCCCTTCAAATTATATGGTTAAAAAAATTGATGGATCCACTACAGAAAGTAAAACTATCAAGCGATAAAGGTGATCGGCGATCGAGCAAATGCCTTACATCACACTGCTACTGCGTATGTGCCAATCAGGATTAGATGGGCCTTGGATCGAGACTTCAATAAATAATTGACAGGGAGGAAAACCTGCAGATTAATAAAGATTTAAACGCGGGAGGGAGACACAAAGGAGGACTGATAAGGGTAAATTGGTGAGGATACTGGGGAAGAAAATAAAAGCTGCAATGCTTCACAAGAAATTCACCTCTAAATACTGCCATTGAAGGTACTATTTCAGTAGGTCCACAAATCACTTCCATCTTCCATTGACTATCAGTACTATTTGGAACGCGAGTTATCTTATCACACCTAAATAATCCAAAATATAATCCTTGCATTTTGATACAGCGCCTTATCACGTCTTAGAAACGTCCCAACACAATTCCCAAATGGCTCCCTCTAAATAATAATAATCCTTACATTTGGTACGGCGCCTTTCATGTCGGGAGGACGTCTCAAAGCGCTTTACGGGATATCCTGTAAAGTGGAGCGACTGTGTATTTTTGCGATGAAACACCCACGATAAACGCGTACACATAAATACATACATGCTTGAGGCACTGTTTGGCACTGCCAGGAGTTCCCTGTGTAATGTGTTGTTTTTCCCCCCATTACACACAGCTACCTTGTTTGTGTGTAAGCACTGTGCATTCCGGAGCTCCGTCAAACAAAGAGAGTCTGTCCTAAACTGTCCTGATTCCTGAGGCAGAAACAACATGTAAAAACGCCGGCAGTTTCCTGCCTGCAACGTGCAGATGAACTGATTTAGCAAAACTGTCCGGGGACGAGGCATTGTCTGGCGTTATCGTTTTGTGCCGCGAAAACTCTTTGTGAACTGCAGTTGTCACTACGCATCAAGTTAAAAAAAAAAATCAATGTTTTATAGAGCGCAGTCAAAACCTGCCCATCCTCGCTTTGTTACGGCTGTAGGTTCTGTCCTACTTACAGTTGCATTCCCGAGAGGAAAATGCTCGAGAGAAAATATAGCTCTTCGGTTCAAAAAAAAAGAAAAATACTTGAATGTGACCACGCAGTTCACTGTAACCTGGACTTGCCTTACCTGTTTACCTGCGAGCCTCACTGATGGACACGGAGGCTGGTCACCACCAACAATGCCTTGAGTTAACATGGACTCCCTAGCCTCGTTGATGCTATCCCTTTGGACGCAGTTTTTTTCTAAAAGGAGGCCCAATTACTCACCTGTGTTCCTCCTCCACACCCCCACACTGCCCCCACCATCACCCCCCTCCCCCCACCCCTAACTCCTATATACTTTATTGACATGGTTTGAATGGCTTATCGAGAATCAGAACCAGAATTTAAGTCCATTCACTGCTGATAGAAAGAGCGAAACTCTGTCACTCTCTCCCTCAATCCCACCCGCCCCCTCGCCTTCTCCTTCCCCAGCATTAAATCCCGCCTAAGGACCTTCCTTTTTGATCGTGCTTACAGTCACCTCACCCCCCCCACCCCCCAGCCACTGTTAAGCTCTCCAAGACGCTACCCCGTGTGAAGGGCGCAAAATAAATGCAAGTTGTTGTTGCTTTACAGCGTTACAGCATCGAACACAGCACAAGTGTGGTGCCAATAACAAGAGCCACGTACCTGGTCATCCACTTTGTGTGCAATGATAATGGCTCCTTCATCAAGCTCCGGTTCGTTGATGGGGCGGATGCGAAGAGCCACCTAAACACACGACAATCAAAGTACATTCGTATCTTACAATTCACCGCTAGAACAACACAATAATAATAATAATAATAATCCTTGCATTTGATGTAGCGTCTTTTCACGTGGTCGAAACATCTCAAAGCTCTTCACAGACTACACTGTAAAGTGAATTGACTGCATATATTTTGTGGGCGAAACACGGCTGCCAATTGCGCACAGCGGTGTCCCACAAACAGTCACGGATTGAGTGAGCACGTTTTTCTTTTTTTACAAGGGCTGCACATGATGAAGATCTAGCTTCCTCCAGGGGAAGGGAATGCTGTGGGGTGGGGGAGGAGAAAAAGAGAGATGGGTCTTGCCTAAGGTTATTTTTAAACGTATATTGCAGGGTTATTGAAATGAATATTCTGTAATTCTAGTTCTGCTGACAGCGGCAAGAGATCCTCACAATGAGGAGGGAACTCAGTTCTAATAACAGGAGAAACATTGCAATTAGCAAACCCTCCAGCAGCTCGGATGGAGAACCATTATCACTGGACTTATTCAGCGCTGAGCACAGTAATTACAGGCCGACTCCAAGATGACAGAATCAGGATATGGGGGAACGGCAGGCCAATGGGAATGAACAGCCGAGCTCCTTCTGTGCTCTCAATGTCTCTGGTTCTATTATAGAATCATCGCAGCACAGAAGGAAACCTTTGGCTCATCGTGTCCATGCTGTTGTTGACTTTAATGGAGGGGAGATATCTACTCTAATCTAATTGCCCTACTCTAGCCCTACACCCTTCAATCAGGGCGAAACCTCAGGCAGATTTCCTTACTCCACACACACGCCTCTGATTACCCAGCAGTAAGTAGTAACCGGATTGTTAGTCGATCGGCAGATCACTTTTCCCAGGGTAATAATCGCTTTAAAAAAATATATGGTCAGTCAATGCACGGCTATTTGTGGGACACTGCTGTGTGCAATTGGATGCCACGTTTTGCCCACAAAATATACAACTAATTTCATTTAATTTACAGTATATTCTGTGAAGCGCTTTGAGACATCTCAAAGAAGTGATAAGGCGCTGTATCAAATGCAAGGATTATTATTGTTGTTTACCTACTCTTTCTCCATACCCCTGCAAATTATTCTTTGCACAGATATCTACTACAATTCCCCCTTGAAATCTAATATTGAAATCTTCAATATGTATTCGACTAAAAGATAAACGATTATATTTTCCACAAAATCTTAACTTACCTTCACTTTTGGATAATCAATCACACTGTACATTTCTGAGCGTGAGATTTCTTTTTATATTCAAGCGCATGTTTTTTTTTAAACACTCCCTCAAAAAAAAGGTCAGCACTTTAAACGCTTCACAGATCTGGATCTGACAATGTGACATCATCATCATTATGAGGGCATAGAATTGGAGCAGGTGAGCATCGGTTTCCAACGCACACTCTGGGCTCCCCCCAAACCTTGGCTCTTGCCAAACTGCGCCTAATACTCTCCGGAATTAAGTAAGCAGGAGGCGTGCCTCCAGGGAGGGAGAGAGAGAGAGAGAGAGGGTGCGCATTCCATTCCAACAATCTATCTCTGGGATTTCCATGTGTAGGTCGGATGAGTGGAAATCTCATCTTGGTTTGGAGACTCCTAAGGCAGGGTGATGGGTTTCCGCATGTGTCAAGACAGCTGGCCTCCTAATGCCAAGGTGCAATGCATTGGCGATCCAATACATTGGTACTCTAACGCAAGGCATCACCAATGCTATGATTATAATAACTTCACATTATTAAACCAGCTCAGGTCTCACTGCAATATCCAATTCAGCTCAATCAGGTGACGTCACAATCCCCACTCAGTCAAAGCCTTAACATTCTGCTGTAACATTTACTTTCTTTTGTTACAATGAACGCCTGCGAAGCTCTTTGAGACATTGATGTTACTGGTACGACAAATGCAAGGCTTATTTCCTTTGTGATAGGAATGTTAAAAAATTAGGAAGGCGGGGAGACTGTCAGGAACAAACCAGGTCGATTTCTGCTAGAAAATAACAGCTGGGGATACAGTATTTAGTTTGGGACATGACATGTCAAGCGACTGCCAGGGATGGTGGAAGGCAAACTAGATGGACCTCGGACTTCTTTCGCTTAGCAATTTCATATGTTCCTATGAGTGCTTGTGATCGTACAGTCCATCAGGGCCAAAAATAACCAAGCATTAATATCACCCAAGGAAGTCAGATTGAACCCTCAGCAATGTTGAGGGGAAAAGAGTCCAGTGTCTCTCACACTGTCATGCCAGAGTTCTCCAGGGTACAGAACTCCAAACTCATTTTCAAGAATGCATTAAACAATAAAAACAGACACCAAGGAGTGCATTCAAGGACGTAATCTAATCTCAGGATTCAGGTATCATTACCCACTCGGTTATAATGCGACACCGACAGCTCTCAGTTGGATTCCAGCCTTTTCCAAGCCACTCTCTCTTGTCTCAACACTTTATTTTTAGAATAAAGCACAGCATGTCATAAAACTCAAGCTTTGCAGGAAGCTTTACCCACCCGGATAGAAACCTTTTGTTAAAAATGACGCAGGCGGGCGAGAAAGTGAGAGCAGTGGAACCATTAGAAAGCCTCAGCATGTAAGCAAACTGCACCTGTAACGCAATACACAAGAGGTGACTGCTGCACGAATGGCAAATAACCATAAGTGCTTGTTCTCACTTGCAGCAATGGCCATGTGGGTAAGAACGCAGGCAAGAGGTGGGCTCTGGTGTATTGGATTCCGTATTGGTCTGTCCTATTTACCTCATGTGTAACTTTACAAAACAATTGTACACTAATAATAAGTAATAATAATCCTTGCGTTTGATACAGCACTCCACAGACTGTTTATTCTGTAGCCCATTTGCACGCAGCAATGACCCACAAACAAGCAGTGAAGTGAACGACTAATTTTAACTGGGGGGATTGGTGGCCAGGATCTTGGGAGAAGCTGTTTCACGGAAAGACTACATCGTAGGCAAGGATTGTGATTATTGTTATTAGCCCCACGGGACCTTTCACGTCCACCTGAAAAAATACTTTTCGGGGGAACAGTATTCTTCATCTCAATTTGACATGGAGATTCAATCAATTCGACTGATTGCACATTCAATCTGAAGGTGCAGCACAAAATAGATGACGGTTGCAGTAGGTCACTGCCCGCTCACCCAAAGGGAAACAGAGCAAACACTCCAAAATAGCATGGAGCATCTGCCTGCATTATTCATGCAGGACCAGCTGGCGTCATTGGTAATACCATGGTCTGAGCAGCTCACCTTCCACACAGCATTCAATTATCAGCACCTGGAACCACTCGTACAACCACCGATCGATTCCCTTCCTAACCCGAGCGAGGCTCACCCAGCTCTTTTTAAAGTATTAACTATGATATATTAAACTGTTATTAATGTCGGTGTTTATTCCACACACAGGAGTGGGGCAGGGGGAGTGAGAGAGAGAGAGAGAGAGAGGGAGAGAAGCAAGGAGAGAGGAAGAAAATAATAATACTACTACTAATCCTTGCATTTGATATAGCGCCTTATCACATCATGGAGACTTCGTAAAACGCTTCACAGAATAATACTGTAAAGTGGAGTGACTGTATTTTGTGGGCAAAAGGTGGCAGCCAGTTGCGTCCAGCAGAAGAGAAAGGAAAGAAGGGTAAAATAACTATGTTTTAATTTCAAACCTTGCTTGAGGTGTGTTAATTTTTTTCCCGCACAGACGGAAACCCTGTAATAACACAAACAATTCCTCAAAAGCTCTGAGTCGTCTGGAAGTCCTGAACAGGCGCTGTATCAAATGCAAGGATTATATTTTGTTTTTTTTTAAAAAACATTTATTATCCACTTTACAGACTCCGAAGAAGTAGTAATGAGTCAGACTGACTTGGGCAGTGAATTTTTGGCACACAAAAAGTTTTGAGGTGGAAGACATCAAAGCCCACTTTCCTTTCCTTCACCCCCACCCCAAACCCCACCACCTTTCCAGCCCCACGTTATGTACAAGGTGTGACCATTTATCTTCGATCACATTCAGGCTCAGGAGGGAACAGCAACTCACCGTGAGCTGGTGATACATCTTCGCCTCTCCTCCCATCTCCTTCATGTCTGGGAAGCGACGTTTGGTCACTCTTTGCAGTCGATTTGCTCCATTTCTTGTTCCAATTCCAGTCTCTCTCCCTCTCTCTCCTCCAACGCTGCTTTAAACATCAAACCAACACCAGGTTTTGGCCCAACTCCACACACACACACACACACACACAAGGCACTGGTCTGGATGTTTAAAGCCCAGGTGTCGGCGTTTGCAGAGAGTCCCTCCAGCAAACGCCACAGATAAACCTCCCAGAAAAGGCGTCACTCTCTCTCTCTCTCTCTCTCCCAGTGAGATCCACAGCCAATGCACTGTCCATCTGCCAAAGGGTTGACCATGATCGTGGAGCGATTCAAACACCATCAAGACAGGAGGGCGAAATATTCCCCCCTTTGAATGCTGATAAGTCAAACCATAGCAATAGCAGCCTAGGAAACCTTTCATCAATGTTTGCAATAAATAAGGAACAACACCGAGACCAGGGCTCCTGCATCAGCAGAGAAGAAATACTGCTCCACAGCCTTCCTGATGGCCATCGCAGAAAGTTCAAACACGACTCAAAACAGTAATGTAACCCATTTACCTTTTCCTCCGCTCTTTTAAGATGACTTGAAAAGAACACCCACTCCATACTCTGTAGTACTTATTACATTCTTCACCAAATGATTCTCTTAATTCTGTCTTCAGTTTATACTGACTACAATCTATCTGGTCTTATCATTACTTACCTCTCTGGTGAGGTATATATTTAATATATATATATATGTTCTATATATTTACCCGCGCTGTAAAATTAAAATCTGAATTGTCTTCTCTTTTCTTGGTTGAGTTTTCAACCAAGTTAGACTTATTTCGCCCACAAAACACAGTCAGTTCACTTTACAGTATATTCTTGTGAAGCGCTTTTAAGACATCTCGGAGATGTGATAAGGCGCTATATCAAACACAATTATTATTATCACTACTATATAATAGATAATGACAATCCTAGCATTTGATATAGCGCCTTAATATGCCTTTGAGATGTCTCAAAACGCTTCATAGAATATAAAGTGAAAATTGACCGTTTGTTTTGGGAGAGAAACCCGGCAGCCAATTGCGCCCAGCGGTGTCCCATAAACAGTCCTGGATTGAGTGGCCATTGGTTTTAAATGTTGAAGGTATTACCCCCAGAAAAGCGATCTGCTAATCGATTAACAATACTATTCAGTTCACTCATATTCTTTAGGATCTTGAACACAAGAGGATCCTTTATTGGAGTCAACAGCCCAAGCCCTGGTGACCTTTCATCATGATCGAGATGGCCAGTTCCAGCTATCAATCTAGTTGACACTTTGCAAATGTAGAAGAATCATTTGCTTTCCTCAAAGGAATAGACTATGACTGACAAGAGGGTATTATGGCTGCAATTAACCTTTGCTGCACTGAGTTCACTAATCAAGAGTTAATAGACTCAAGGATGAGAAGTTTCAGTTGTGGTAGACACAGGCACTCATTTCTATTATGTAATAGCTGAATTCTACCAAGTGATAATTTTAACTTTTCCAGCAATCATTTTATTGGGATAAATTTCTCATTCGATACTCATTATGTTGGGGACAGACTTGAAAGCTCCTTTATGACTATTATTCACTCACGAAATACATAGTCAATTCACTTTACAATATTTGGGGAGGACAAGTTTGCAGGGCTACGGGGAGAGCGGGGGAGTGGGATTGATTTGGAAGCTCTTTTTCAAAGATCTGGGACAGACACGATGGGCCGAATGGCCTCCTTCCTGTTGTATAATTCTATGATTCTATATGTCTCAGCAATGTAAAGATACTGACTGTATCAAACGCAAGAATTGTTTTATTATTCAATACACGGTGAACACAATATTTTTAATTAAAAAAATGCATGTTTCAGACAGTCTCCCTCCAGGGCAAACCCTTACCTGACTTTAGATGGCTTATTGCCGTGCTTTTATATTCACGGTATTTACTCATTTGAAGGGGGAAAAATGTGACTTTTTTTTTCTGGAATTGAAATGTAATCGATACAAATCTAGTCCAGCGACATCTTGCTTCAAATTCCGTTTTGAAGGCAAATTGTGTGCTGAAGCTCTCTCTTCTCACTCAGCTGGTAGCACTTGTATCTTCAGGTCAGAAGGTTGTGGTTTCAAGTCACACTGGGACTTTGAGCTCAGTTTGGGTTGACAGGCCAACGTGGTACTTTGGACATGCTGCGTTGCTAGAGGCTGCTGTCCTTTGAAATGAGGCATTCAGCTGAGGTCCTGTCTACTTGGTCATTAAAGATCCCTTGGCAACAGTTCCCCCGAGAGAAAAAAAAATGGTCATTCACTTCACTTCATGGCTGTTCATAGCGCATTGCTGCATCCAAATTGGCTGTCGCATCTACCTTCAAATACACAGTCGCGACACTGAAACCCTTTCGTAACTGACAAGGCTCCATGTCAAATGCAAGACAATTTTTTTTATATCATCTTATTCAGAATATGCTCTGCAGTATTTATGCAACTTACAAGATAGCATCATTACAATTGCAGAAAGGCAGGCACGAAAATTGTTTTAATTCTACAAATCGAACGATACAATGTGCAACATGCAAAAAATATTTGTAAAAAGTTACGTTTTCTTCAACAACAGTATTTAAAATTCTGTTTTAATTAATGAGTCAATGAATCATTATAAAACAAAACTGTAACTCCAATGTGATGAAATGAAATGATAGATTTTGCCACCGCTGTGTCTCTGATGGTAAATAATTGGATAAAAGCTCAAGTCTCCCAAGTTAAGACCTAATTTAATCGCTTTTGTCCTCAACGTCTAACTGATTTTCTAAACTAGTATGACAAAATTGTGTTGAATACAGCGCTTGTTGGATATTCAGCTCCAGTCTATACAGTGGAATCGGTGTATGGCCACAGTTGAAAATAGAGATCTACTTTAATCCAAACAAAACATTGGATTTGATGCACCAAGTAGAGAGGTGGAGCGCAAGACAACCCTTGAAACAACCATTTGCTCCCCTATAATCGGCAACAATAGCTCTGACAATACACTTTGAATTAACATTAGGTATCCTTTCCCCAGTCTCAAGCATCATAAACGTGTCCTTCAGATAGACATTAAACCAAAGTCCCGTCTGCCTGTTCAGATCCCATGGCACTGTTCAAAAAGAGAAGTTTCTCCCTCTTGGTGTCCTGGCCAATAATCACCCAAATAAAATGTCATTAATTTCACGGCTGTTTGTGGGACATTGCTGTGTGCAATTGTGCTGCTGTGTTTGCCTAGGAATACAGTCACTCCATTTCAGTATATCCTGTGAAGCGCTTTGAGACGTCTTTCCAACATAAGACACTACAGCAAATGAAAGGATTATATTATTTGCAAAAGTCAACACACAAACAACACAAGCAATGTTACTATGCTTTATTTTATCCCATTACACATCAAATATAATCTGAATGGAGGAGGATAGAGTCCACTGTAGTGCCGCCAAAGCACACTAAAATATGTATTAACCTTTATTGTACGTTCAATATTCCTCCATACAAAATGCTTTCTCACTTTACCACAGCTGTAAAAATAGCCCACTGCTACAGAAAACACGTTTGAGTGCCTTGTTAATAACATACTTACACAAATCACTGTTACTCTACAGCCACTGGTGCCAATAGCAGAGTAAAACTGCAGAGCGGTTGCTACTTAGTGAAGTGTATTTATTCCCAATCTTATTCCCAAACACAGCAGTGTGTTTCAAGATTACCACTGCTGAAACGGATACAGTAAAAGGCACTGTGATGATCCTTTCGAGGAGTGGGCACATTCGCTTTTCGAGACGCAGTGTAAAAGTTCCAGACGATGTAAAGAGAAATCAGCTTCAATTGAGAGTACGTACGGTGGTGGCTCTGGACACAAGTAAAGAAGTTATGTGAATGCTTGAAATTTGAGACAAAGAATTAGATCATTTATTTATTAACTTTGTTCTGGATATTGTAAACATTGTAGAATTCTAAATTAATACTCAGTAGATTGCCTTCAACATCCAATCTACACTACCGTAGAAACCATACAGTGGTAATGTGGGAACTGTAGAGGTCAAATCTAATACCAAGATCTATCTTTCCCAGACTGCTGTAAACTACACAAATAGAAATCATTTGAATTGGTGAGTTACATTTACTGTCTGATAATATGCCACGTAGCAACAAGAGACAGTATGTTTGAACTGTGCCTGTCATCTCAGAATCCAATTGCTCTACTTCCTATTTTGGGATAATCCATGAACGAGGGAAGAAATTGTTCACAACGCTTTTACAGATTATTAATCTACAAAAAAGACAGCAAGGATCAAGAGCACCATAACAAACTGAACAAAGGTCCTTTTTATAGCTACTCTGGGTGTTGATTTTCAAGACAATTTGCTATCCACCTCCTAAAATAACATACGAGAAGGGGAATACAACTGAGTATGTCTTCAGTCCTCATAATATGCAGTACAATGAAGTTGTGACTGACAGATTGTTAATTACATGCACAATCCCTGTCTAACCCAGCAGAAATGGAGTAAGAATTTTTTTTAATGATATATTGGAACATGCAACTTTTTAAATGTTTTGCTTTTAAGTGTTTTAAAGGTACAATTTATTAAAACACAGACAAGGTTGTGATATATAGTCAATTCACTTTACAGTATATTCTGTTAAGCCCTTTGAGACATCTCAAAGACGCGATAAGCACTATATCAAATGCAAGTATTATTATATTACCTGTATCTTATGGGACTACTCCTGATCTCCAAGTGGGATGATTTCTTCTGTGACAAAAAACTCAATTGTCTCTTCCTCCCAATCGTCAACATTACTATCCAGCTCATCGGTGTCGACACCTGTTAAGGAACAACGTTTAAGAGACTGCGAGAGGAACCTTTATTCTGTAGCTTAGAGCAGTACCTACTGGGTAAATAGAGTATTACCACAATGAAGCCCAGAGCTGATCCGGATTAGTAAACTACACTTGAATCAATTGCTCACGGCAACATTACCTCCTCGGAGTTCCAGACGGAGGGGTTTCTGTTCTGCATAAGTCTCCATCGTCCTCTCACGGTATTTGTGAAATTCTTCCAGCATCTTGCGGCGTTTATCGACCAATTCCTTAAAACACAAAAACAGCCACGAATAAGAGACCGGTCCCACAACACCGCCCACCAGAGCATTGACTGGTGATTTTGAAGGGAAATGAGTGCAGGCAGATTGTTTTGAGATTCGTGGTAGTGCGGTGGGAGAGAATGGACTACAGATGAACAATTTCAGTTATTGTATTTAATTGATATGTTCTATATTCTCATATGAGGTATTGCCTTTAAGAAACTACATTCACGCATAGAAGACAATTTCTAGATTATGGAAAGAAAATGCCGCTGAAATATTCCTTAAAGATGGGATGTAACCTCTGAATGTTTCCTGGAAACGTCTTTTAAGTGAGATTTTAGAATTAAGATTGGATACACTTTGCATTCCTCAAATGCAAACATTTTGGGGAAAAAATTATTAGTTCCCAGTGATTTGATGAACACATGGCTATAAACATTTAATAACATTACAGCCGGGCTTGCACAATTGTAGTTAAGTAGCTTTAGAAGCCAAAAACAAGCCGAACTTCAAAGCACCATAACCAGTCTCCTTTAATCTTCAGAACACGTGTAAACTGTACATCTCTTGTTTTTTCTTAAGTCTAAAACTTGTCGTATCGACTACTCACCTTGGAGGCCTTGGACTGACTGAGCCGATCTTTCTGTTCAAAGATTTTGGAATACTTCTTGTAATCCTTCTTGATTTGCTGCAACAAAACATTTTTTATATTAACACAACACAAAGCCACAAGTAAACCTCTATATGAGGCTGTAGTTTGATACGTTAAACAGTTAAATTTCAATAAAGACAAATTTTGTCAGGTGGACACTGCTAAGCAAGATGTACTGTGATCTATTGTAGAACATTGTTTTGATATCAAGGACCTGTTCATAAGTATCTTTACCCACTGGCACTTTTGTCATTACTGTGTAACTATTCTCGTATAAATAAACAAACAGCAATCTTATAATAACATAACTATCAAATTGATATTTTGTTACTCCAACTACTGGTGGATACAAACCTTAAGCTGATCCTGAGAGAGCAGAGTTGAAGGTCTGGGCCTCCAAAGCAGTTGGCAGAAACGATCCTTGGCATTCTTCTGTAACAGACGTCCTTGGAAGGTCCACATCCAATAAGCATTGTCCATCTAACACAAAACAGACACAAACTTAGCCAAATCCTTAGAGGTTGGGCCTTTTACGTCATAGTCTCAGCTGCGTTCCCTGTGGCAAAGACCCTCACCACAACAACGGCTTCAAATAATAATAATAATTTGGCCACTTGATCCACGACTGTTTGTGGGACGCTGCTGTGCGCAATTGGCTGCCGTGTTGCGCCCACAAAATATACAGTCAATTCACTTTACTGCATATTCTGTGAAGCGCTTTGAGATGTCTCGAAGACATAATAAGGAGCTTTGTCAAATGCAAGGATTATGATTCAGAAACCAAGATTGCTGACGTGGGAAACAGAAGCTCACAGAGGTGGAAAGCTAACATTGGGACTGAAACACATTGTGGGCCTCAGTAAAGATAGCAAAATGTGTCCTGAAAGTGTATTGCTGAATTGAGAAGAAACACTTGGCTTCCACGTGCCAATGTGGTGTGCATCATACCATCTGGAGCAGCCAGAACTGCCAAGCCACTCAAGTCTCCACCTAGTGAAGATCTGGGCTCTCTCTTCAGCATCAAATCATTTATCGAGTAGCTACTCCGTCAGATAATTTACCTTGTGACTCCACCATGACACGGAGGTAACTATGTATCGTCCTGTTGGGTCCCATTCGACATCGGAAGCCGTGTAATGCTCAGCTACGTTCATCAGGGTGCAGTCTGACGTGTCGTAGAATGCCAAAGCACCATTCATACTGCAGATTAAGAAAGGTTTATTCAGAATTAGGTCAAGCAGGAGTGACTAAAAATGGAGACTGTATACAAAGGACCAGTGGCAATAAATGTAATATAGAATTTGCAAATTGTATATCTTATGGTTAATTATATAATCAGATTGCATATAGAAATGAGACAGACACAGCAACCCACGGTGGCCTTTAGACATGCAATAAAATCTCTCCCCACGTCTATAACAAGCTCCATTTTCACAACTGAGAACATTAATCACAGACCAGGGTAATTAGATCACCCGTCCCCCACCAATCTTTTTAATAAATTTGATCCAATCAATGAAAAGTTAATATATCAGAAGCTACATTCTTAACAGTTCTGAATCTTTGACACTATTTCATCTTAAAACCTTTACGACACTCACCTTCTAAGCCCGGCCAGTACCACAAATTGCCCTTGCGGACTCCAGAAGATGCTGTTTGCCTGCTGCTTGTCATACATTTCTAAGTTTGTTAAAAAACAAAGCAAGTTATAACTTTACACCCCAAACAGCAGTGCGATTTTCAATCCTCTGTAACGTGACACATTATTATCAGTCACGATAAAAAAATGAGTGTATTTAGGCAGTGTTGCACAACACAGTCTTGAAGAAATGGTGTTTGCCTTCACCGTAGCATCACTTAGACTTGGTGGTTAGAAATTAAAACCAGCAACATTGTAGGTGTAATGGTTAAGAAAAGACTGAAGACGGACATTTGTAGCACAGGAAGCCAGTTGGCTTTCTGCATGCTCACTCAATCATTCCCAGCTATAGAATAATTTGGAATTTTAAGGACACCAACTATATATATATTTATATATATATATATATAAAAAATATAATTCCCCGCCCCATTTAGCCATTTTCTCCCAGTTGACTTCAATATGTACCAACTGTGAGACAAAAATCCATGAACAGTTAACTGTCCACCTCAAGTTGTATTGTGGGATTCACTTACTGATGAGCTCAATCTTGCCGTTGTTCTTGACGTGGTAGAAGGACACAGATATCCTGGGCGTCTCTCCGTGAAGCACCGCAAATTTACTACCATTCGGCTCCCAAGCAAAAGCAATAATACCCTCTATAATGTACATTAAAAAAAACACACACCGCATTACAATTTCAGATGAAAGCAAATTGAAACAAACATTGTGGAACTTCCAAAGCCAAAAGGCAGTCAGTCAAGTTTTTTTAAATGGTAATATTGAAATCTAGGTAAACCTCAATCTCTAAGGCCTATCCACACGGAAATCCTGGCTTGACTTACTTCTTCCATCATTCTTTCAGTCAGCTCTCGCCCCTCCCACCCCCCCCCCCCCCCCAGCCAGAGGTGTGACACACTTTGAGTCATGTTCCCCATTTGAAAAGGACTATAAAAATACAAATTGTATAGACTGGAAAAGAGACACTGCCTTAATATTTTACACAGAGTGCTTCTGCAGCTAAGTTATTTCTGTAAGGACATCTTGTTTCGTTTGAAGGTGCTGCATGCAGAATGGAATATTTTATCACACTGCCATCACTTATAGTCATCAAAAGGAAGTACAGCTGCTGCCATATGGTAAGGCAGAACAAACTGTACATCACGTAACAATTCACATAAATCTAATTTTAGGAAACCACCCACTTCAATGCTAAAGGCAATGTTGTTTTCTTTATTAATTCACCTTATCCAGTTAAACATTTTTTATTTTTTTTATCAAAAATGAAGCAAGAACTCCTAGAGTTTTTTTTAATACTTACACCTGAATGAACAGTAAATTAGCTTCAGGTATTATAACTAGTAAATTTTAATAAAGGATTGTAAAGCCTCGTCAGAAGAGCAAACTCCAATAAAAGCGCTGAAAATTAGTAGGAAAGCAACCAAATATAGAACAACATACAAGTATGAGATCACTAAATACCCATGGAAACAGTGTGGAAAATTTACAATTTTAATTACAATCTGTGAGACGACCAAATATTAGTTTTGGCACAGCCTACCTTTCATTTCTACCACATCCACTGGAACCTGCTTTTCTCTCATTCTGAAGATCTCAAAATTAGTTACAAGACCCTGGAGAGTGAAAGTTAATAACGTTACATAGGCAATTGGCATTCTCGGAGGTCTAAATTGAAAATCTTTAAATACGATAAAAGTTCAAAACAAACGAGAACTTCATTTAAGTCAATCGACACATATGATGCATATGAGGTATCAGCTCAGATAAGTGGTTTAAATGTCACACGTTTGTTTTCTGTACAAGAGTCCAATTCAGCTGTAAGGCACCATAAGTATTTATTTTAAAAAATGAAATTTAAAATGTATTTCAATTAACAAGCCACAGAAAAATATGTTCAGTATTTGCCATCTCAGCTTATTTTTAAGTCAGTGATGATGATTTATTGCACCAATTAGCACGTACCGGTGTACCCTTCAGAGTCCTGTCTACTTTCACGCACAAGTAATCTCCGTTTTTCTGCCAGTGCAATTTGCAGTCCACCACGTTGAAAAGATTGCGGACTCTCATCTCTTGCCGTGTTGGAAATTGCATCAGAGTGACTCTCGCGGGAATATCTTTATCCTCGGGTACCCAGAATGCAATAACGTTATCACCTGGAGACCACGAGAAATCCCTGGGTGGTGGGGTGGGGGGGTGAAAAACTATCAGAAACAACTTGTTCAATTTGAAATTTACAGCGACTTAGTGCCTTGGAGCATCCCATGCACTGGCAATTTGCACAGAAAACGCAGTCTTGCAAAATACAATTACACTTACAAATGCGCAGAGCAAAACGTTGGCTGCAGATGTACAGATCACTTGTTTTATAATGAAGTGCAATATAACTGTGTTGCACTGGTCAATAAAGTACTTTAACTTAGTATGAACATCCTCACCTTATTCCACTGATCTTCAAGCTCTTCTTATCCAACAGTCCCATTGACTGGAGATAAAAAATAAGATGGCGGAGGTCTCAATTACAAAAACAAGCATTTGTGTACTGCCCTTCACGTAGCATAACGCCAGAGCATTCACTAGCTCAAACTGTATTAGAGCCTTGGAGCATCCCATGCACTGGCAATTTGCACAGAAAACGCAGTCTTGCAAAATACAATTACACTTACTAATGCACAGAGCAAAAAGTTGGCTGCAGATGTACAGATCACTCGTTTTATAATGAAGTTCACTCATGATTGCCACAATTTATATTTTTAATTAAAAAGTTTAAAACAATCTGTCCAAACCAAATGTTATTATCTGGGAACAAAATAAAGGTGCAGAAATAATAAATAAGCACAGAGAGGGTGAAAAGTACACATCTAGATCAGGCATAATACTGCCTTAGATTTGTTTGGCTTTTCGTCGAGTTCTCAAAAGAACGCCAGGCCAATAGTAACAAATACTCACCGGAGCTTCATAAATACTGAGCATATCTTGGGTCATTCGAGCAAAAAACTTCCCATCATGGCTCCACCTGTTAGGGAAAAGAGAATGAGTAAAAATTACATTCTGGTCAATATAGTCATAGCCAAAAAAACGAAAACCTCTCCAGCACAAGAGTGGTGTGCTATTGCTCCTTCTTTTAGATCAAACGTACTTGAATATAGGCCAATGTGCTGAATTTTCACAATGAAACCCTCGCTTCTTCTGGCCTGTGAGGATGTCCCAAATGATGATGGCCTGGGGGTCGTCCTTTGTGTCCAATAAAGGGCTGAAGCTTACCATGTATCTGTAGAGTTAAACAAGGGGAAGTTAAACAAATGGTCAGTGTCTATAATATAATCATCATCAACTACATTTAATAAACACGTATCGATTGATCTGGGTGGCCCCCAAATAAACCAAGTACCTTTCACATGGAGAGAAATCGATCAGCTGGACACCCTGGTGGCTGAAACGCTGGATCTGCTTGAACTTCTCCCCACCCCAGAGAGCAATACCTCGCTGATGGAACGTTGCCAAGTAGGTTCCTCTGGGAGACCAGCGAACGTAGGTCTCTGTCCAACGCTACCACAAAAAAGAACACAAGACATTCAAAATGTAAAAATCTTTGATTGAATGGCGTTATTCACCCCCCAAAAAATATAGTCAATTCACTGTACAGTATATTCTGTGAAGCGCTTTGAGACGTCGCGAAGACATGTTAAGGCGCTATATAAAATCCAAGTATTATTATTATTAATGATTGAATCAAGGAGCAAGATGACCAGATATACTTCCACTCCCTAATTTTAAATATATTAACATAACTAAAATCTAATTTTAGCTAATAACAAATTTAATGCATTTTCTACTGATGACAATGTCCCCATCATGTTTAAAGATTCAAAAAAAAGTATTGCCTAGGAATGCAGGTCAGAAGTCAATCATGGTACAAGCAACTGAAAGTTGTACATGGAAATTCCCTCTTCAACACAAGATGTGCAGTCCATTCACCATCATCGTTAGTACATGGAGAATAAGCCATTAATTTCCATGACAAGGACAAATTTAGCACACAAGGTTACAAGTCATATAGAGTAGTATGAGGAATGATGAAGACATCTAATAATGTAAAACATCTAATTATAACAGCAATCCTTTGAAGCACTTTGGGACGTCTTCCTGATTTGAAAGGCGTAAGACCAATCACAATTGGCTTAGCAAATCGAAAAAGTGCATTTTCAACCCAATTACGAAATTTTATTCTCTAATCCTCAGCCTGGAGGATGAAGATAACACAGCAGTCAAGATCCATTCAGTACTTACTGCTCTCTCTTCAATAGTGACGGGTTCCTTCACATCATTCCACAGGATTGCCGTTCTATCTCCAGACTCATAAATAATGCTGCACTGATCTCTGCAATCCGGATCCTCCAACCAATAACGAAGATTCCCCTGAAACAAGCACGAGTTTTAAATACAACGATTTAACTGCAAACACCATTAAGTGGGTTGAGGTTCTAATAAATATTTTCTTTAAACAATTCCACCTCAGTTTGTAAAAAGAAATGAACTTGTCTGCCAGTTGGAATTACATGCTACACAGAAAAAGATCTGATTATTAATATAAAATCTCTGCTCAATGTAATACAGTATCTTTCCTTGCTATTTTCTTGGAATTCCTCCAAATCACTGAGATGTGGCACTATTTCAGTGGTTGAAACACATCGTACACAAATCGAGTAAAGGTCCAAAGCTTCATAGCCACAAAGCAGCAGGGATTACAATAAATATCTTCAAAAAGCAATGCTGTTTTTCATCCATTCCAAAATTTCCATAGCACAAAATTGTCAATAACAAAATACACTGTGATAAGTTCTCTCATATCCCCTCATACATACTCCATCATTACAAGTGGGAAGCATAACTTACAAAATCTTTAAATGGTTGTTTCTCAGGTTTCTCCCACTCTTCACTGATGGTCACATACCTAACATGAAAAAACAAAGTCAAAATAAACTTTTAGTGAAAAATGGCTAGTAACACTTTGAACTAGCATTGACCAACTTAACTTCAGAAATGCCTACGAACTTAGAGTAGATGTTATCAGCTAGTAAAATAAAAAGGGAACATTTTCAAGTGACAAGATGAGGGAAATCATGTTGTTAAAAAGTAATCACAACACCACACATCAGGACTACTACAGTAAAGACACATTGCCAAGACACATTGACCCGCTTCCTCCGTTCCCAAACAAGACACCTTTATTATTATTATTATTAAGATAAGCATACTTATGACTCAGTGCCTCCATAAATACATGAAGTGTACATATTTACCAAAACATCAAGAATCAATATGACAAGTGCAATACATTCTCCTCTCAGCATCAGGTCCATCATGACAACACAAATGATTTAGGCTAACAGATTAATATAAAGTCTACATATACATTATAATCTCCCTTCAAACAAAAATAAAACATTTAATAATGTGATACCTACTTATCAAAGTCAGTAAAAAGGTTTACATGGAAAGTGTGTTGTTTATCCAATTTATATCCATCTGCATTTTTCACAGCATCCAGAGCACAAGCTGGTGAATTGTATTCCAGGAAAATATACCTAAAATAGAGAAAAAAAGGTGGTTGGATACAGCCTACGTTGGAAATTGAAGTTCCAGAGTAATAAATTTTTTTGAAATTGAAGTTCCAGAGTAATAAAAAATTGGATTTAGGAGTTATAAGTAAGTCCAAATAGATGGTAAATGGTCATCTCAGTACCACAGTACATAAATTCTAACATAACACTTTTTATTTTGGGTCAGTCTGCTATCTTGACACACAAGGAAACCCATCGCCACTCTTACAATGGGATTCAAACCAAGCAGAGTTCTATGCATGTAATCCATGGGGATTCTAATACATATTAACATAGTATTGTGCCTCACAACAATTCAAACTAATTTTAATCAGAAGCAGTTATATTGACAAATTTGCAGGAACTAAGCTATATATTACAGAAGCTCCTGTTTCAGAATTCTCAGTAGTTGATAGAAATTTTTCAGTGTCACTGAACCTGTCAATTTTGATTAGTATTAGTAAGAAAAACCTTACGTGACTACTGCACAATTACATACTACCACACTGACAAACCAAAAGGCAAGGAAGGGCACACATCTCGATTAACTTGGGAAACACAAAGGACAAAATGATCTTCTGACAATATGGTTATTGTTTTGCGTGTTACAGGTCTGAAACACTTTTAAAATAATTTTTTCCAACCAACTCATCTCCCAAGACATTCACATAACAACACAACATAGTTGGAGAAACAAAGAAGGAAGCTTTAAAAATTAAATCTACCCATACCCTTTAGTTTTTCCATCTGCTTCAGGATAAAATTCATTTGTGATCTTTCCAAATTTAGAAAAGATCTTCTGGATGACATTGCGGAGTTTCTCTACTCGATCTGGTCCAACCTCTGGAACATTGTCCACAACAATAACAGAATCAATTCCATCTGCTTCCAGAGGTTGATCCTTTAAAATATCACCCAACAGTTCTATGAAAACAAAAGNAAAAAATATTACTAATGTCACCAAATACAGTAGAATTTTCCTGCTGTGCAAGAAGGTGGCGCAATGCAATAAGCTTCAATACACCGTAAATAGTCACAGATCAATTATTACCTTAGTTCACCAAAACAGGAATCTTCATCTTGGTGGGGCCAAGATGAAATTCCATATAGGTGTCAACCCAGACAGTCAGACACAGACAAATGTAATAAGTAAACAAATGTAATAAGTAAACAAGTTAATAAGTAAACTTATTAGTAATAGCACATAACCTAGAAAGTGGGTGTGAACCACATATGTATTACCAGTTCACTCACATCAAAAATGAAAGCCTTTGTTCAATTAAACAAAACTTTAAAATTAGCAGTAAGTAGGAACCCGTTTGCTAGTCAATTGACGGATAGCTTTTCCAGGGGATAATAATCCCTTCCAAAAAAATAATAAAAATAAATTGAATCCACAATTGTTTGTGGGACACTATCGGCTGCTGCATTTCACCCACAAAATATACAGTCAATTGATTTTACAGTATATCCTGTGAAGCGCTTTGAGAAGTCTCGAAGACGTGATAAGGTGCTATATCAAATGCAAGGAATATTATTATTATCCTCGCCCAACTCCACTAGTTTCCCATCACACAGAGGATTCAAGATCCTAGTCCTCACCTTCAAAGCCCTTCTTGGCGTTGCTCCCCGCTACCTCTACGACCTCCCAACCCCCTACCAACCTGCCCGTTCCTTCCGCTCAGCGGACTCCAGCCTCTTCACGTCCCCCACCTCGTCCTCCACACCAGTATCGGCCTTTGGCTATTCTGCCCCCCCCCCCCCCCCTCCCTGGAATTCCATCCTGCAGTCCCTCCAACTTGCCCCTTTCCCTTGCCTCCTTCAAGACCTATCAAAAGACCCTCCTCTTCGACCATACCTTTGGTAAACCTCCTTCCCCTCTCCTCCCTTACCCCTCCAACCCCAGCTCAGGTCTGAAATGCTGTACTCTGTCCAGCGCCTTGGGACGTCCTCCCACTTTACAAATGTAATCTTGTTGTTGAATCATTGCAGGCTTCTTTTACTTTACTAGTTATCTTCTTGGAGACATTTCAAAGGCAGGGAGATCCTTTTAACCACTCCTCAGGTTATTTTTGAGATGCTACTCATTTTATTTTGACCTCAAATGATTGAAGAGTTGCATGAACCCACCAGGATCAAATCCAGAGCTTTTTGTTCTTCAGTCATAACCCAATTAATAATAATAATTAATTAATTGAGATATTAGGGTAACAGATGGTAATGATACATAGTACAAAGGTAAGAAAATCATAATACACATTAGCATCGACACCCTTTAAATGGACAGTAATGCCAGGAAGTTGACAGATGATTTAGGGAGGGGAGAAAAAATAATCTATGTGCAAATTAATATGTTGCAAATACAGTGAACTCCTGATAACTCAACTTAATATCCCGGCCACATGCATACATATGTTTAAGTTGCCACTCCAGATAACTTGTCACTGAGCCCTTTATCCTTGGAGTGACAAGTTATCAGGAGTTTACTGCATGTGAGTGAGATAAAACATTTTTACTCATGTGTGAACTGTAGAGTACGTTTTCTGAAGTGCCTCACTTACATTGACATCTACAATCAGACCTCAGCTATCAGATCTTGCTACTAAATACAAGGGACCCCCCCCACACACCCCCCACCCTTCTCTCCTCCCATATTAGAATTGCAGGATACACAACTCCATTCATTCCAGCTGTAAAGAAAGGCCGTGCAATACCACCAGTGTGTTACGAAGCCTCCAAAGGATGACCCCCCCCCCCTCCCCACCCTGTTTAAAATTAATGAAAACGTCCAAGACACAAGGAACCATCTTCTACACACTTTCTTGTTTAACCCCTTCTGTGCGATTTGTCAGGAAAATGCCATTTTCCTTCCCCCGTGAATAAGTCAGGAGTTTGAACTACAACTAAAAACGCCCTCCTTTCATTCCCTCCCCCCCCACACCCCCCCAAACATTTTCTACGCTTTCTAGAATACAGTAATATTCGAGACGTCTCTGAGCGCATCACCGGACACACTAAAGTGAACTGACAGTTGTATTTTTTTTTGGGGGGGGGGGGGGGGAAGCGGCGGCGAAATATAACATAACGTGCAACGATGCAACGTTGACACGCAGGAGCGGTCCTGGTCTGATCGCGATTTCGCGTCTTCTTCTAAAAAAATATTATTTTTTTCCAAAAAAAAAGAGGAAGATCCCGATCCACTCCGCTCACGCGCCGCGTTAAGAAGCCGACGTGGTGTGTCAGAAGAAAAGGAAGCGCGGGGGGGGGGGGGGGGAGAGAAAATAAAATAAAATATCCAGTCGGTCGGTCGGTCGGTCCGCAGTTAAGGGCCCGGGGTGCGGGTCAGGGCCTGCACTGCACTTTAGGCCTCAGGCTTCCATCACTCCCTGAACGCACATGGGATGGACCCGGCGCCACAGTCACGGCCACACACTCACTCACTCACTCACACGCGCGCGCGCGAGTCGGTCAGTCAGTCAGTCAGTCGGCGCCATTCTCTTTTCTTTACCCTCATCGGAGATGTCGTCCACAAACTCCTCGGGATCGCTGAAGCCTTCCTCCGGCTCTTCGAACTCCACGACCTCCCCCTCCTGCTCTTCGGCTTCGGCTTCAGCTTCAGCCCCGTCCTCGGCTTCGGCCCCGTCCTCGGCTTCGGCCCCGTCCTCGGCTCCGTTCTCGGCTTCGGCCCCGTCCTCGGCTCCGTTCTCGGCTTCGGCCCCGTCCTCGGCCCCGTCCTCGGCCTCGGCTTCGACCTCGACCTCGGCCTCAGGTTCCGGGGTCTCGCCGTCGTTCGTCTCCCTCATCGCCCTTTGCCTTTCCCCCAACCTCCCCCTCTCTCTCTCTCACTCACTCCGCCCTCTGCTCTCCCTCACCTCACGCTCTATCGCTCGGCGCCAAAAGAAAGCGGACGCCAAGCGGCGCTCGAGCTCCGGCCGCCACCAACGGTCGTCCGGCCTCAACCAACTCCCCCGCCTCTCGGTCGAAAAAAGGGGGGGAGGGGAGTGAAAGGAAGTGCCAAACAAAAACGCCTCATCGATGTTTACAGTCAAGAAAAATTCGACCGCCGCGAAACTTTTCTCGCGTAACAACCTGTCGACGGGAAGCGACTTATTCGGGGTTTATTTGTTATCACACGGTGGGTTTACTCCTCTCGCCTCCCCCCCCCCTCGCTCCTTGTGGATGATTTGGTACGTTCCCTCTTGGCCCCGCCCTCTGCGCCGCCGCCGCCGCCATTACCGGGTCCAGAGGCGAGTGAGCGCGGGGAAGGGGCACCGCGTGATAGGTACCGACCGACTCGCCCCACGTTAACCCCCCACCCTCACCTCAGTTGGAAATCCATTTTTTTTAGGGGAAATGGGGGGCAGAGGAATGAGGGGGTGGGGGGAGGAGGGTCGGGGGGGGTCTGGGGTGGGGGGGAGGAGAGGGTCGGGGGGTGGAGAGGGTCGGGGTCGGGGGGGGGAGGAGGGGGGGGGTGTCGGGGGGTCTGGGGTGGGGGGAGGAGAGGGTCGGGGGCCTGACAGCCCTTTTAATAATACTAATAATAATCCTTGTGTTTGATAGCAGCGCCTCATCACGCCGTCTCGAGACGCCTCAGAGCGCCTCAGGGGGTACACTGTAAAAGCCTGGTGTAGTGACTGTGCGTTGCCTGGGCGCCCTGCGGCAGCCAGGACGTTGTCGTCCCGTCCCCCGTCCCCCCCGCAAACAGCCCTTGTCGTTGGACACGGCGCCTCATCACGCCTTAGAGGCGCCTCAAAGCGCTTCACGGGGCGTACGGTGAAGCGGAGTGACTGTGTGCTTTGTGGGCGAAATTTTACACTGTGGGGGGTGGGGGGGATAACGGGCTCGGAAGCGCTTGGTTTTTCGGTGAAGTGAAGCGGCTCCGCTCAGCTGCTGGTGAGACAGACACGCAGAGCAATTCACATTTCAACAACAACAAGATTGCATTTATAGAGCGCCTTTCATGTCGGGAGGACGTCCCAAGGCGCTATACAGTTGGGTCAGGACCCGAGCATTGGGGGGAAATGGTCAGGGGGAGGGAAGGGAGGGGGCGAGGAGGGGGTAGAGAGCCGAGAGGGAAGCTGAAGGCACGGTCAAAGAGAAAGGTCTCGAGACCGGCCTTGAAGGAGGAAAGTTATTTGAGTTATTTGTTTTTTTCAAAAAAAACATGCGTACAAATTCCCGCTGGGTGTGACCCAGATATCCGCACAGCCCCACTCGTCCGCGCAAACGAGCCCTTCCAGGTAACTGGCGTTAGCGGTGAAGATGAACGAGTCAAAGATGTTTGTGTCTCACTACACATTACTGTTGACACCTGCCGGGCAGCTGAACATCAGCTTGTTCTTATAGTGTCAACGTTGTTTTGTAATATCCAGAATTTCGGTTTTGAAACTCTCTACTCTTCCTTAAAATACTTGGGATGTCCTGGCTGTCGGCTCTCGCTTTCTTAGTGTGCCCTGCTTTATTATTTTTAACTTCAAGGCAAAGTCCCACTCAAAGTGCAGTAGTAATGCTATTAAAGTGGAAGAGTATAAGAGAGAAAAACAGCATAAACTCTCAGTCAAATACCGACAAACGACATCACACCTGTTCATAACGTGGCACCTGTGGTACATTTTCTGGTATAACTCAAAAGAGTGGACTGTTTTCATAATCTGCTTAATTTTCAAATAGGGATTATGAATAAAACTTATTCCATAAAGTATGACTATATTTCACCCACAAATATACAGTACTTTACAGCATATTCTGTGAAGCACTTTGAAACATCTAGAAGACGTGAAAAGCGCTATATCAAATGCAAGGATTATTATATATTATATAATTTATTCACCTCTGTTTTGAATTAATTATGCCATCAAAATGCTGTGTATCGTTAACTAACAATTGTTTATACTGCTGGAGTGATTTGTAATACAATACAAATTTACACCTCAACCAATAGTGGAGCAATTCAGAGTTAGAACCAGGATTTATATTTTCTGCTCCAAAATCTCTTTCACTAGGAATTAAGGAATGCTCTACATGGGCAAAACAAAGGGTAACAAAAAGTTGCTGCTCTTTAATCATGTTAAAAGCTAAGAACTTGTGCATTTAAAAACAACTTCTAAAATGTACTTCAGTAATGCTTAATTCCAGAAGTCACTTCAAGATAATTGAATCAATGCTTTGAACTTGTTTTATACTGTACTTTTCAATGTGGATTAAACACAAAATGGGGCAAAATCAACCCTAATTGTACAGTATAATGTACTATTAGTTAACAACAAATTACATTTGTTCAGCACCTTTCACGTCAGGAGGACGTCCCAAGGCGCTGGACAATCAGGGACCTGAGCAGGGAGTTGGGATCGGGGGGTGGAGGGTAAGAAGGGTAGGGTCTTGATAACTGCCTTGAAGGAAGCAAGAGGGAGCAGGGCAAAAGGACTGGGATGGAGTTCCAGAAGGTTGGGCAGAGAGGCTGAAGGCCTGACTGCCGATGGGGCCACATGGAGCAGGCCAGAGCAGAGGGAACGGACGGGTCGATATGGCATTAGGTCACAGGCAGGAAGGAGCAAGGCCATAGAGAGTTTTGAAGGCGAGGACGAGAGATGTTTAAAATTATTATTAGGAAAGTATACAGTTTAAAATCAGTGAGTTAAATTTATTTTCCTAATGGTCTTTTTGGTGTACGTTAAATTTCTGTAAAATAAAGATTGGATAATGGATAACTTGGATAACTTACAAGTAATAAAACTTGAATAGTTGCAATGCTGAAACTGTAATTAGCAATAGTTATAGCAGGTTATTTCTTGGATATATGTAATATACAACCTATGTATACATAGAATACAACAGTTATTTGCCATACTGTAATTAGTTCTGCATAAAGCCGAAAGATTGAGGTGTTTTTTTACTCCAAAAAGGACTTCTACCATAGCTGGGGAATGGAGCAGGAGTGTGTGGATCTGCTGGCCCGAGTCTGTTTAGTCCTGGGAGACACTGGCCAGTCACTTATCGATGACACTTGTTTGGAGAAGCTGCTGGATTGGTTCCGGGCAGTACTTGAATGTGGTAACCATCTATTTAGCTTATTTAACCCATTTCGCACTACCAGTATTGGCAGATAAATATATTTGTGGCAATAGATAATTACCATAGTTGTGCTTTGTGTATTTTGGGTACTTCTTTGGTGATCATCAAGATGATAAGCATTAGGATTTTTTGGCATGCAACTTAGAAACAATTATAACCAAATAAAAAGTGCAACTCTATCCAATGCTTTAAAACAAGCCCTTGTTCCGATGTGAGTTTTTCTGCTTCCAACATTGTGGCCTGTTGAGTGGCATAGCCAATTCACTGTGAAAACCTACAGGGTGAATATTGGACAGGAAAAGAACACTTTTGTAATAAGATTTTACTTATTGTTATTTTCTTTTCTTGAAACCTTCAGAGACTGGACTGTGTCTCCTGCGGCAGAACCCATGTCTGACAAATGTAATTGTAAATGTGCCTAAGCAGAAGGACCTCGATCCCAGGATCCTCTCATTCATCTTGAGGCTGACAGGACTGTTCACAGCTTCCAATGACTACTTTGATGAATTGGAGGTAAGGAGCAGTCAGAAAAGACTTTATTTTCAAACAGCAATTTAGATTTTTTTCTTCCCATCATGGAAAAATTTGGTAAATAGTTCAGGCAGATCCATAAAAAGACGATGGGCAGGCAAGAATATAATAATTGGTCACCAAGAAGGATTATCAGACAGTATTCTTATTGGCGGGCTCAGAGAGCATGAATTCAAGAGTGAAGTTTGAATGCTTGATAATTGTTATGTCGAGCTATATATGGTATTCTTTTTTTGCAGGAGAATGGGATTGTAAGCAGTCTGTTCGGGAATCCTGCAAATCTGGGGACAGAGGTGTGGGAAGAAGCAACCGTACGATGTGGCTGGCTCTTGGGAATCCAAAATATGCTCCGGCATGAAGCTGCACTTCAGTTCCTCCAAAAGCATGGTAATACCTCAATTCTTGTGTCAATTCTATTTTGTTGTCAAGATATTTGCGCTTTGCTAATGTGATTATTTGCCAAATGCCATATTGAACCTTAATCGAAGATAATTGTTATTGAGATGAATAAATCGAGGAAAAGGCATTTCATATTGCAATTTAAAAATGACTGTCAAATGAGAGCAATCACTTCAAAAGAAAAAAGTAACAGCGAATAAGTATTGCACAGGTCTCTGGAGCTTCATTTGCTTTGCTGCTAACAGTAACTTGGGCATTGGTGGGTGGGAAACAAGGTGTAAACAATCAGAACGTGCTATGTCTCTAGAGTGAAAAAGCATGGTGGACTCTTGACTACAAGCTTTTATAATACAGTTGGAATCTATCCCAACTTTTAGTGGGAGGCATTGCCTCATTTATTGAACCAGGCTGCTGGCAAAATGAATCGGGTATGAAATTAGCATTCATTTTTTAAAATATCTGTATTGTCTGGTTTATAATTTCAGTATAGGATTACATTTTATTTACTGTTTACCTCCAGGTTCCATTGAGGCGATTATACAGCTTCAGAAGGATTCAAGCCTGTTTGTGGCCTCGGCAGCAATTCAACTTTTAGCCAATGTTTTGACTTTCTCCTTCCAAAACTCTGAACTTGCCAACATCCCATTGGATACCGACACAACCAATACAATTACCTCTGTGCCATCTCCTGAGTGCCAAGACTGTGCCTATGCAATTATTGAACACATTGAAGGTTTCCTGAGGTCCAGTATCCCTTCTAAAGTCCGACAGGCTCTGAAACTACTATCCAAAGTGTCTGGAACCTGCCATCCAGTTGTCATAGCATCACTGTGGCCAAAGGTAGCAGAAAGTGTGGAATTGCTTGTAAAGGGCGACCTGGATGGAATTGGTCAGCAGTTGGTGGAACTGTTTGTGAATTTATCCAGGTAAAACAAACCATTCTTTGTGTTTTGTTAATAGTTATACAGTAGTTAATAGTTATACAGTGGTTAATAATTAGACGGTAGTTAATAGTTATACTTCACATCACAGTCTCGAGCCATGGCACTTTCTGCATCACTAACTGAAGGATGATGAATTAAATCACTTTATAGCTGGGTGATTGCAGAGATAAATGTGATATAATTTTGCAATGGCACTTAGAAATGCTTCCCTCCATATTCGAATTGCGTGTTTAAGATTGCTGTCTTCGCTTTAAGACTGTGAGGTGCATGGGAGGAAAAGAAATATTGTAACCTGGTGTGAAATAAGAGATGTATGATTGGCAGACACAACCAGGAATAGTAGATTAAGAGTCATTTTTAACTAGTCACTGTGGGATAGAATTAATCGAGCTTTGTTTTCACTTGATCCTACAGGACTGCTCCATCTGAGGTATTGGATTCTGGCATCTGGGAGTTAATGGGCATCTTATTGAACACACTGAAGCAGAATGAAGCATTAGCACTTGCTTCAGGGGTCATAAAGCTGCAGAACTGGTATGCCTAACGGGTGCTAAATTCTGAATATTATATTTTTTAAACAAAGTTAAATAAGTTACATATATTTAAAAATAGGAGTGAAGGTCCAGTAGTTTTATGAAGGAATTTCGCTGCTGGACAATGACATTGTCTTTTTATTGTTAAAGGTTACACTTTGAACAAAAACAACCTTACACTTAAAATGTTTTTCAAAAATAAGGATCAATGTGTTGGGAAAGATTCTTTTTGGAACAAGTTACAATGTAAACGTTCTCAAACAGCCTTCCCTGTGGATTTTTGTGTTAAAGAATGCTCCAAGAACTGTGTCCACCTCTTTGATCTGTACCATGTCTTAGTAAGAAAACTAGGTTCTTTTAATAGGCTGTGGTATAGCTAGAGCAATGTTTTGTAGATGTTTTTCATAAAATATAATTATCAGAAGATAATAGAGCACATGCAGTCCTGAGGGCATTTTAATCCTTAAAGAAGAGGTGCTCTATTTCAAAAAAATTAGTTAATTCAGTGGAGAGGTTTAACATTCAGTTGGGTAAAAATCAGTGGAAATATGTGCAGCATTTTTAGACTTCCGGTCATTTTTGTATGTTTGGATGGCAATAGCTTTTACTCCTTGGCTTCAGCAATTCCAATGAATGTATTTTTGTTCAGTCCACAGCCATTGAGAAGGCAATCTTTGACAACAGTGCTCCAACCACTGAATTCCATTGCTGTATCCTCCACACAACCCCAGGATTCAGGTAATTATCCTTCTGATTAACAGCCACGCAATTAAGAAAACTTAAACTTTATCTTCAAGCTATCAAGTTTAATGTTATACCGAGGGATTTTGATTCTGTTTGAAAACAAACAGTTTTACACAACAGTGGAAAAGTTGACAAAATGTTTGCTTAAACATTTTAAGATATACATTTAAGTACCTGAATGTCCATTCTTTTATATAGCTTTGCTGGAGGTGCCATCAGGCTGCAGAGCTGACATTGAGGATCACCTTATCAGAAAGTCAACTTGTATTAACTTACTCTGTCAGACAATTTCATATCTTCGAGAACTGTTGGAAACGGTAAGTTGGCAGGATCATGAGTTATACTGTTCAAACTCATAGCACTGTTCTGCCAGGTTTGGGATTGAGCTGACAGGTAAATAAAATCTTTATGATATGGAAACGTTCAGTAAGGATGGAACTATTATACTATTATACTGGGATATTTGGAGTGGTTAATTTACAGTCAATAGCATTTTTCCACGTCAATCCATTTTCAATGTCACTTGGATGTAGTCTGATCCATTAAGAGGGGAATATTGTAGTTTACAATGGATTTTTCAAAACTGATATTTAACCCATTATTGTGTGTTTCCATTTCCAGCCCTTGCAGCCCGTGGATTTGCAGTGTGACGCCTTGACCAGCTCTCTCCTGACAGTCTTACAGATGTGCACTGGTGCTGCCATCCCAACCTCTCCTGCTGGTGTAATGTTTAGCAAACATCTGATCGGATGCATCAAAGTTCAGAGGGCAGGATTGGATACCCTCGGTGCAGTTGCTCAGTGGGCAGGTAGGAAGCAGGAATAATACACTAAGTACCGAAAGTATTATAATGTTAATCTTGTGGGGAATGTGACAGCGATACCCAACTGCTCCCAGTCCTCTGGTCTTGATCTTCCACAAGAATAAAAGTATGATAAATAGTCTTAATTTAGTTTAATTAATAATCCTTGCATCTAATATTCTGAAGTTAAACCAGGTATTTTGAATGCTTTTTTTTAAAGCTTTGCCACTTTACAGTAATGAATTGTGTGAAAATATTTATATTCATCACAATTGGAAGAGTTCTCTTTGTTGCTGACATTACTGTAATTTCAGGGAGCTGCAAAGAAGTGGGGAATACGATGAACCTTCTCCTCGACTATCTCCGAAACCCAGATACAGATCCCACAGTAAGTACTATTCCACAGGACTGAACATAGCAGGCCAGCCAGCCCGCTCCTGAATGATACCCAGTGATTCCTGCTGAAAAGTGCATGTGGATCGAACTAAGCTATGATGCCTTCTGTGGTTAAATGGTGTCGGATTCACTGGCATCAACGGAGAACAATAGCAAACTGTTTGATGTGTCTTTATAATGGGAAATCCAATTAGAAATACATAAATTTTCTGTTGGTATTCATGTTTTCACAATTTAGGTTCTGAAGAAATCTCTCCAGGCTTTACTTTGCTGGATGCAACATTGTAATGAAGCTACAGATTCACATACACTTGGGTCCAAGGTTCAAGAGTTTTTAAATGGCGGTAAGGAATAGGAATCCGTATACTATGTCTATTTAATCAAATATGTCTATTTTCTCTACAAGGATGATTTTTGTAAGCAATATTTCTATTGGGTTTTTTTAATGTAAAATTGTTAATGCAAACTTCAGATCCCCCGATCCCCCCACTCGTTCAGTTGGTGCAGTTCATATTAAACCTATCTGGTTGGGGTTAGAATCAGTCCCGATTTATTTTCATTTTTCTCAGACTTCACATCTGTACTAAAGAAACGACTATTTGATATCCGTTGGGAGGTCCGAGATTCCACCCTTGAGTTCCTTGGCCATCTGTGTTTCCAGTTTAAAGGTACAGTATGTGGAGGCAATAATTGCAGTTTCATTAATGGGATAAACTTGAAAATACCTAACCAGAGTGCTCAACAAATACACGGTGAAGCAGACAAGCAGCATAACATCCTTATCCTGGTGCTGATTAATGCACGGAACTGCTAGTTACGATGAAACAGATCTGTTTGGTGGAAATGCAGGAAAACTTTTTGACTCAGGTTTCACCTAGCAGCAACATTCTGCTCAAAGCTAAGCATGAACTGATATCATCACCGGCCACCTGCTCTCTGTTATAAAACTGATCTACTTGCGAAAGGCATCTCAAATATTCTAAAAAAAATTTGGAATACCTCAATATGCAGCTGGTCAGTACACACAAACCAGATCTTTATTGGGAATTTATAATGTATCTACGTTTATCAAATTCTGATTGAGCTGGGTTTCATAGCTGGCTGTTTTGTATTTCTTACAGAAAGCGACAGTTTCTGTGTGTTACTCGCTTCTTCTGGGATTCAACAACTCATTGTGGACCTGCTTTCAGACCCTGAAAGTTACGTACGGGCGAGTGCGGTAACTGCACTGGGACAGATGAAATACCTGGCTCACGATTGGCAACCTTTACTAAATCAGGTGAAGTTAGGGCAGTATTATTAAATTTTTAGTGCTACCAAATGTTATTCTGTAAGATATATTCTCTCATTAGGTGATACATAAAGGTATAGCCCAAACTTATTTTTTTAAAAGGAGAGTGAATGGCAATAAAGGGTTTTGTATTCTGGAGTATTTTGGGATGTGTAATAAGTGATTACATGAGGAAGTTTTCCTTCCCATTTCCCAGTAAATCCTGTGAAGCGATTTGAGATATCGTCAAGGCATAAGGTGCTAGATCAGGTGCAAGGGTTATTAATATTAGTCATCCAAATAGTATGCACTGTACCCAGTAAATGGAAATATGGCGTCAGAATGTGTTGAATGACATTATGCATTTGCATAATGAAGTTATAATCTACACTTTGCCTTCCAGGAAACCATTCTCTCCCGTTTGCTGGAAATTTTGAAGCAGGATTCAGAAGGCTTTCCGCGTAGGGCTGTGGTGAAGGTGTTTGCTGAGTGGGCAAAACATTGCGACGTGCTGAGTGGGCAGGAATTAGAGAATTCAATCTCAGTTGTATTGATGGCAGGGAGTGGAGACCTGGACTGGGAGGTCAAAGTTCACAGCCTAGAAGTGGCAGAAGCTTTCATTGACCAAGCAGTAGCTAAGCTCTCCCCGTGTCCCTATACAGCTCTTCTAACAAGGAACCCGCAGTCTGCAGAAGTGAGGAGCTTTCTCCAGAACCTGTGTGACGTTGGAATCTTTAGCGTCCTGTTTAACGCGCTGTGGGACTGTGACAGACCCGCGGCTCAGAAGGCTTGCGAGATACTTATAAAACTAAAAAAGATTATTTCGAGCGGAAATCGTGCAGATGGCAAAGAAGTTCACGAGATACTAAATGGACACAGCCTGGGCAGAGAGAGCTTCAGCAGCTGGCTGAGTGATCATGGCTTGAATTTGCAGAATGGGACACACGTCCTGGAGGTTATAATCGCGTTAGATTTGGAATTTCAACACCGACAGCTCGATTGTAGCAGCGACCACATCGAGAGCAGCCTACGCTCCCTGCTTCAGGACATCTTAGCAGCAGCTAGTCACTCAGATGAGGATGGTGCAGACTGCTATTAAACCCATGCTTCGGCCTGTTTTGAGGTCTGTGTGAAGCACTGGGTCCCAGCACCTTGGGACGTCCTCTCAAAGTGAAAGGCGCTATACAAATGTTATTTGTACTGTATTCAAAGTGTGGTCATTCACATTTTGTACACCAGACACTTTGTTACGGTGAAAGTAAATTATTTGTATTTACTCAAAACACATTTTATATCATGTTTACAAATCAAATGGATATTTTTTCTATTTTTACACATTGGTACTTGAGTGTTTTTGTTTTCCTGACCATTTAGGCTAATTGTGTTTTTGTATCTTTATATGAGAAAGTGCAAACATTTCTTTAGATATTTTAAAAAATGGGGCGTTGCAGAATATATCAACGTACCACAAAAGCTGAGAATTATGCTGGTGTCCCAATTAACTAAAATCAGCACTCAGATTGCTGAAATCTACTTGTTTTTGCAAACCAAAACGTGGGTTGTCAGCACCTTGAACTACATTTTATATTGAATGAAATTGCTTCTCTGATTGACAGTTCCTTAGACGTACCAGCTACAGGGCATTTGAAACAAAACAAGTAAAATTATAGAAGTCAAGCCCCTTTTTCCTGCAGATCATGTAGAGATCAGTTTCGAAAGTCAAATAAAGAAATGCTCTTTGAATTCTATGTTCCACACTGAAACAGTTTGCAACACAGTGAAAAAAGGTACGAATCCCAAACACACCAACAAATTCAATGAAATGATCAATGTATCAGATTCCACATACCAAAACAAAGTCAAATTCTGATGGATTTCCTGCTGCTGTAAATCAGCAATAATAATAATAATAATCCTTGCATTTGATATAGCACTTTTCACGTCGGGAGGACATCCCAAAGCGCTTCACAGAACACACTGTAAAGTGAATTGACTGTATATTTGTGGGCGAACGCGGCAGCCAATTGCGCACAGCAATGTCCCACAAACAGTCGTAGATTGAAAATGACCAATTTATTATTGTTTTTGGTTTTGGAGGGATTATTATTAGGCTCTGTGTGGAGTAAGGAAACTTGCCCAAGGTTTCGCCCTCTGCCTGGGATTGATCTCAGGTCTCTCACTTGCAAAGCGAGTGCTCTAACCACTGAGCTACAGGACTCCACAAATTGGAGGACTCCAATTGCAGAGGCCTATGTTATACCAGACACCCAACAACAACAGCTTGCTTTTATATACTGCCCCTCACGCAGGGCAGAGTCCCGGAGCGCTTGAAACCAACCCATCAGCAGGAGAACCGAGGTTCCAACAGCTGTTCTTTATGTTGCAAAGACTGCATTTGAGGTTATTTAAAGAACAAGTTAGGAAGGTGACGATACTTCATACATTTCACGCTGAGTTGTGTTGCTCACCAAGAGGTTTCCTGGTGCCTACCTAGCGACTTAGTGAGGGCTCAAGTTTGTGGATTGAGCTGCCACCAAGATGATGTGTTTGGCAATGGAATATCAGCTCTCGGTGCCAATCTTGCCCAGTGTGATGCAACAATTCAGTACAGAATACCCCGGCTCATGAGGTATCAATTCTCAATAAAGATCCAGAACTCCCGTCGTTTGAGAATGTTTTACACGGGGTTTCCAATTGTTTCTTCTCTTAAAAAAACACTAAATAATGTTAAAAAGTACTTTTGACAAAAGATGGCAATAACATGTTCAGGTGTATAGTTCTGCCAAACATACAAAAGCATTTTGCTTTGAATAAACAGTAATAGATGGGATGTATTTCATTCCGAGTCGGTGCTGTCTCCAAGCTGTGATGTTCCTCTCAGTGTGGAAATGGACGTTCGTGACATTTGAAAGGTACAAAATTAAAATTGTTTGCTGGGGAATTTTGCCCAGTTGACACTAAACTGGGGGCAAAATAATTTCTAAAGGCAAGTAAATAGATCACTGTGTTTGAAACTAATGCCACAATCAAAATTGAAATAATTAAGTCAGCGCCTGTGTAACGGACAGAATGTCCAGTCAATCTCGCTTTACAAAAAATTGCAAAAAAAAAGGAATTTAATTCTTCCAGTTCTGAGCTTTCTAATTCCTATTGCAGCACCAAGATCAGATCTATAATCAGAAAAGGTGGCATCCATTGCCTGTTGCGTACACCTCTTGCAGATCTGACACAAGCTGATAATTGAGTTGACCGGGGGGGAACCCTTGCTTCAGCGTTCAGCTACATTTTCACCAACCTTCCTAAGGGAAGACGCACGTACACACAGGGAACTTCCCTGAAGAGCTATATATTTCTACTTCATTTTAATATCCATCAATGCGGTGCAAGTTACACAACCTGAGCTGTACATCAGTCAGACTATTGCCCATGTTAACCTTTCTCCGTCGTCAGATGTTGTACAGCCACAGATGTGAAAGAAAGCAAGATTGAACAGGATCAGCTCTTTATCTTCAACCCATTGCTCAATAACAAAGCGCTTCCGAAATTCTCGATAATTTCCTCGGACTATGTGGTTCCTGGGATCACATTGCTGATTGAACAATACGAGAAAGGTCTGGACACACTTGAAAATAAACTAGAACCTGCTGGTAAGCATTTTGCTGCAACTCTTGTAAGCGCTTGTAACAGATCGCGTGACGAGATAATTACGGCAAGTTAATTCTTTTTGATCATTTGAAGATTAACAAGAATGGATAACAACATTCAGGAGACTGACATTCGAACAACACCTAAGCCCAGTGACAATTCCCTTACCCAATTTTGGAAGTATTAGGCACAGATTATAATTATAATAAGAACATAAGAATTTACAAGATGAAAGAAGAATTTATTAGACGAACAAGGTGCATCCAATTCGCCTTCTACCATCCTGGCAATCGCTTGACATGTCATGTCCCAAGCTATATACTGTATCCCGAGATATTATTTCCTAAAAGAAATCTATCTAATTTGCTTTTGAAAAAATCATTCCACTGTCTCCCTAGGGAGCCTGTCCTGTACATTTACTACTTGCTCACTGAAATAGTGTTTCCACAGATTCGTTTTCAATTTACCCCCCTTCAATCGCAGGCCGTGTCCTATAAGACCCATTGGTATATCCTTTCTGTCTGGTCATACATGCAGAATATTCTAAGACCGTGTTCTGTCATTACTTAACGTAAGGTTTCTGCAGAGATAATAGCTGGTGGGTGGGAGCAAAGAAAACAAATGATGTTACCACACGTCTGATGAGCAATCTGTCATTGCATTATAAACACAAGATGAAATAATTGGTATCTAGGTTCTTTTGTAACGACGACGACAACAACAAAATTATATTTGTATAGCGCCTTTCACGTCAGGAGGACGTCCCAAGGCACTGGACAGTCAAGAGTTTTGGAGAGGGTGGAGGGCAGGAGGGAAAGTAGGACGATCGAAAGACAGTCGAAGAGGAGGGTCTTGAGATGGATCTTGAAGGACTGTTATACTTATTGCAGCCTGTTATACTTGTGAAATTGTGAGACTGTCAGAAATTCTTAATTGTAATTTGTTAAATTAGGAAAACAAATAACGTGGGAATTGATAATCAACAAGTTGGAAATCATGGAGTATCCTCTTCACTACGGTTGGGGAATAGTGATACACTTGAATAAAGTTAAGAACAATCCAACACTACGGGATGCCTTTGATGAGGTTTGTATGTTTTATGTAAGGTTTGTAATATCTTAATGTCAAACATCAAAATATTTAGTTTCGCCCACAAAATATACAATCAATTCACTTTACAATATATTCTGTGAAGTGCTTTGAGACGTCTCGAAAACATAATCAGGTGCTATTACAAATGCAAAGATGATTATTATTATTATTATCATCATCAGTGGCAGAGCTACATTATACTGTGTTCCTAAAGAGAAACATCAGAATATTAGAGAAGTGTTTCGTGTCTTGAGGGGGAAATGAATTGATCTCAATGCCTTTGAGGGTGTGTCTTGGGTGTTGTTGAATAAAGTTGTTGAGTTCATTGTGCCGACATTTTGTGTCGCAGATAGAACCACAAGTTGTGGAAGAGTTTAATCGATTTTCTCAGAGTGCCATACTTTACAAAGCTTACAAGGTGAGTGTTTCCTCAAGAATTCTCTTCTAAAAATACTGAAAACCATCGAGTCTACCATAGTCCACGTTCTGGCTGATTATTCCGAAAGACTAAACATTTTGGTGAAGAATTTTATCACAAACACAGTCTCTCTGTTCAGGTGGACGTTAAAAATTCTAGAGAAGGGACGTTCTCTCTCCCTCCTGGTGTCTTGGCTAATAATCCCCTAAATAAAATTGGTCATTCACTTCATGGCTGTTTGAGGGGCACGGCTGTGTGCAAATTGCCTGCAGGGGGGCGGGAAAGAAGGAAAAAAGTATTGAGTGATTTGGTTGTGAATCAAGAAACTTATGGTGTGTGCAAGTCTCCCATCTTCCGGTTGTGTTGTCAGGAGCTGAAGTCGGGAGATCAACACCTTGATAAAGTGCAGCTTCGCATCATAAATTCAGTTCTACTTCAAGCCCAGAACGGGGGAGTCGAACTCGAGGGCAAAACAAAACAACGGTTCAATGACATTCAGCTGCACCTAGCAAACCTCTCGAGCGTATTCAGGTAGATAAACATTAAACTGGTCAACTCCCAGGGACTACAGGAATCACCAACCTGTGACTGTAAGGGAATCAGCACAGTGAGGGTTGTTAGCGAGGAGGACACTCTGTAATTGTACACGTAGACAATACAATATTAAATTTGTATAGCGCCTTTCACGTTAGGAGGATGTCCCAAGGCTCTGGACATCCTGGAGAGATCAGTTGGATGTCCATCAATCAGGTGGAGTATTATCCATCTGCAAAACTCAAAGCTACAACTAACAACATACAATTTGCCTACAAAATTACACAGTCAATTCACTTTACAGTATATCCTGTGAAGCGCTTTGAGACGTCTCGAAGACGTGATAAGGCGCAGTATCAAATGCAAAGATTATTATCATTATGATTGAATATTTGAGTCACCTCTTCTGCTTCAATGGGTAGAATGTCCAAAAACAAAGCAATAGGAAAATACCACAAGTTATGCCAATTGAAAGAAGTTGCAGTGTCTATCTATAATGCAGTGAGAGTGAGTTACTCAGCTTATAATCTTTTTCCCCCCACACCCCTCTCTCAAATTTTTCCCCTGTTGTCAGCAACAACGTATTAGATTCTACAAATAATTACTCCATCCTGGTGACAAACAGAGCCAACATTGCTGGCCTTCCCGAATCCGCAATCAGGCTTTTAGCAAGTAAAGCAGCCGAGGACACAGGACAAAGGTACATCAATCCAATGCAGTGACTCAAGGTTTACGGGTAGTGAGAAACCACGACTCTATTTGGCAATTAATTATCTTTTTCTTAAGAACTTAGCTAACACTGGACACAGCTGTGCATCCATTGTTTAATACAGTTCACCAACATCTGTATGTGTGGATTCCAAGGAGATGAAAGCTGCGTTAGCCATCTCGGAGCATTATTACTGTCTGACTGGTGCTTTTCTCATTGTCTTTCTGCTTGGTTGGACCTTCCACCCTTTGGAACTCCATCTCACAGTCCCTTCGCCTCACCCCCTCCCTCGCCTCCTTCAAGGCACGTCTCAAGACCCTCCTCTTCGATTCCACCTTCAGCCACCATCCTACCCCTACCTGACCTCCACCCCCTCCTAATCCCAACTCCCTGCTCGGGGTCCAAATCCCTGACTGTCCAGCGCCTTGGGACATCCTCCTGACGTGAAAGGCGTTCTACAAATGTAATTTGTTGGTGTTGTTTTTAATCTTTCTCAGTTTCAGCAAATTTCGACTCCTTCCTCGCCGTCATCTAGAAATATTTTCGCTTTGTATGTAACAGTTCCAATCCAGAGAGTGGTCCCTGGAAGATTACCTTAGATAGCCCCAGCTATGACCCAGTCATGGAGTACAGTCACAGCAGACAGTTAAGAAAAAGACTGTATAAAGCCTTCATCACCAGAGCTAAAGGTGGGAAATACGACAATGGTGCATTGATCGATGAGATCAGAGCACTGAGGTAATTTACTCAGCTCCATGTCTACGTTTATGGTAAGATAAGATGTCCTTCCTGCTAGGTTCTCAGATGGGTTTNCCCCCCCCCCACTTTGTCTGCCAAATGGCAGAGATGCCAGGGCTCAGGGAATAAAACCCTCTCTGCTTTCCTATAACAACATCTTTGCTGCAAGTATTACATCTCCCAGGGTTGGGCACAATTGGCAACACTCTCGGGTCTGGGTCAGAAGGTTGTGTGTTCAAGCCCCATATTGGGACTTGAGCTCATAATCTAAGCTGATGTTCCAGTGCACTGCAAGGCAAAGGGTTGAGGTGCCATCATTTGAATAAGACATTAATACCCAAGGTCCCATCTACTTGTTTTCTGGTAGCAGTAAAGATCTCATTGCACTATTGCCCTGACCCTACAACACTCCAGATGAGTTGCTCATTCACGTCAGGGCTGCTCGTGGGACATTGGTGGAGCAAATGACTATTCCATTTGCCTATAAAAGCTGTCATTACACAATAACGTAATTACTTGCAAAGCACTTTGAGCTGTTTTGACCTGATTAAATGCTGTATTAAAAAAAGCAAGTTCTTACTTGATATGTTTTAAAGTGATATCAGTTGACCAGAATCACTTTGTTTTAATTCTGTTCCATAAGTTTTTTTTAATAAAAAAATGTCATCACTTACTAAATATTAACCAACTATAAAGTGGATTATTTTTTCTTTTGGATGAAGATATACTTCTGATTTGCTTTTGCTTATAGACGTGAATTTGCCATTATCCTCGGCTACGACAACTATGCAGCATTCTCTCTGAATAGAAACATGGCAGGAAATTTGGAGAATGTGTGGGAATTCATTAATAGTCTACGTATGAAGAGTTACCCAGGCAAGTCATGAAAATGTGTGTGTGTGGGGTGGGGGGGGGGCCGGGGGGGGTTGGAGGGGGAGTAAAAGGGAGGTGGAAACTGAGTCATACACTTTGGCTTAAAACCCATTGGAGTCAGAACTAAACGTTGGATGTCAATGTTAATGATAATTCTTTGTACTGGTTGGGTGTAGTGCTGTTTGAGCAGGCTTTCCATTAAACAAGTTAGCGTGGAGAAACAATTGGGGTGGATGGTGGGGAGCTGGGGGCAAATCTAAACTATTTCCACTGGTTTACGACTGAGCATATTATCACAAAAAAAAGTAGGTGAATTATAATAGCAGATTAGCAGATTATTAGGACCTGACTGCCTTGCCAAAAAAAAAATCTGTTTTTAAAAGGGAAATTAAAAATTATTTGGAGTTGAGGTACAGATGAGCCGCCAGGATCCAACAGAATGATAGGACAGGCTCAAGGGGCTGAATGGCCTCCTCCTGTTCCTATTTCGACAAATATTTGAATGGAAAATATTAAAAAGTTGTTAACATTTGCAAAGAGGATTATTAACAGAAAATAGAGCAGAGAACTTTGTCTCCCCCCACAACTCAAAAAGTAACTTCTCGCTCGTGTACAGTCGTCCGGTGACGTTGTCTATGTCTCGCTCCCTCTCGTACGACAGTGGCACAGCAGGAACTGGAAACCTTGGAACAGTTTGCCCAGAGCGAGGGTCACAAAGGCAAGCTGAGACATTGGGATATAAGCTATTGGGTACGGCGTCAGCGGGATAAGATTTTCAGGTACAAACCCAGCACTGGACAGTGAACAACACTGGCCCACAGCCAAGCAGATTCTTCACCTTTTATCTCTGGCCCTGAAAATCGATTCCATTTTAAATATGGATACATATTTTTCCTATTTAAACACATCTCCTATTCTTGTGGAGTCCCATAGCTTCGTGGTTAGAGCGCTCGTATCGCAAGCGAGAGGACCTGGGCTCGATTCCCAGGTGGTGCAAAACCTTAGGCAAGTTTCCTTACTCCACACGCCTCGGTTTACCGAGCAGCAAGTAGGAACCCAGATGTTTGTTGCTTGGTGGATCGCTTGTCCAGGAATAATAATCCCTTCCACAAAAATAAATAATAAAACTTAAAAAAGAAATTTGGCAACTCAATCCGCAACTGTTTGTGGGACACTGCTGTGCACAATTGGCTGCCACGCTTCGCCCACAAAATATACAGTCACTACAGTTAGACTTTACAGTGTATCCTGTGAAGCACTTTGAGACGTCTAGAAGACATGATCATGCGCTATATCATAATGCAAGGATTATTATTACAGTGGTTAGAGCATTAGCTTTGCAAGCGAGAGACCTGAGTTCAATTCCAGGCAGAGGGCGAAACCTCGGGCAAGTTTCCTTACTCCACACAGAGCCTAATAATAATCCCTCCAAAACCAAAAACAATAATAAATTGGTCACTTTCAATCCACGACTGTTTGTGGGACATTGCTGTGTGCAATTGACTGCCGCATTCGTCCACAAATATACAGTCAATTCACTTTACAGTGTGTTCTGTGAAGCGCTTTGGGACGTCCTCCCGACGTGAAAAGCGCTGTATCAAATGCAAGGATTATTATTATTATATTCTGTGAAGCACTTTGAGATGCCTCAAAGATGTGAAAAGGCACTATATCAAATGCAAGGATTATCATTATTATTGAAGCTTAATGTATTATTGAAATCGTTTGATATCGCTGATATTCTTTTGCTCTGATTATTCATTGAATCACTGCAGAGTAACAGAGGAAGAAGTGAGGCCATACTTTCCAGTGGAAAAGTGAGTCATTCCCAAGCATCTAACAATCTCCCTTTTAAATATCCCAATTCATTCAGCTTCTCTGTCCTTTTGTGTGGTATTATGAAGTAACAGTCCACACAGTGTGATGTGGGACAAACTTGTTCTTCCAGATCCATCGAAAGGTGGATAATAACAACAATAATAATGTGTTCATAACAAGTGATTGGGTAAGGATCCAGTTCACATCCTGAGCAAAGTCCTATCTGCCTGTTCAGGTGGCCGTTAAAAATGCTGTGACTTCTACTCGACAAGAGAAGGGAGTTTCCCCCGGGTGTCCTGGCCAACAATCCTCCAGATAGACTTGGTCACTCACTTCGCTGCCATTTGTGGGACATTGCGATACGCAAAGTATACTCACTGCGCTTCACAGTAACATTTTTTCACATAAAACACTTTTGTTACCATTAAACAGTTCAGCATTTAAGCAGCTCCAAACTGGGGCAAATGGCTGGAACAAGACTGTAAAGAGATACGTACATCTCGGTTCCCAGATGGAGCCTCAAAACAGCAGCTGTAGCCTGAATCACCTACTCCGGCTCTTTTCTGTTGTTAAGGTCCGATTGTTAAATGCTTCGAATGCCCCAACTGCTGTCTATACATCAGAATCCTCTTATTCTTTCCCCAGGGTTCTCTCTGGCCTGTTTCATCTGAGTAAGGAATTATTCGGGATAACAATTACACCTGCAATGGACGCTGATGTCTGGCACCCCGATGTTATTGTCTTCCACGTCTACGAAAAGGAAGGTATTACAGTGATCGCAAAAAGGATTTCCTTTACTTTAAGTGTACAAACTGTACCATAACCCAAAAGATGGAAAATCGAGTATTTGCTTCATTTTCAAACACCACAAGATCGGTTCAGATGAACAAGGCCCTTTGTTCCATTTGATCTCATCATTTCGCCCACAAAATACAGTCAATTCCCTTTACAGTATATACTGCGAAGTGATTTGAGACGTCTCGAGGACGTGATAAGGCGCTATATCAAATGCAAGGATTATTACTATTATTTGAACAAACTACAAAGTCTCAAACGTGCATTTTTGGATAAGCTGCGAAGGATAAACAATGAGCAGTAATATACTTAGGTAAAGTCGGTTTGATCTAACCTTTATCACAGCCGGTTAACAATTTTCCCGTAGGCTCCTACCTTGCTTCCTTTTACTTGGATCTATATTCGCGTCCGAGAGAAAAAGACAAGGGCTCCTGGACAACAGCCTTCATATGTGAGTTAACTTGAGACAGATTCTTGAGGCAGACTTAGCATATTTAACTACTATGAATTAATATGCTTAAATCATTAGTTTCCCTTGTTGCAATTTAAAGCTCTTCAATGAATTAACATGGTTTAGGGATGAACATTGGATTTCCCAGAGCTGGCCAGCATAAGGCTTGTCAATTGCAAGTAAAGAGCAAACTAATGACACAAAGCCAGAGGAAAGGGAAATAAAATACACAGAAGACATAGTGCAGCTCTTTTTCCGATAGTTTCTTTTTTGCGCATTTGCCTTTCTCCTCTCAACAGCAAATAGCAAACTTCTAAACAAGAAACCGGTGGCTTTCCTGGTGTGCAACCAACTCCCGCCCGTTGGCTCCATCCCGTCACTGATGTCCTTCACAGAGGTCAAGACGCTGTTTCACGAGGTAAGAGAATGCTGGTTGGTATTAAAGAAGAAACTCTGAATCCAAGTAGAGTCTCGCAGTACAGAAAGAGGCCATTCAGCCCATGAAGGGTACAAAGCTTCAGAATCCAAAACCACATTTGGCCGAGGGCACACCATACCTAATCCGGAGACTATCCCAGAAATCAGGAGGCAACTGCTCTTCAAACAAGCAGCTTGTTAAAACAGGCAAGAAACGTCACCAATTCAGCTGGTTCATAATCAGCCTCAAATCCTTAACTCTTAACATGCTGCTCCTACAGGTTAAACAAAGCAAATCATCAGCGTGGCTCAGTTGGTGTAGCACTGTCACTTCTGGGCCAGAAAGTTGTGAGATCAAACTCTTCATTGGTCCAGGTTGACACTCCAGAGTAGTACGGTTGCTCTAATATTCTCTTCCAGGACTGTGCAGTCTGTGCAAAAATTGGCTGCGGTATTTGCCTACAAAAATGCACTGTCACTACATTACAATGTACCTTATGAAGCTGTCCTTTCAAAGTAAAAGGTACTGTATCAAATGTACCGATGAATAAATTACTGCACACTCAGTGAACTGTGCATTGCGAGATCTTTAACGTCCACCTGGACAGGCAGATGGAACTCGGATAACATCTCACCCGAAGGACAGCGCAGCCTTCCCACCACCACCCACCCTCCCCCCCAGCACTGGAGTGTCAGCCCGTTTTAAACCTTTCCACGCCTTAGTGTTCCCCCTCTCTCCCCAACCTCCTCGCTCCTCACAGCACCCCCCACTGCCTCCACTCTACTGTCTTCGGCCTCCTCCTTGTCCCTCGAATCCTCCGCTCTACCGCCTTCAGCCACTGCACCCCAAAGCTATGGAACGCACTCCCTCCCTCAATCCCTTCGCCTTGCCCCCACCCCACCCTTTCCCCATTTTCAGGTCGTGTCTGAAGAGCTTCCTCGGCCTCTAGCATTGTTAAGCGCCCCAGGACGCCGCCCGGCGTGGAGGGCGCTGTATAAATACAACTTGTTGTTGTGTACTGTTCAGTGTGTATTGGGTGTGAACCTCTGATTGCAGTTCGGACACGCACTGCAGCACATGCTGACCACCGTGCCGTACAGCATGGCGGCCGGCTACAATAACATAGAGTGGGACGCGGTGGAATTCCCCTCACAGTTCATGGAGAACTGGGTGTACGATAACAACACAATATCTCTGATCAGCAGCCACTATAAGACGGGAGAGACGCTGCCTCAGTCCATGTTTGAACAGATTGTGAAAGGTACAGCTGGGGGTGGGAGGGGGGGGTTTCTGTGCCATTTCCGTTTACTTTTCTTTTTTCATATCATTTTAATTAATTAAACAACTTTCGCGCAGGTATATAAGCAGCTCAGCGCCTTGAGACATCTTCCTGACGTGAAAGGTGCTATGCTGGGTGGCGTGGGGGGGTGAGGGGATCAGTTATTCTGTTCATGATGGAAAGAAAGCCAACGTAAAACAAAAAATGAGGTGATTGGTAAGAGCAGAATATAGGGTCAGGAATAACCGAATGATCAAATAACTCACACGCTCAAAACGCTTCATGACCCTGGTATCACAACAACAAATCATATTTATGTAGCACACTCCATGTCGGGAGGACGTCCCAAAGTGCTAGACAGTTCAGGGTTTACACCCAAGCTGGGGGTTGGATTTGGGAGGAGTGGGGATCAAGGGTATGGGGAGGGGGGGTGGGGGGTAAGAGATGACCAAAGGGGCAGTCAAAGTGGAAGCTCTTGGGATCTTGAAGGAGGCGAGGGAAGGGACGAGGTAAAGGGATGGAACCACTGTGCTTTTTTGATCAATAACAATATTTGTGTTCTTTCCAGCCCGTCAGTACCAGGGTGGGTCCATTCTGCTGAATCAGTTGTTCCTTGCAGCGTTGGACTTGGAACTACACGTCAGGTACATGTACGAAGGGGTGTCTGCAGTCAGCAGAGGCAGCCAGTGATGGGAAGAGGGGAAACAGTTGGTCGAGGCAGAATCCACATTAAAATTCAAGCAGGAACTAGAGATATCTAACAAGGGAGTCATTTGCAGATGGGTGGACAGATGGGGTAAGACAGGTAAATGGTACTGGATCAACTGCGTTTTCAAAAATCTAGCACAAGTGAACAACAACAATAACAAACAACAAGAACAATAAATTGCATTTATATAGCGCCTTTCACGTCGCCATATTTTCTCTGTGCAAGTCACCTTTAAGGTAGATTTCAATGTACGGCAGATAAGAATATTTGGTAAAAGTCATCTCAAAACAGAAACTTCATGGTAATAGCAGGGCAACGCAACAACAACAAATTACATTTGTAATAGCACTTTTCACGTTGGGAGGACGTCCCAAGGTGCTGCTATTAGACGCAGAGGTTTGGATGAACAAGGTAGAAAACCTGCCAAATGGGATCTATTCAGTGAGGCGTAGTAGATATAAAATGACTGAATGTTCTGAGATGCTGGATTCGAAAATAATTATTAATCTTTTCCTCTTGGTTCTCTAGTACTGATCCATGGCCAATTGTTTTGAAGCAAGTAGAAAGCAACTTCACAGTGTTAACACCCCATCCAGTGAGTGCTAGCCACATATACATATAATATTAATAATTATTTATTATTCAGAATCTCCTCAGCCTAAAGGCCTATTTCCTCAAGTGAATAAATGTTGTGTTCAATGGGATGGGTTAAATCAAATTGATGAGTAACTAATTCATTTCTCCTCCTCTATTCCCTTCTATTCTGTCCCAGGATTACTGTGTGCCATGCACATTTCTGCATGTGTTCAGTGGGAGCTACGCAGCTGGCTACTATGGCTACGGATGGGCCGAGGTGTTATCCCAGGATGCGTTTGGAGCCTTTGAGGAGGCTGGTTTACAAAACAGAGACAAATTAGTTGAGATTGGACAGAGGTAAGCAATAAGGCAACTTACCTTAACACCTTATATACTTTGGGATACAATATAATTTGGGACACGACATGTCAAGCGACTGCAGGATGGTGGAAGGCAAACTAGATGGACCTTGGTCTTCTTTCTCCTAGCAATTCTTATGTTCTTATAGCTTTCACAGAATGACGTTAATTTACAGTGGCATGAAGGTAAAAGCAATCGGATAACATGGGGATCTTTAGACAGGTGTAGATGTGATTGTGATACTCAAATATTAAAAATAACCCCTCACAATACAGAAAAATACATTTGCCGCATGAGTTTGTGGCATGAGTACAAGCGGATGGAGGGAATGGTTGGATAAACTAAAGGAATGTTGGAATGGAGAGGTTAGTGTTGTCAGTGGTGTGACAACTGCACCTTCACTAAGTGTGTAAGATAAGAGCTTGTCCTGCTCGTCTCCAGATTCAGAGACACAGTGCTGAGTCTCGGAGGTGGGGTTCATCCAAAGGAAGTCTTCAAGATGTTCCGAGGTCGCGATGCCAATCCTGAATTTCTGCTCAAGACTTATGGACTTTTATGAATTTTATGAACAGAGCGGCTGTGGCAGTTGGCCCCTGTGCCTGAATTGGGGATTAACATTGCTGCTGGAGGCTGGAGTTTAAATATATTAAATTATGTGCCTTGAATTTACACAGAGGGTGTGTTTTTTTTTAATTCTCCTCCCACAGAATCTGGTTTCCTGCAAAAATCATCGTTATTTCGCATCGCGGTGAGCGCCGATAGGAAGGATTCCGATAATGACTATTGGTTCATGCAGATTCTATGTGGCTCACAAATGGTTGCGGTGACATAGCTGTAGTCATAATTCTGCCGTGACACTGATGCGCAAAGGGGCCATATTCTCACGTCACCTTTCCAGGAGAGGGCTGGCCGTCAGCTCTTGGGACAGGCAGATAGTCAACAAAAAGATCTTTCACCACGATAGCGCCATTTTCTATAAAACTGCAATCACAATGAGGTTGGATTCCGAGAAACCAATGCACCATGTGATGAAATGCTTATTACCTATTGCGCTATGCTTATTATTCCTTAATTTATTCTAATGCGCGATGAATATCACATGGCACTATTTCAAAGGCCAGGGTGTTTCTGACCAGTATTCTTCCCACACTCAAATTCACTGAAAAATAAATTGGTCATTCACTGTTTGTAGCACTTTCTGGCCCAGTTGAGCCAAACTCTTGGCTGCACATTACACTACAAAGGAACAGGTGCAAAGCACACGAGATGTTTCAATGGGATAAAGAACACAAGGTTTAGTTATAAATAGGGTTGCTTTGTACCACCATAAGAAGTGAACTGTTAATGAAATCAACATTAGTGGTAGCGTAGGAAATCTTGGGAGTCAGTGTCATTCTTTTTGAGTTTATAAACATCTCTACTCGGAAGTTATGGCTTCAATTCTCTTTCAACACACATTTTACAAAAAAACTACTTTTTTTTAAGCCTTCTAAAATTGCAGTCAACAGTACCAAATTACCAGAGTTTGTAATCAATTCTATTAATTATTAAAATTTCAATTTATTCTCCAGATTTGAAAGGAAAAAAAAACCTGCATTTCTAATGAGTGAAATTGAGAATTTTCAGTTAAAACAAATCTAAAAACCCATTTATTAAACAAAACAAGGGAATAGTTTATGCTTTTATACTGTATTTTTACACCATGAATGGGATAAATGCTTTTTGTGTGAATTTCATACACATCCGATTGTGATAATATCACTCTATAATGTGTGTACACGTAAGAGGGGGAGTAGATATTAAGTCTAAAAAGTGGTATTTAGATAAATAAAAGCCTCGGAGTGAATGAGTATCAATACTTAAGACTGGATGTACCTCATTAATATTCTAGAAGGAAATGTAATATTCGTCTCTTAAAATTTTAAACAGTGGCTCAAGTGTGTTCTTCGAACCGTCTGTATTTTTTTTGCACCCTTAAATGTAGTGATTGCTGAACACCCCAATTAGAAGACAAACACTTTTGTTGCATAACCAGTTTTTATTGGCACCCTTCAAGAATTCCAGGATATACGGTATGGTTCATTGAGGCAAATTTACTCAGTTCTTAGTGCAAGGACAAACATTCAATGCAGGATTTGTTATTGGGAATTAACTAACATTCAATAGTAAACGGGTAGAATTGTAGAACCGGTTTAAACACTGGGACATGGGTTGCACAGGCTGATACCTGCCACAAAGGATGACTGGATACACGTCAACTTAGAAGACAGTCAGAATTTTGACGAAGAAAATCCAACTCCAACCGTTAGTTCCCTTGCTTTAAATACACAATTTCACCAGGATCAAACTTGCACTCAAACTAACCGATTGCCAAACACAAGTACCAGCTGACAGCCAGAGGAGGTTAGTTTGCCCCCCACCCCACAAATCTCATCAAAAATCTTAGGAATTAATTTGGAAAAAGAAAAATTGCAGAACTTTGATCTGCTGCTAACAACTGCCGGTAGCAACACAAACCAGAGGTCCAGAATTGCCCAGGTGACGGACTGACATCTGCTGGCTCAACTCAATGACTCACGCACAAATCCAGCAAAATAAAAGACTGACACTGTCTCGAGGACTGAGCATAATTTCTGCACATTTAACATTTGTTCGGTTATGGAAAAATTGTACGGCTTATTTTCTTTTAAAAAGTAATGTTCGCCTTTTGATTAACCTCTGCTTCAGTTTACCAAGTAATTTGAAAGTAAAAGTCAAACCTCCTGATCTCACAAGAAAGATCAAGGTCAAATCTGAAAGCAGCTCATCTGTTCTTTTCCGTGGCTAGATTAATGTTAACACTGAAATACCGACACTGAGGTCACGCACTCGTGTCCTTACAATTGTTCTTTAGGTTTTTATTCTATTTGACTCAGATCTCGCTCAACGTAGCAGCATACTGCGAGCAGGAGCTGGGATACCTGCTTTAGTGCTTACGGCCATGACATGCAGGTATTACCGCTGCCAACCAGACCAGTTTAGGGCGTTGAGGTTTGCTCTTTTATCTCATTTGCCCTTGTTTGGTGGTACCTTCGTGCTGACCAATACCGAAGCTATTCAGTGCTGCTGTTAACAATAGCAAAACCATTGCGAGTGTCTAGTCTACTCCGTTCGAGGGCTTACTCCTGTTAAGTGTAGCCTTTTGTCAAACAAAAACAAAGCACTTCTCTTCAGCTATATTGGAACCAGCCAGGTGGAAAATACATATGATGCAGTCTAATCCTATTCTCAGTACTGTACATTACTCTTCATTGCTCAATACACTTTATGTTACACTGAATAGCAGCAATTCAGATCTTCAAGCAATACTAAACGGCAAACTACATAAAAAATGGCCTTCCAAAGATCACATCGTACTGCAGCACCGCACCACCGCTCATCTTAAATCTGTTTTCCAAACAATTGAGTAAAATTGTGGAAAATCAAGTCCACTTTTTAACAGGAGTGCACGGCCCTGCACATCATTACATCAGGTACAGGACTGACACAATAGAATATAGGGGAAACAACACACTGATCCAATGGACTGGCCCCCAAAAAAAGAAAGATTCTGGTCCAGATCAAAATATCTTGGAACCATGGAATTTGGATCACTGAAAACAGACGCATCACATTTCTTCTCTCGCCAGTACTTAACATAGACTAATAACTTGCATTATAAAGGGAGTTATATCAAGCACGTGTTCATCAGAAAGCGGCTCACGACACCGGTGATGTGTCGCAGAGATGTGCTATCGTGGGCAAATAAATTCTCGTCCTTTCGTGGTCATCTAACCTCTTACTATAGTTTGGCTTCACTTTCACATGGCGTCAGCATGGCGTAAAAACATCCTTAAAGGCAAGAAAAACTGATAGCGTACAATCACCGATCAAAACAATTCTGTGACAGTATACAGACATCGACTGGAACAAATCAATGAACTCATTGCACAATGAGGGATTTCAGAGAGCAAGAACCGCTATGCTTTCAGGGTGCTGTTGGTTCAGTCACTTATTCTGCAAATGACACATTTTTTTCGGCTAACTTCATTTTTGGTCTGTCTATCGCTCAAGATCGTAAAGGGGAAGAAAAGGAAAAGTGACATTTATATACCGGTTTCCGCAGCATCCACATCGACAATAACCACTATCTTCTAGCTTGTGGAACATCATCACAGTTTACAGATAGAATCCGTGAAGAAATTCGTAAGCCTTTCAGCCCAAAATATTACTTTGCTTCTTTTGTACATTCGAGCATTCCATTCCTCTCAAAAAAAAAGACACCGTTCACTTCACTGCGTGAGATCATGTGCTGCCATTTCAACTCATGACAGCAACTCGATCATCATTCTGTAGCAGTGGCACTCTCACGAGTTATGGATCCTTCACTCAAGAGAAAACTGATCGTGTAGCCGTGCTAAATCTTGCACTGTTGCTACAGTTTAAACATTTTGCCTGCACTAGTTATATTTTAAACTCAAAATGGAAACTCAGCAATCATTAAAATGAGTGACGTCGGTAGCGTTTTAGTACTGTACGTTAATGTATAGAAGTACAAAAGATGTTGCAGTGCTCTGCGTGCAACAAATCAAACCAAAAGAGAGAGTTGTGTTTAGTGTCGTAAAATCTCAAGATATTTCAATCCACTCGTAAGTGTGCATCTGTAGATTCCTTTTAGATAAAACTTTTACACTTGATGAATTTGGGGCATTCAACAGACAACAACTTAAAATAATAATCCTTGCATTTGATATGGCACCTCACGTCATCGAAACGTCTCAAAGAGCCTCACAGGGTATACTGTAAAGTGGTTTGACTGTACTTTGTGGGCGAAACGCGGCAGATAGTTTTGAGTGAGCAATTTGATTTGGGAGATTTGTTGGCCAGGAAAACTAGGAGAGAGAAACTCCCTTTGCTTTTTGAATAGTGCCATGGGATTTTTAACGTCCACCAGAACTGGCAGACGGGACCTCAGTTTAACGTCTCAACCGAAGGACGGGACCTCAGACAATGCAACGCACCCCCAGCACTGCATTGGAGCGTCAGCTTAGACTACGTGATTCCAAGACCCGACGTAAGGTCTGACTCAGAGGTGAGAGCGCTTCCACTGAACCAGACTGACACATGGCAACACTTTTGAACAGCTGGAGTAGAAGAATATGTTAAATTACTTATCTTAGTACTGATTTTTTTAAAAAATTGGTGAATATATGTCTCAAAATAACATTCAAAAATGTATAATGACTGCACAATCCTTTACTTTCTGTAATAGTATAGTAGCAGGTTCGGTACCATATTAACGCTTCCTCCGCCAAATGACAGATGCCCTTTCCTTCCTCTGACCTAAAGTACTACTAGTATATTTTACTTTTCAAGGTTTCCCCTCAAAGCAATATCTGCCTGTAAATAGTATCCACACACCCTGTACTTGCACCACCAGTCTGCGACTGTACATTGTCTTCCTCTGTCTGGCCTGCGTTGGCTGGTGAGAATTAACTGATGATCCTGCTCACAGATTGTAGGGTTGGAAACTCGTCATCTTCAAAATGCAAGGTCTTGTGAAGGACAAAGTCTTTCGGGGTCAGCACCTGCTGGCACGTCGGGCAAACCTGACAGTCCAGCTCAGAATTAACCCCAGTTTGCCAGGCGTTTTTCTTGTTCTTTTTTGATTTGTTTGACCCTTGCTTTTCCTGTAACCGTAAGTCATTGTGAGCAGTGAGAAGCTCCTGCTGTTTCCCTGTATCCGGCAACAAAACTAACAGTTCGTTCAATATCTTCTTGAAATTCTCTCCCAGAAGTTCTCTACAACTCCGGTAGTACTCTGCAGCAGAAATCTGGCCCTGCAGAGAACGAAAATAAATTTTGGTGTAAAAATGGGTACACGCTTAGGAAATCAGCTTGTAGAATGTAGGGTAAAATCTTTTGAGCATTGGATTGAGGGCACAAGAATTACATTAAGGACAGAAACATTTTCAACAAATTGGGTGGTACAAGGGGGCAGCCTCTGGTTCAGGCTAGAATTCACCCCAGTCCATCGGAACAGTCTCCTTTCTCAAGTCAGCTACACAAACCTTTTAGGTCACCAAGCCAGTTTCGACTGACCGCAACACAAAACTATCTGAAGTGTTGCATAAATTGAAAATCACACTCTCTCAAGAGATTTCAAGAATAGTTTTTTTTTGAGGGGGCTGGGGGTGAAATGGAAAGATCGTCTCCGCTTACCTGTCTGAACTGCCCCGACTGAGTCCTAAACTTGCTGAATTTAGCCTCATCGTTGTACAGGTATTGATTGATAGAGTTGATCAGGTCAATGTTCCTCTGCTGAAAGTTCTCTGGGATGAGGTAAGTTCTCGACAAAGTTGATACCGGTCTACATTCAAAGCAAATTTAAATAAGTTATCTTTAAAGAAACCGCTACCAACCAAAAGCAAATAGCAGCAACCAATCTCAATCTCCTCCCCAAACAAGAAATGGCTAGAGACTTGACAGAAGATAACCATTCATTAAGAATGGAATCTTATTTGGTTATAAACTCCATGGAGGTGGAGGGGGGGGTGGGGGAAGAGAAACGAAATGTCCTTGTCTGTGGGGAAGCAACTGGTTTGAATGCAGTATTTCAATGACAGAGGAGATCAGGAATGCAACATGGAAAAAAAAACTCTTGCACAGAGACTCTCTCTCAGTGAGAAAAAATGCTGAACAACCACATGGCGAGTTATTCCCTGAATAGTTTTAATCCCAAATCAATTAGAACCAAATGCTTTAACAGGGCGATTTTTAAAAAAAATCTGTGACTCCCTGCATGCAAACAAGGTGAGTCAGCACAGAGAACTCTATTGATGGTATTTATTTGCAAGCTGTCCTGATTTAGAAACTATCCAATGGAGTCAATCTGAAAGACTGTTTTTTTTGCTTGCCAATTGCATTGCGGAGAGGGTTCATTAATATTATTTATCAGAGCATCATCAAAAGAGGTGCAGACACACAGAACATCCAGCCGTAAAAAGTAGCAGAAACCTCTTGTGCCGTGGACCCGATGCCCATCATGATATAATGTCATCAAGGCACCTTCAAAGGTGACTGAGAGCAGTATTCGGGTTTTACAAGCAGGGTACCTCACTCCTCGAGGGTGCTCATTCCATTCCAGACACTGGGAAATGTCCGTGGCTAGGTGGCTTACATACGTCTCCGTTTGGTTCAGGTACACTTAAGCATGGAGATGGGTTTCCACAAGTCAGACACCCGAGCCAACCAAAAATGAACAAAAAAAGCTTATAAGATTACAGGACATCAACCAGCTAAAGAGACGCCCAGTAAAGTTAAAGCCACTGAGGCCTGGTATCAAAAAATGGTCAGTTCTTCTACTCTGTAACAGTTCCACTTGTCAGAGAACCAGTTTTAGATTTTAAAATGTCAAGACTAATTAGTTTTGAAGTCTGACTGTGTGTGGCAAACATAAGTTATCCAATGACCGCTTTTACCCTTAATATTAGATCAAGGTTTCAGAGTAATAATAATAATCCTTGCATTTGATATAGTGCCTTGTCATATCTTGGGAGACTTAAAGCGCTTCAAGGAATATACAAAAGTGTTAGTGACTGTGTGTTTATGGGTAAAAAGCGGCAGTCAATTGCGCACAATTAACAAACAGACTACTACCCCCATTCCAAGGCAGAGTAGGAATGAATCGTGCTGTTTTGATGAGGAGGGGGAAATCTGCCAGTACTGAACCCTGATATTTAAAGTGGACAGTAAAGAGGAATTGCCAAACAGTGCAGTGTACAGTACATACTGTTTTGGTGCTGGAATCACTGGCTCGCTGATGTTTGAATTCAGAGGGACACCAGTAAAGCCAGGAGGGGGTTTACTAACGGGGGCGGACAATCCTGGTGGAGGAGGAAGGTTGGATGGTGGGCTCTTCACTGCTAATAAGCTGTTAAAACCTGGATAAGAAAATAAATTCAGAATTAAAAAGTATGAAATTTGCTAATTACAGTCATGTGGAATTTAGGCAATTTTGTTTCACCCCCCCACCCCCGTATATAAAAGCGCAGAAATAAGAACTACTGCAAGTTACAATGTTCGCGTGTGGTTGACTAGATAAAGCCACTTGTATAAAGTTCCTGGGACCACATTTAATCTGTACATGGCTCTTTCAAGACCACTTTTAAAAAAAAATGACGACTTCCATACACCTTGCTTAACTGCTAAATTTTGGAACTGATCCTTTGAAATGTCCTTCACCATTTTCTTGGCAACCCCCTTTGACCACCTCTTCTCACAGGACGACAAAAATTAGCTTCATTGCAATTGGAAGCATTTGGCTTTTACAAAGCGCATTTCAGACACTACATTTATTTTTTAAAAAAGGCTGGAAGTTACACAAAAATGATCGGAGTAGCTATAAAAAACCATTTGAATCAGAAGAGTATTTTCTCTGGTCCACAGGCAGAAACAGTGGAAGATTTGAGGGCTGACAAGTCTTTTTTGTTGTTGTTGAGATAAAACTACCATGGATCAAATGCTTTGGAAATTTTAAATCATTTAGCTGGATAGCTAAACATTTCGTAACCTTCATGTGTCCAAGTAAAGGTCTGGCTGTTCAAGAACCTAATTATAATAACTGACGTAGACAGATTAATTTAACTGCAAATTCTTCACCAAATGTCCGATTGCTCCTGTTCTGGGTTTTGTAACACCATTACCCATTAACTCATTGCCACAGGATACTGTGACCATCTTACACTAAATAGTACCAGAGACTGTAGGCACACCGACTTGTTACAGGATTAAAATTATTCTTCACACAACAATTCCAGAAATGATAGGATTAAAGAATCACTGAGTGGATCTTGAAGGCACTGATCCTACAAGTCTCATGGCCATACTCAATCCTCTCTCTTCCCGCTCCCTATCAAATGATCCATTTCATGAACAGATTAGGAAAAGGAATCGAAGACACATGGCATCTTAGTAACGATCGCAGAAGCTAGCAAGTTGTTAAAAAAAAATTCTAGGAGGCATGCTTTAAGTTTCTCTGGAAAGTCAGCAAGATTAAGATGAAAAGGCTGTGATCAGGTGGAAGCTCCAGAAGAGACCTGCAAGCATCTCAGTCCAAAAAAACTTGTAACTCACTCGGATTTTGAACATTCTAAGAAATAATTGACATACTTTGCTAGAAGTTATCAAACACTATACTTACTAAAACTAGTGTCCACCTAATGATAAATGCAGGACTGCGTACAGAAACACACGAGGGCAACAATATAGGCTGCTGGGTTGAGGGAGCAAATTCGGGTTGGGGGGGTCACAATACAGGAGTATGTAGTGTAGGAAAACATGGATTCACAATTGGAGGAAGAGGTTGAATGTCCTGAAAACTCTTCTCTCCTATGCAGGATATATTAACCATGCGCTGCGGTGGGGGGGGAGGGACGGGGCAGGGCAGGGAGCAAAAAAAAAAATAGTTGAGGTCCTCAGACACATTGCATGTCTGCGCAGTGCTTTGCTTATATGCAGCTTCTTGTGGCACACACTCCATGCAATTTCTGCAGTATTCTCCACTGCTGCAATGGGTCTGGTTTTAGTACCCAGTGCTTCACATCCTGAGCCAGAAGGCCCTCAGAAAAGGCTTCCATCTTTGGCAGTGGCTTTTAATCTACAATACAGTAATTTGAAAACACAAACTACTGAGTTTTAATAGCCTATGTTCAACCACTGCAGACTCTACCAAAAAAGTATTTTTTTACATACTTTGCCATCGAAAGAATCACAATGTTTTTATTTTGACAGTGCAATTTCACAATACATCAAAACTCCCTTAGTCTAGGATTCTTACCTGGAGGTGGCTTTCTTGGTAAAACTGGGTTTCCCAGTGCTGGAAAGTCTTCTTCAGGTAGAGGGCATGGGTCATGTACCGGCTTAAAGCCCGGCGGTTCCTTTAGGGTGCGTACACTTGTTGGAGTTTCCAAGCACAGTTTGTCAGTGTGGCCATTCAACACGCTGGTGACCAACACATTGTCCTGCTTTGGATCGGGAACATTCTCCTTCTGTGCTTTACTGACCACGGGGTCGGTTACCAGCAGAGGCGGTGAGGAACTTGGCTTTTCACCTCCTACCTTTTTCTTTTTCCCGACTTTAGAGATGTTCTGTGTCGAAGTAGTTAACAAGGAAGAGATGTCCAGCATGGTGGGTGTACTCCTGAACTCCTGAGCTGTAAGCCCACCAGTGTCGTCTTCAACCTCCTCGGATCTCGAAGGCAATTTATTTTTTACGCTTGCTTTGTTGCCGTTAACTGGTAAGGGTTTTTTAACAGCTCGATTGGAAACGGTGCTGCTGGGATGGACTACCTTCAGAACACTTTTACCAGGGGCGTTAGTCCAGGCGGATACAGATGGTGAGGGCTTATTTTGTTTGATCTTAGACACAAGCGCAGGAAAGTCCTCCTCATGAAAGGGAGTGTTCTTTTTGGTTGTAGAGACGTAGGCTGGTGTGAGCCCAGTGGCTGTCGAAGTTGCTGAAGCAGACAAGCTGGGAAACTCCTCTTCATTCAGGCGGACAGCAGCCAGATTACTAGAAGAGCCAAAAATGGATTTAAGTCAAATAACTTTCTTCTTATTTACACATTATATGAACGAGAGAGAGAGAGCAGAGAGAGAGAGAGAGAGAGAGAGCGGTACATAAACTAATGGCTTGATTTCTTCAAAAACAAGACAATGACCCGTCAAACAGACCTCAGCGTGTTAAATTGGTCACAGTACTGAGGGTACAAGAGGCACGGTGGGCTGCAAAACCATGTGAAGATAACTTTAAGCAGCGTTTTACTCTCAAAAATGTGCCAACAAGAGTGAAGATGTCTTGGGCCTACACTGCGATTACCACATAGCTAACTAGCTCCCGATTTTAATTGTAACTGTTATGTATACAAGACCCAGTTCTAGTGGGCTTAGCTTCTATTTGATTCTCCTGTAAGCTGCAGCATTTTGTTCCTGCAGCTACCCATTAGAAAGTAGTTTAACATCGTCAAAATCAGTTCTTCTAACAGTTTGTGTTCGATCCTTTTTGTCAAGTGCTAAATATTGCAGTTTCACCGATAGTGTAAAATGTTGGTGTGAGCTGCAATACCATAATATACAGCAAGGAGCATTTTGTTCATATGATTAACATACCAAATAGCTGTAATTCTCTTCACAGAACTTTTGTCTGATAATTAATATTTATGTGAGAAAGTTCCCAAATTATACTCTTTACAAAGAAGTTTTTTTTAAATAAAAGAATAATTGCACAATTGTGTACTTCCTAAATTATGCCAATAATATTTACTGCCAAATATTCACACCAATATTTGAAACCAAGTGTACTTAGGACACTTGTTACAACAGATTTGAATTAATGAATCAGACAGAAAACTGCCCTTCAGAATCTACAATAAACTTTGCATGAATGAATACACGTGAAGTTAAGAGTACATACCTTTGCTTAAGTGGAACTGTGGAACATAGCGTTTTGGACTCTTCCTTTGAAGGCCCTTTACTGGTCTCCTTGTTACCTTGAAACAAAATACAAAGTCTTGTTTATTCACACACATCCAGTTACATTTTAGCCTTTATTTGAATTTTTTACAGCACTTAAAAATTAAAGTGCGATTAGTGACATTCTTCTGTGGTTTGCTATTAAAACTGGACACAAGCTTGAGGTACAGAAGGCTCGGCTATAGAATACACACCTATAGTTTCAGATGGTGGTCTAGTCACAGCCTTGGTGCTATAAGCGTCATCAATCTCTTTATCATCCTTGGTACTTTTACTGGTTTCACTTTCTTCTTTTGAAGCAGCTTGTTTCTTTTCTTCCTGTCTCCGTGCCGCTATAGATGCTCGAACTGCTGCAGCGACGTCGCGATCCTCTTCCTCTCTGTAACCCAAAGCGTTGGCATTCAGGTAATGGCACACACAGAAGATATTATGGCAAGGCAGAAATCATGGCTTTCAGTTCATCCCTCAGAGTCAAATCTTCTTTCCATTTCAAAAGGAATTTACAAATTAGGCTTTGACTAACCTGTCCATCCATTTTGTGCATGCCTGTACAGATTGTGATTTGATCAACTTTTGAGTATCTGTAGCATGCTTGATTTGCTCAATATCTCTTTGACGGTCTTGGTTCTCAAACTCACCATTTACCCTCCAGAATTCAAGCAACAAATCTTTTGTTATTTGGAATGATACGTAGCTACGCACCCAATTTAGATGCCTACAAGTGTCCCAAATTTCAGGGCAACTCCCATTGGAGATATCCCCAAGATTCACCAAGATCCCCTCAGTAAAATCAGATGAGATGTACAGGAGCAAAAATTAACACCCATACATTACATAGCAGCACAATAAATAACCTACTGACCCAATGGTCCAATGCTGCATCAACAGTATCCCGGGTTTTATTTTTTTAAATTTTGCTCATAGCACTGACAACATCAAATAGCTTCAATTAAATCAATATTCCAATGTGCTTTTTCAGATCTTAATAGAAGAAATATTAGATGATATAGCAGAAATCTTTGGCTGGTTCTATGATCTGGGATCTCAACCGTACCGATTATATTTCCATCTTCCTCTTCGATTCTGTCCTCGATTCTGAGGTGCCCCTCCTCTTCGGTTAAACCTGTCCACTTCTTCATAGTCCTCTCCACTCACTAAGCCTGCAATAAAAGAACATTAAACAGTCATGTCTGCCCACGGGCCAGTAGATCCTATCATAGGCGTTGTCTAGGCCCTAAATACAAAGCAGCCTTAAACAAACACTTTTTTATTATTTGTAATTTCTTAATATAAACACACCTTTGTGTGTGAACATTTCAGAGGTTAAAAAAAGGCAAGAATAGTTAGCTGGACTGTTAAGAGACTGAAATGACTGCTTCGGAACCACATACTATTACATCTTCCAAATACTATACACGGATAAGGGCAATTAGAAGATTTTATTCTCGACTTAAAAGGTTTGTACTCAAGGGCAATTTCAGGAATGCACAGTTTCTGGTGCTTCATTCAAATTTCTGAGTCAAAGCCACGTCTCAGGATGAGAAGAGGCGAGCAATGAACACAATTTTCTCTAGCCAATGTTTTCAGGAACTGCTTTTAAAAATAGACTTTGCGATCTTTTAGAGTGCAGTGAAAGACAACTGTAACTAGCGCAGTATTAGCACAAACTGGATGTTCTTATTTAGCTCCTACAGAGGAGCGGAGGGATTTGAAGACAAGAAACAAGAAAACACAACGGAAAGAGCAGTCTGCAAGCAAATAATGAGCATCTACAGTGAAAGCAGAGATTTCTCAGGGCTTTCTACTATTTGTTTCTCCCCAGCCCAGATTGTAAACATCTGAAAAAGTAAAAAGCTCTATATTCAACATCCCCCACACACTTTAATTTGAGGCTAGACAATCTTGAGGTAATACTGCCAAATTCTTACCTTCATTCCGTCTTTGGTGCCGGGAAGCGTAATTAAACTGAAGGTCTATCTGCCTGTTCTGCCGGGCTTCGGCTCGGTTCTTGCTGTGGCAGGCAGCTTTATGCGCTTTGTAGTCAATCTCTGTGCGGAAAGCGTGAGTAAACTGCTCGGTGCTACAACGGCCTTCCTCACACAGATAGTGCTTCTCTCGAAAATGATCACGAAGATAATCGTAGTCACTGCAGCAAAATGAAACAGCGTCAAGACCAAAAGTTGTGTTTTCTCTAAAGTTTAATTCAATTCTGCGGGTGGAAAACTATAGAACTATTTCCCATTGCAATTCTGGACAATGACTGAGAGGGAATAGTGCTTATTAATTACTTATACTTACTAACCTGTAATATTCCTGAGCACCATCGGAATCACAGAAATGACAGAAATAGTGGTCCCTTCGCAAATGTTTCAAAAGTTCGTCATTATCCAAGTAACGGTCATCACAGAATTTGCACAAGGGGTGCCCGCGGTGCGAGGTATCATCCGGATCACCGTGTATTCGATGACGTGCTAAATCCTTCCGACTGTACCATTTGCGTTCATATGTAAAAATCTGAAACGATAAAAGTGAGCTGGGATTACTTCTACATTTAATAGCCGCTTTCAGAGTTCTCCATTTTGAGAAATAAACTTCTGACAAAACTAAAGCGCCATTAATTTGAACAAATAGTTGATAAAATATATGGCTTTGTGTTATTTTCAGGAACTATAATTCATTTTGGGTTTTATAAATGGAAATGTGTTGGCACTCTGCAAATGTTTGATATCACCACATATGTTACTCTGAAACCTAGGGTAAGAATGTACCTGAAGGTGTTTTGCACAGAGCTTGCAGCTGAACATCTCGTGCTGCTTTCTCATGTGCTGCTCAAGTTCCTCGAAACTATTCAAAGGTCTCGCCTCGACACAAACTGGACATTCATGTTGCAGAAGTTGCCTAAGAGAAATAAGTAAAATCACTGTGCTAAATATGAAAGAGGTTAAAATTCAATTTATACATTACATTAACACTTTTTACTAAAAGGCATATATGTCAGAAACGTGCAATAATACAAATTGTATCCACAGTGACAACATAATTAGATGGAAATTCATTAAATACCAATCTGTCCACAATTCCCAGGAGACAGGTATGGATAGGATTCACGAGAGAGGATTCTTAGTAACTTAACTTAAATTGGAAAATGGCACAATGAGGATTTTGATTGTATTGAACGTCACCTGATATTATACCCAATGAACACCTCTCTTTCTTATTATGCTTACTTTATCAATGACCACTTAAAAGAAAAATTGTAAGCTTCTGGGACTTCCAAGTTATTCCCTCAGTAAATGAAGCGCTTATTTTACTCAGATGAGCAAAAGGGAACTTGGCAACCCAAATTGTGATCACTCAATGCCTAACTTTCTGAGCCAACAGGATACATGCTTGCAAGTAAGTACAATCTCCTCCAGTTCAGTTCCATCCCGATGAGCAAGGATTAATCTGATCCACAAATACAGTCAATTAAATTTTTAAAAAGCAGAAACATAATGATCTTGGCATAATCAAACTGCGGAGTTGCTTATATTAAAAGCAAGGAAACTATAGTACCACCACTGTCAAATTATTGTTACTCCCAAAATGGACATTATTCTTGAAATAAAACACAAGACTTCAACTCTGATTTTCACTTATTTGTACCAGTACAGCAACATTTCACTTGACTTTCATTCTCTTCATCTAAAAGTTAAAGATTGTTTATTAACCTTTGCCAATATATGCATTACAGTAAAACTTGCTTAAATCTTATCTTTGTAAATCATACATTCACCTCTGAGTCCCATTCATGCGACGTGTAGACTTTTGATTAAATCGGAACTTTTACGACATACAGTTTGCCTGCAACTTGGACTTCACGCAAGTCATATTAAATTTCATGGTCCTGACTTATGAGTTTTACTGTAACCCTAGCATTTAATATAGGACTTAGAATGTCAAAAATTCTCAAAGTGCTATTGTAATTAATGCATCACCAGTCTCACTAATACAAACACGAGAACAGGTTGGGAATGGAAGTCACTTTGGTGCTTCTTTGAGGTTGGGCAGAGGCATATAATTGGTGACAAAAGTGCAGTTTACACACAGCTCACTCCACCTCAGGGTGTGCCCAGTTTTGATAAAGTGGCTATGAAATCTGACCTGGGAGCACTTGCTTTTGACAATAGGTACAAAGTACCTAAGAAAAATAGCAGCCTTCGATTTCTTCCTCCCACTCTTGTTATTTTTTTACTAAATAGTTATACGTGCCTCTACCTCAAACAGTTCACCCAAGAGAATGATCAGATCTCTACTGTGCTATCTTTAGGATTACCACTCGTTATTCCCAGGGGTCACTTTATTTTTAGGCCTCTTTTAAGACACAAGAATAGCCTTCCAAGAGACAGCAAAGAAGATATGTCCCTTTCTTTCTGGGCATAACTGAACTCCGCTTGGTACCTCAATCCAAATAGACTGCCACAATCAACAATTCACAAGACAAAACTCTTTGATAGGAACCCACATCACTACTACCATCACATATTTTCAGTTCTTTATGTATGAGATGAAAAAAATTAAACAGCCCCTCTCATAAGGCTCAAATAACTGTTTCCAAGTAAACAACACCATCCTAGCTATAAATATGAATCAATTAATTGGATGGTCCCAATTATGAAACATATAAATTACCTAAACTGTGCAAGAATCCTCCCATCGGCAATATAGATGTCATATTTCTTTTCATGGTGGAACTGATGGGTCATTATCGTTGCAAATGGTGCAAGTTTCTTCACAAACACAACCTGTGTGGCAAAAACACATTAACAATTAATTACATCTAAATATTACTATTATTCTGGTGAAATTTATATTCATTTAGAAATGCAAGATATAAATACTAGCCAAATTGAACAGAAGTGATACCTGCTTCTGTTCCACAGCAGAAGAGATTTTTTTTTTTAAAAATGAGCAATAATACATACTCCACATTCAAGTAAGGAAATGAAGAAATAGATCGCTCGAAAAGTATTTCTGCTCTCTACCGACTTGATTTTTGCCCTACTTTTATATATACCCTACTGATTGGACAGTAAACAAAGGCACTGTCAATCTTAACAAGCTTCCCAGGCTTTCTAAGAAGATTTATTCAGTGCAACCTTTAATTGACCCCACAATTTAAGATGCATTCAGAATCACTGTCAGAACCCTCGGATATCTCTAGGAAACCAAAGGGGTCTATGTATAGTTTGTACTATAATATAAACTGAACAACTTTGTGAGACAACAGGTAGGAAATTTCACTGTTAATTCCAGATTATCGCTTTGGGTATCAGGATAAATGAGGTATTATTAGTCTCCTAGAGGTCACCTGAAGTACTAGGGTTGATCGAGACATGTTTCGATCACAAAACACTTGGAAACCAGGCTGGCTGTAACTGGGCAAAATTTTGATTTATTTGTTGTAACAGAACTGCATAATGCAAGCAATTCTTCCAACAAAGAACATAGCTCCTTTCATAAACAGCACAATTGCATCCGGAAAGGAGCTATTCTCTCACCAATCGGAAACCAGTGACATTTTGGACTTTAAACCTACGACCAACGTAGCAGCAGGTCTAAATTCGCTAAGCATTCATATTAGATGTGCAGTTCCAGTACTTAGCAACTTTTTCCCGTACGAAAAAAAAAGTTTGTTCCACATTCTAATGACAAAAAAAAAGCAAAAGTGTATTTTGGTAAATCAAAAAATAATAATAATCCTTGGATTTGATACAGCGCTTCGTCACGTCGTTGAGACGTCTCAACGCGCTTAACAGAATATAATGTAAAGTGTTGCGAGTGACTGCGCGTTTTGCGGGTCAACAATCTCTTATTTCAAAAATAAAGAATGGACTTTTTGAACGTGTTGCAACGCTGTTTTTACGCAGGTCACAGAAATCTCAGCCAAAGAGTGGAGGGGGCTGGGCTGTGGCTTTCAAGCCCCGTTGTTGGTATCGGCGGTGATCGATCTTGAATCAAAACAAAGACTAACAACACGGGGACAGCAGCGGGGCCGTTTCCTCCTGCGTTATTCAATTGGCTGCTGCGTTTTGCCCACGAATTACACAGGCACTGTACGGTACATTCTGCGAAGCGCTCTGAGACGGCTCGAAGACGTGATAAGGCGCTGTGTCAAACGCGAGGCTTATGATTATTATTATCATCATAGTACGACTCAAATGGTCGGTGGGTTGGGTGACGGGGGGATCGGGCGAGGCTCCCGCCTGCGCCGCAGCCCTCCTCTCTTCCGAAGCGGGAGTGAAAATCTGGATATCTCTCTCTCTCTCTCTCTCTTCCCCCCAAAGGGCTGTGGATTACGGGCGGATCCATTCACATCTTCAAGCCTCGAGTTGGATGGATCAGGGGGTGGGGGACACCGACCGGGCAAGAGGCGGCTCATTGCAGTTGAGCTTCTGAGATCCGCCGTGATCTTGTGGAATGGCGGAACGGGCTCGAGGGGCCGAATGGCCTCCGCCTACGCCTACGCTCCACCGTCTCTGTCTGCCTTACGCACAGCGAAACCGCCCTGCGGTTGGGGTGGGGGAGACGAGGTGAGAGGAGCGGCGGCGGCGGAGAAAGAGAAACCTCCCGCCCCGCAACTGAACGCCCCCCCAGGTGACGGCAGCAGCAGACAGACAGACAGACAGAGAGAGAGAGGAAAGGGAAACTGATCGGGTTTCCTTCAGAGGCCGCGTCAGGGCCTGGGCCCGGGCCCTGTCACCCGGGCCTGGGCCCCGGCCTCGAGTGAGCAGAGCTCACCCATCACCCCGGTTACCTTGTCGAGCTCCAGGCGGCACACGGCGCAGTACTTCTGCTCGCACAGCACCCTCATCTTGGTGGAGCAGCGGTAACACACCGAGTGGTCGCACTTGCCCAAGGCGTAGACCTCCAGCTCCTGGCAGCACAGCACGCAGCTCTTGTCGTGGCTGTGGCCCGCACGCGCCGCCGCCGCCGCCGCCGCTCCTCCTCCTCCTCCTCCACCACCGCCGCCGCCGCCGCCGGGTTCTTTGCCTCTCCTGGACGCCATGGCTCGGGCTGAGGGTGAGTGAGGGATCAGGGAAGGGAGAGAGGGTCGGTCGAGGACCGCTTCACCCCCGGTCGGGGGGTCGGCCTCACTGAAACCCCCGGCCTCGCGGCGGCCTCTCCTCAGCTCTTTCTCGCCTTCACTTCACTCGCTCCCTCTCCTCCTCCCGCCTCCCGGGGCCGGGGATGGCTCTCTCTCTCTCTCTCTCTCTCGCTCTCGGCGAACGTCACCACGTCAACGCGCCGCGGCGCGGGACCTGTGACGTCACCCGCGCGCAGGCGCGGAAGCGGCGGTCGCTCGCCCGCGCCGGGGCGGGAGGCGCGAGGGGGACGGTTTGGACTCGAGCCCCCGACCACCGCCCACCCGCCGGTCACCGCTGGTGAGGCCCCCGAACCCAACCGGGAATTCCCCGATACTGATCCCCTTCCCTCCTCCACGTGGGAATGACAGAGAGAGGCTGTTGGACTCTCTCTCCCCTGGGGGGGGGGGGACTGGGGGGGGGAGCCCAGAGTGTGCTGTGGGGGGGGGGGGGGGGGGAGCCCAGAGTGTGCTGTGGGGGGGGGGAGCCCAGAGTGTGCTTTGGGGGGAGCCCAGAGTGTGCTTGGGGGGGGGGGGGGGGAGCCCAGAGTGTGCTGTGGGGGTGGGGGGGGGGGGAGCCCAGAGTGTGCTTTGGGGGGGGGGGGGAGCCCAGAGTGTGCTTTGGGGGGGGGGGGAGCCCAGAGTGTGCTTTGGGGGGGGGGGGGGGGGGGGGGGGGGGGGGAGCCCAGAGTGTGCTGTGGGGGGGGGGGAGCCCAGAGTGTGCTTTGGGGTGGGGGGGGGGGAGCCCAGAGTGTGCTGTGGGGGGGGGGAGCCCAGAGTGTGCTGTGGGGGGGAGCCCAGAGTGTGCTTTGGGGGGAGCCCAGAGTGTGCTTTGGGGGGAGCCCAGAGTGTGCTTTGGGGGGAGCCCAGAGTGTGCTTTGGGGGTGGGGGGGGGGGGAGCCCAGAGTGTGCTTGGGGGGGGGGGAGCCCAGTGTGTGCTTTGGGGGGAGCCCAGAGTGTGCTTTGGGGGGAGCCCAGAGTGTGCTTTGGGGGGGAGGTGTGCTTTGGGGGGAGCCCAGAGTGTGCTTTGGGGGTGGGGGGGGGAGCCCAGAGTGTGCTTTGGGGTGGGGGGGGGGGAGCCCAGAGTGTGCTGTGGGGGGAGCCAGAGTGTGCTGTGGGGGGAGCCCAGAGTGTGCTTTGGGGGGAGCCCAGAGTGTGCTTTGGGGGAGCCCAGAGTGTGCTTTGGGGGGAGCCCAGAGTGTGCTTTGGGGTGGGGGGGGGAGCCCAGAGTGTGCTTTGGGGGGGGGAGCCCAGTGTGTGCTTTGGGGGGAGCCCAGAGTGTGCTTTGGGGTGGGGGGGGGAGCCCAGAGTGTGCTTTGGGGGGGGGGGGAGCCCAGAGTGTGCTTTGGGGTGGGGGGGGGAGCCCAGAGTGTGCTTTGGGGTGGGGGGGGGAGCCCAGAGTGTGCTTTGGAATCCAACCAGCTAAAACCACACCGCTTGCCATTGACAGCGAGCGCGGTCTGCCAAGCTTTCCTGCTTTCCCCGCACAAAATATACAGTCAATCCGCTTTACAATATATCCTGTGAAATGGTTTGAGGCGTCTCAACAACCTGATAAAGCGCTGTATCAAATGCAAGGAATATTATTATTATTGCCCAGTTAGGACCATTCTACCTGTTAGGGCTTTGACTTGCAGGGTTACTAACAGGAGGGAAGGAGGACAGAAGGTGCGGTTGAAGATTGGTTCACCCTCGGTTGGGCATGTCTCGTCCAGTCCCACGCCAAGTGGTTGACCGTTAACACCCTCAGAACACTACTCAGCCAGGGCAACCAAGGGGATGGTCATTTTGACACTGATCGCATCTAAAGTCCTTCCTCTTCTCTTCAACGGTCATCTCCCCTATTTTCCCCCTGTTCGTTGTCAAAATATGCCATTGTTAAGCACTCCCAAGTTTCGACCCTGCGTAAAGGGCACTATGAAAATTCCCAGTTGCTATCTTATTTAAGCGCTCTGAGATGCTACCCTGCGTGCAGAGGGCGATATGGGTGCAAGTTGTTGTTATTTAGTCAGCACAAACGCATAACAGGTAAACGCCTACATTGATAACAGTTATATGCAGTGACACATCTTTATTGAGAATTCATTGTTTGTACACAGGCACAAATTTACCGATATCACAACAACAACAGTGTTCTTTTAAGAACAAATAAAGATGTTCATACAGTTGATTCATTTTTTAAACTTTTTTATACTCTTTTTTTCCATACACCACTCAAATGTGTTCACTATTTTAACACAGTATAAACACCACTATGACCACTATACTTTTTCTTAAAATCACCGTACACTTCAGTGAACAGAGAAAAGTTACTACAAAGTGCACCATTTTGCCTCATTGGGATCTCCTTTCGGGCTTTCGTCTTTCGTTGCATATTTACCTAATAAATTTATTTGAAAAACACCCCCAAAACTGANTTTTTTTTCAAGTTGGGAATGTTTGCACAGCCCAGCTTTTATTACACTATTAAAATGAACAACAATACTTGGTTAAATTGTTATTTCAGTCTGCTGCTGTCAAAATGAAAAACCTTAATTTGCCATTAGCAAATCTTTTAAAAAATTATAATGGCCTTATAATAACACGGTTAAAAATTTAAGCTACAAAGTCGGTCACTACAAATGTGATGATGTATGTTTTGTACACTGTAAAGATATAAAAAAAAGCTGAAGGGCTTTAAACTTGTCTTAAGGTCAGCTTGTATAAACTGAAATATTGACAAGTATCTAAAATTAGCAACAGAAGTTGGCTAATGGCTTTCTACAGGAGAAACCATCCACCTGAGAAACAAACAGTTGAAAAAAATGACATCTTCTGTTCCTAAGAAACTACAACTGCACAATTGGCAATAGACAATACGGGTTTGATTTGACAATCGTAACGTGAGTGAGCGTTCACTCCAAGATGTCTAGTGCATTGATTTTTCTTTCGGCACTACTGAAATTTGAAAGCAAAAACAAAAGGAGAATGACCAAATAGTTAAAAATGAATCACTTCAAATTGCAACAAGCCTCTTCAAATACGGCAATGGACATCGGAATGGGCTTCCCTTCAAAATAACCAGTTTTGTTACATCAAATCCTCTAAATGGACAGAGAGGTATATCTGATATACAGATGTTTTACCCCATTTGTGATGTTTTAATTAACACCAGTGGCACTGAAAAAATGTCAATAATTATCAAAAACACTGAAAATTTTGAAAGACCAATATCAATAATTCTAATTATCTTGCCTTTCATAACCATTTTCTGATTTAAAAAAACATTAAACGTAAACACTGGGCCTGAAAATAATATCAAATTATTCCTTGAAAAACAACTTTAATTTCTGTAGACTATTATCAAGCTTTTAAAACAAACACTTAGCGCTCAGTATGGTTGACACTGGGAGTTGCACCAGCGAATTCGGTCCAGCCAACTCAACTTTTTCCCCAGAACAAAAAATAAATTTGAAATACTATATATTCAGAGACAAAATGATATAAACTCATGTAAAAAGTCAATACTTGGTGGGCGCGGGAGAGGGATGCTGGGTCCTGCACACATTTTGAGGGTCAATTCAAAGGTACAGCATTTTAAAATGATTTGGCGACAGTAATAAATCTTACATTCAAATAGGCTTTAGAATAATCAGGGCAGGAGGAGGCTATTTTGCCCTTTGTGGCTGTAGACCATAACATGATATATTAAAACAGATATAGAATATAAGTTCATCATCTCATTGAAACATCTCAGAATTACAGCAGGAGCCCACTTGGCACAGAGCACTCACTAAGCACAGATTTTTTCTGAATGTGTGATCATTTAAGATGTCCTATGTGAACAAACCCAAACGTATCACGGAACAGCAACTGGACAGATCCGGATGTACAACATTCAAATAAGCTTGTATTCAACAGACAATCCATTTTGCAATCCAAGCCTTTTCTCTTCGAAGGAAATGCTTCAGCTGATCAAACTGGAAAACATTCAGCTTTACAATGACTCATTTACCTCATTTGCCCCATTGAATGTTAAATAAACTTAGTTCTGGGGACATACATAATTGCTTATACAGTCATAGCTGACATTCCTCAAAAAAAAGCAATTTTGTTAACAGGTATCTGTTTGGCTCAGGCTTTGAAAGATTGAAATTAAGATTTTTTTTAACAGCAAAAAAAAGTCAACGACCGGCTACAAAAACGGCACTTCTCGTTATCCAGGAACCACTTTGTCAAACCTAGATATTGGTTTAGGCTGAGAAAAAGGTGAGGCTCATGCAGTAAGGCAATGTTTTGCTGACTGGCATCACATATAAAAACCTCAGCTGTTGGGGATATCATTTTATTATTGCCACTGTTATACAGGAGCACACTACTATTTTTAGTCAGAAAGTTCAGTGCTACGCACCTTTTAACTCAAAGAACTATGCAGGTGTGCTATGCTTGGGAAGGGTTGAAAAGACCTTCAGTAGTATACAGTATTACAAAGTTACCGGTATCCAATTACATGAACTCACTTGCTACTGGAATGAGAGTATTAAACATAAAGCACACAAATAAATCTTGGGATATTACACAGAGATACAGTTGAGGTGTTCTCAGGGTACAACCAATATCATTTTTGAATAATATTCAACCAGAACGCAAGATGTAGGTACAGTAAATCTCCAGTCACGCCTATAAAATAAGGTTTTAAAATATTTGCGTTGTACCAATTCAAAAGTTGAGCTGACTGTTTTGTAGTTCTTACATTCACTTTTGTATGGTTTTGAAACCGCACCGTATAATCTGACAGCAGGAATTACAGACAATATGCTCACATCTCCAAATAGCTCTGACCATTGACCAATTAACGTTTTTTTACAGTTACATACAATTAGAAAACCTGGCACATGGTGAGGAACAGTTAGTCATGAGTTCAAGGATACACCCAAACAAGTGGAGCAGGAGGTATGAATTTCTAAATACACCAGACAGAGGCCTTGCGGTCTGTCGCATTATGCTGTATTTCCAGCTCACATACTACACACTACAAACAAGAATGACACCACCACTAATATAGTGATTACATTGCACGACTAGCTAAAGAGAGGTTACCCAACACCAGTTTATCACACGAAAAAGCCCATTATCCTCAGACAGTAATTGCGGATAGCTAGCCAGTGAACAACACTGCACCACACAGATGAAATATCTGTATTTCAGCATCCCTTTGCCATTGGCCTAACTAGGCTCCAGTTTAAGACTCAAATATCAAATACCCATCATACCTTCACAAAATGCTCCAGCCACTGATGATTTTCAGATGGCTACTAAAAACTGGCTGCAAATCCATTTTGTTTGCAAGCTCACAGAAAAGAAAGAGAAGGCGACATTACGGATGATGGAGGTGTTATAGTTTGGGCTGAATTTCTACCTGACACCTTGAACCAACGTGGAAGGCTAGCAATTTTCAAATGGAAATGATGTACAGATTTGATTTTTGAAAGGCTGGATTGGAAGACTATCTAGGCCAACAGAAGGGAAACTGTGTTCCTAAATGACAAAAAGAGACCTTGGATCTTTAATACGATGGCATTTGATACCCCCGAGAGGTCGTGTCCAGGTTTTCAGCAAATGGCGGGCTCTGGAAGTTGTCTGTGTTCTCAATTTCACTTCCAGAAGAGAATGGAGGATGACCTGCGTCCAAGTGATCATGAGAGAAGAGTGACGTGTCAGCTCCCAGGCTGTACCTCTGCCATGCCTTCAGGGTTAGGCCAGCCTTTAATAGGATTGTTAATCAGTTAAAGCAAGAATTTAGTCATGTTAGTGCAACATAACAGCAACCAAACGTCAACAAGAATGGAAGAGCGAGCGGGCATATTGCAGGAGATATTTACATTAGTTGATATCTATTTGTCCATTGTAATTAACTCATTATTTCGCACCCATAACAAGCAATGGGCTCAAATACATGCAGATTTCTAATAGGATTGCTTAATAAGGAAACAGAGTGGTGATTCCTTTTGGTAACCAGACTACATGACACTGAAGCAAGGGAATACATCTCTGAAAATAGATCTCATCGATATTCTCACAAATTGTCACTGCATGCTTCGGTTTCCTTATTAGAAATCATTGCATATTACACTTCACCGAATAAAGTTTTTTAATGCTTTAAACCATGCAACTTTGTTTAAAACAAATTATTTTGTATTCATATGGCATCCGTAATCTCTAATATAAATAAACAATACATGGTCATGCAACTCCATTATTAATGGCACTCAAGAATAATAAGACAGAAATCAGATAAAAGGATTTAGATGACACACATTTTGAGAGCCAGACTTAAGCAGTTCACATTCATTATCTTTGATTATTTTCCTAATGTCATGTTGAGGAAATGAGGGTATATCTTTATCATTATATTATAAAATTTGCTTTATATACATATACATATGTATATATAATTTCTTTATAATACATGATACAAGCAGAAGCTGGATGACAATCCATCTTAATGCATCCAGATTAGTCAGAATACCCATGCAAGGATATGCAAATTCATTGGGCGTATACAAAGCCAAGACCAGGGGAGGCCAACCTTTTGGCTGCTGAGGGCCGGAGGCAATATTTTATCCTGATTGGCCAATCCCGTTGTGAGGCAGTGCCTGAGGTCCTGGTGACCATCTCTTGATTAGCTCAGGGCTTGCTGTCCGTATTTGCTCATCGGAAAATGAAGTTGGAAATGGTTCACGGGTTGGATTAAATCATCCCCCGGGCCTGATGCGGCCCACAGGCTGGCAGTTGGACCACCCTGGTCTAGACAATAAGGCTGATGAATTCATGTCTGTGCTCAGGGGAAAACAAGTTAGCAATAATTGAATGAGTATCTACTGCATTAATGAGAAAATAAATCCATTTGATGTTGCGGGGAAGAATTGGTCATTTGATATCAGGTTCAAGGACTGGACTCTATACATATGAAGATGACGATATTTGGGGGAGAATTCTTTGGGTGTCCTCTACAAAACCTACATTTTTTAATTTGTCGAAGACAAAGAGAGACAAATAACCCTGAAAAAAAAATGACGGAAGTGTAGGTGGTGATTCCAGTCCGTTAAAATAATTTAAAAATGCATACAATAAATAATTAAATAGCGCATGATGAGATCAGAAATATGATAAAAAGATTTCTAAACTCGGCACATTTATCTATAACTTCTCATGTGTTTTTGATAACAAGCATAAATGGTTGGAAACATGATTTGGTGCATTGAAAAGGAAATGTTCTATCCACACACACAGACAAAAAAATTAGATCATTCACTCCATGGGACATTGCTCTGCACAAAAATTGGCAGCCGTGTTCGCCCATAAAATACACAGTCACTCCACTTTACAGTATATCCTGTGAAGGGCTTTGAGAAGTCTCAACAACATGATAAGGCGCTACATCAAATGCAAGTGAAGATGAGCTATATGCAGTAAAACCCTGTTCTCTCTTCATTTGCATCTCCCTCGTGTGCGGTCTGAAAGTTGACGAGTGAAGTACAAACAAGCAAGAGAGAGGATATGTGCTAATGAGCAGTGAGAAAATATAGCTATTTCCACACACAAGGCTGAGCAGTTAATTCACAAGTGGCTTACAATCAGCCTCACAGCATGGAGATATTTAACACATTATATCTTCAGCTGTGGCATATATATATTTATTCCCCTGCTGCTTTTCTTTTCAAATATCTTCACCTTTCTCTCGTTCAATGTTATCCTGCACTTTGAGGGTACTCACCTTCACCTATAAATCCTTTCACACCCTAGCATCTCCTACCCCAACTCATCTGCTTGCACCCTACTCTCTTGAGTTTGCCATTCATCTTGCGTGCTCTCTGCAATCCACCATAATAATAATCCTTGAATTTGATATATAGCGCTTTTCATGTCTTCGAGACGTCTCAAAGCACTTCACAGAATATACTGTAAAGTGAATTGACTGCATTTTTGTGAGCGAAACGCGGCAGCTAATTGCGTTCAGCAGTGTCCCACAAACAAGCATGGATTGAAGTGACCAAATTATTATTTTTTTCTTGAGGGATTATTATCAGGCGTGTGGAGTAAGGAAAGTTGCCCAAGGTTTTGCCCTGCCGGGAATCGAACGCAGATCTTGCTTGTGAGGTGAGTGCTCTACCCACTGAGCTACAGGACTCCACTGAGCTACAGGACCATCCATATCAAATACTATCCCTAATCTCTGAAATTCCCTCCAGCTCCCTCTCTATCTATCTTTGAGTCTCACCTTAAAACATACCTCTTTGACCGTGTTTATGGACACTCCCCTTTCACCCTTCTTTGCTCTCCCATTTTCAGCGTCCACCCTGTCCTTCTGAAGCACTCCAAGACAATATTCTACATGAATGGAAGTTGTTCTTGGATGACAACTTTAACCGTAGAAAGACTATAGAATGTGCTCCAGGCGTCCACCAGGTATCTTCCTTAACGTCAATTCCCGCAAATTTAAGATTGTGCAGAATTTTGGAAAAATCCTTAACATTCATTCTTATTTTAGAACCTGGTTTTAAGAAGAACCTCATAGGTAAAATGAGGTAAGATTAAGATCTCTGGGACCCTATCATGTGTTATATAAATGCGAGTTGTTGTTAAGAACTGAAATGGGGAGTGGACGAGGAGGGAAAAAGGAATCATTGCAAAATGTATGATTTGGATTTGATCATCTCTTGTTTCAGTTTTTTTCAACAGGAAAGATGTTCAAATTATGTGTCAACATTCAATGGTGCAACGTGGCAATTATAATAATAATCCTTGCCTTTGATGTAGGGCCTTATCACGAGATTGAGACATGTTCACAGAATATATTGTAAAGTGGAATGACTTATTTTGTGGGCGAAACGCGGCACAACAGTGTCTCACAAACAGTCGTGGATTGAGTGAACATTTTTTTTCTTTTTGAGGGATTATAACCCTGGAAAGCAATCCGCCAATTGATTAACAACCGGGCTCCCATTCACTGCTAGGTAAAAAGTGTGTGGAGTAAGGAAACTTGCCGAAGGTGTCACCCTGCCCGGGAATCGAACCCGGGTCCTTTTGCTTATGAGGGGAGTGCCCTAACGCTACAGGACTCCACAATTTTTTATTTAGTACTGATCCTACCTGCAAGAATCCAAAACAGAGGGATTGAACGGCATCTATTTTCCAATCACACGGGTTTGGCTCACACAGAATAGATAACACTGAAATTCTTGCAGACATACTCACCCAGCCCAGAATGGAAAAGAAGGAGAAGGCAATGGCAGCCCTGGCAGTGTCCGCGCTCTGTTTGAATGGAATCTTCACGCTAGTAACTTGCCACTGATTAGCCAAGAGACAGAAGCCTACAAACCATAGGAATGTCCACAGTCCTGAAACAGAAAAAAACATTGACATTAAAAATAAGACAATTTTAGCAACATGTAGGGAGCAGCAGTTCCACTTGGATCTAGACTCAGACTTGTTTCTTAGGATTTCAGGGATTAAAATTTCTGTTCAGTGTTGTGCGTAGCACCTTTGACGATGTCAGAATATAATGGGAAAATCCTACTAGTGGCTGACACCATCAAGGGTAACACACAACGGGAATTGTGTCCATGAGAGTGTGCAATTTTGCAGTTAGTTTTAACTCCGAGGCTGGGTTTTCTGTTAAAAATTCTAAATCAAGATTGAAGTTGAGCATCATCCAAACTACTCCATTAACCTGTACCTCTTATGTGCTGTATTGAGAAGGATGCTGACCAAGTGTAGCACGGTATTTACGGGGTCTGAAGCATCATTTATTCCATGTTTCGCCCACAAAATATGCAGTCATTTCACTTCACAGTATATTCTGTGAAGCGCTTTGAGACGTCTCAACGACGTAATTAGGGGCTATATGAAATGCAAGGATTATTATTATTATGTAGGTTCTGTGGAGCTCTGCACTCATCAAGCATGGCAGCTTCCACTGGGCTCTCCTGGGCTCTCAAATACAATATGAATTCTAAGAATTGCTCACTAATATTTACAGCAACATTGTAAATATTTATCAAGGCTCTTTCGTTTGTCAACCTTCATTAGCCAGTCACCATATTTGTAGGAACACTCAAAACTCATTAAGTTTTCTCGATGTACATGTACAAGCTTTGTTATTGGTGACTCATCCAACAATTAGGGCTTCCCAATGTGAGGAAGGCATTATACAACAACGACTTGCACTTATACAGCACCCTCCATGCTGGGTAGCATCTCAGAACGCTTAACACTGGCAGAGCCTGACTCTGAGCCGGGAGGAGGGGAGAGGTGGCTGTAAGCACGGTCGAAGAGGAACGTTTTCAGGCGGGACTTGAAAGAGAGGAGAGAGGGGGCAAGATGGAGAGACTGAGGGAGAGTGTTCCAGAGTTCTGGGGCAGAGTGACGGAAAGCCCGATCTCCGTGTCAGTTATCTGTTTTAATCAGGGTTTAGAGCAACCACATATTCATGAGAGCTTTTTGTCAGTCTTGGATAAATAATTATATTTCCAGTACAAAATGTCTCATCAGAAAAGCGACAAAAGACAAATTGCAGCAATGTGCTGACTCATAGAAATATGTTCGTGGAGAAACTCAAACAGCCATAACCCAAATAGCTGTGTTCCTAAATGACTATAATAAGTACGATTTAAACAGAATTAAATTTGTGCAGTGCCATAAGGTTCTAAGTGTCAAGGGCGTTGGTTTATTTACTCTTAAACTGCTCAACAAATAAAAACGTGGCACAGAGGAGGGCAAGAATCCCAAATCTTTGCAATGCGTTTAATGTTGAGAAGGTTGAGAGAGGGCCTCATTGAGGGGTTCGGATCAGGTGAATAAGGAACGGCTATTTCCACTTAGTGCCTGAGATGATAAGGAAAGAGCATACACGTAAGAAATTTACCACATTAATGCTTCACTACATTGTGGGCAGTGAGTGAGCAAAAGGACATTGGTTTGGTTGCATAGCACAAGATTATAATAGTCCTTGCATTTAATGTAGCGCCTTATCGTGTCTCAAAGCACATTGCAGGATATACTGAAGAGCGAATTGAGTGTATATTTTGTGGGCGCAACATGGCGGCCCACTGCGCACATCAGTGTCGCACAGAAATGCCTCATTTGCTCATTCTACCACTAGAGGCTACATGAGTAATGACGATGAGCAGACATTGCCTCACCACCCTCTCTCAATAGGTCTTACTCGGCTGAAGCCAGAGAAACAGTGAACAAAGATCTCACTCAAATGACTTGTACTTGAAGCGAACATCACATAGGAATTACTGCGTCCAGCAACACATAAACACTCTAGAAACGAGCTAGTTAATTTTGTGTGCAAGATTTCACACGGGTCTAGATTTACTCTTAATTGCATAACATTTTCAGGCCATGCAGAACTTGGCAAATTCTTTAATACAGCTTTTTTTTTTAGCCCACAAAATAGTTGCAGTACATCTTTACACTTAGTCATGTGAAGTGCTGACGACGTCCTCCTGATGTGAAGCACGCTAAATCGAATGTAAGGGGAAATATTACATCAGTGCGGCAGGACGCTAAGCTTTACTGTGCTGAGCTATGTCTGACGCTTCAAATTTGTTCCAGTTCCTCAGTGCTAACGCTCTTCAGTTTATTTACTGCATTGACCACAAATTTCCGGCTAGTGAGTGTCAGATCAGAAAAAAGACTGGCAAGAAAAATCCAAGGTATCTCTCATTCACCACCCACCCCCCCACCTCACCGCCACCCCTACCCCCAGGCTGAACAGAAGACAATGAGGAAGTAATGTTATGAAAGTATTCGATTTCCGAACACCTGCTCCATCCCTGTTGCCTCTCGGAAATCGAATACTATCATAACATTGTTTCCTCTCACCATTTATATAAATGAGATGTGATATTTGATATAACATTCCACTGTCCATTGAGCAGGGCTGCTTATCTCTGAACTGAAACTAAGCCAACCTCTCCCCCAAAAGCCTGTGGATACTGGATCCATTCAGAGTTTCAAGCCTGAGGTGGATAGGTATTTGCTAGGTCAGGGTATTAAGGGATATAAGGCAAAGGGAGGTATTTGGAGTTGAAATACAGATCAACCATGATCCAATAGAATAATAATAATAATAATAATAATATAATAATAATAAAATGGCAGAACAGGCTTGAGGGGCTGAATAGCCTCCTCCTGTTCCTATGTCCCTATGTTCCCAACCCTGGGAGCAAAGGTACAGAGGCACCTCATACCAACCCGCACACTGTTCCAACATTTATTGCAAAATTGTATTCCCCGTTCAGTGGGATGAAAGGGAGCGAGCACAGACTATTTGTTTGGCGAGTGGCATGTGTGCTCATGGTTGAATGCAATGCCACAATAACTGAAAGGCTGCACTATTGTCAACTGGACTGAGCAGGAACATACTTTAAAGCTACCCACAGCAAGTCAGAGAATACAAAACAGGACTATTCACCAGATTGCTGGTTTGTTCATCCTATAAACGCATCGAATTTTGTCTGCAAAATGCAAACAAGAAGAAGAACAACTTGCATTTATATAAAGCGCCCCTCACGCTGGGTGGCTTCCCAGAGCACTTTAAGCGCATTAAAGTCATTACACTTCACAGTAAATCCTGTGAAAGCACTATATTTCACCCACAAAATATACAGTCAATTCACTTTACAGTATATTCTGTGAAGCGCTTTGAGATGTCTGGAAGACGTGATAAGGCGCTGTATCAAATGCAAGGATTATTATTATCACATATAAGGATTATGATTATTGTTAGCAGTATTTTTTTTCTAATTTGATTATTGATTTTATTTGATTTTCCGCGTCGTACCTGAAAAACCCAGCTCGAGCAGCACAGCGTATTTCCTGTCCTTCACGCTGCTGATCTGGGGGAAGTACAGATCCAAGATGATGAAAATGATGCAGGCGAAGAACGCTATGATACCGATCGTGATACCGTAATTGCAGGCGCTCTCGTTCTTGTTAAAAACACACAAGAGGGTCCCGTCCCCGAAATTGACGTAGCCTTTGTTCATGATGGAGGCAAACACCACGATGGAAAAAATCTGGGGAAGGAGAAGAGAGAAGAAGGAAGAATTAAGGCTGAAAACAATCAGCAAAATTCTTATCACTAAATATAAAGACCGCCAGCAATATAATAATCTTTGCATTTGATACAGTGCCTTATCATGTTGGTGAAACGTCGCAAAACTCTTCACAGGATATATCGTAAAGTGAAAACGTGATAAGGCTCTATATCAAAGCAAGGATTATTTATTGATTCAAGATGTTCTGCTCCTTCGGAAGATGCTGTAAAAGTTCAAGTTGTTGTTCGATATAATTTGCATGGTGTTGGCAACCCACCTCGGTCACAGAACTGAAGGGGTTAATCAGTGTGACAAATCAAAGGTCACACAGTGCAGATGGTGTGCAGGTGGGTGGTAAGTGCATGTGTAAGTGCATTTTCAGGATGGAAAATCCATCCAAAATCCCCTAAAAAAAAGTCTTCAAAAAAAAAGCCAGTGTGACTCAAATCCACAATGAAATGGAGAAGTTGTACCTCCGGTAAACAGTGTGATCGTCTGACTCAACAGACAGTTCAGGTACCAGAACCAAAGTAAACAGGGCATTTTTACAATGAGGTAACGTCCCCCAGAGATAGGAAGAAGCAGTAATTTGAGAACTGAATCCACCCTATACAACAACAACAACAACAAGATTCCATTTATAGAGCACCTTTCACATCGGGAGGACGTCCCAAGGCGCTGGACAGTTGGGTCGGGACCCGAGCATTGGGGGAAATGGTCAGGGGGAGGGAAGGGAGGGAGCGAGGAGGGGGGAAATGGTTAGGGGGAGGGAAGGGAGGGAGCGAGGAGGGGGGAAATGGTCAGGGTGAGGGGAGGGAAGGGAGGGAGCGAGGAGGGGGCAAATGGTTAGGGTGAGGGGAGGGAAGGGAGGGAGCGAGGAGGGGGGAAATGGTGAGGGGAGGGAGGGAGCGAGGAGGGGGTAGAGAGTCGAGAGCGGAGCTGAAGGCTGAAGGTCAAAGAGAAAGGTCTTGAGACCGGCCTTGAAGGAGGAAAGGGAGGAAGCGGCGAAGGCACTGGGGATGGAGTTCCAGAGCCTCGGGGCTGAGAGGCTGAAGGCCACCGATGGTAGGGCGGGGGATGTGGAGCAGACCGGAGCCAGAGGAACGGAGGGTACGGGCGGGTAAGTAGGAGGATACTATACCTTTGCAGCTTTCAACGTTCACAAGTATTTCTCTGTACATTTTGTTCCTCAATCTTAACGGTATCCATAAATCCCAGTACATCACACTTGTTCTGATTACTTAAGAGCATCGCATGAAATTTGGATCTCAAAAATGCTAAAGTAGATGTCAATCTAGGGCTCTCTCGCGCCCTATTAAACTTTAATACTCTTGCCCTTGTTTCGCCCACAAAATATAGTCAATTCATTTTACAGTCTATTTATTCTATGAAGTGCTTTGAGATGTCTCAAAGATGTGATAAGGCGTTGTATCAAATGCAAGGATCATTATTATTATTAACTATTCAAATGAAAACAGCAAATGTTAATAACCTTAGTGGGTGAATGGGCAATGATTTAATTACAATTATGATAGTAGGCCTCATTGTTGCTGTGCATTGCTCTACATTAGGACCTAATCTCACTCTCCTGCAGTTATGCATTTGATGGTTAGGGATTAAGCAAATCCAATCTTGTGAGTTCTCTGCTGCACATCAATGTTAATCACAGAACAGAAAGGAGGAACTTGCATTTAATTAGCATTTAACAAGCCAGAAAAAACGCCCTTCTTTTTCGATCTTTACTCAATCCAGCATTCGTAAAATGGATCTCTGACAATACAAGATTCTTAGAGAAATACACTGGAGAATCGGCATGGACTATGAGCTCAAATCACATCGCAACATGGGGCTTGAACCAACAACCTTCTGACACTGAGACAAAAGTGCTACCAGCTGAGCCTAACTCACATAGGAGCAGGAAGAGGCCATTCAGCCTCTCGAGCCTGTTCCGCCATTCTACCAGATCATGGTTGATCTGTACCTCATTTCCAACTCACAGGATGAGCTCTTTTTATTTGTCTTTGATCTTGATCCAATGTATAAATAACACAATGCCACACGGCAAAGCACCCACACAGCTACCGTGGATAGGTTGTACAGCGTCACAAAATCTCCACACTATTTGTTCAGTGCATGTGAATTAACAAGAGGCTGAGAACATTGAGACGAGACCGAGACGCTAACTTTGAAGCGAAGCAGATATATAATAATATAATAATAATAATCCTTGCATTTGAATTAGCTCTTTTCGCACCGTCTAGACGTCCCAAAGCGCTTCATAGAATATACTGTAAAGTGAATTGACTGTATATTTTGTGGGCGAACATGGCAGCAAATTGCGCACAGCAGTGTCCTACAAACAGTCGTGGATTATGGGACCAATTTATTATTTTTTAAGGATATGGCTGGTAGTTTATTTTTATTAGGGGGAAGGTAGAACGATAAACAGGGTAAAGCTCAGTATTGGACTTGTATAGACTGGAAACTCAGTGCTGTTCAGAGCCTGTGTTAACACACAGTTTGCTAAAGTTTGCGAAAGGGATTGGCTGGTGTCTGGCTCAGTGCAGTGCAGGAAGGTCCTGGTTCAGTCTTGTCGCTCTTAAGTTATTATCAGATTAAAAGTAAGCGGATGAGCGCTGAGGATGAAACGTATTAGCGGGTGTGGGGAAAGGGCAAGACCAGGATTAGGATAGATGGCTTCATTGGAAGAGCAAACACCGATACTAATACAACGGGTCGAGAAGTATCTTGCTGTGTTGTAGATTTCTATGGTTATTCAGTAAAAAAGACACATTTCCAATCCCTGTTGACAAGACACCGCATGCGTGTCGAGAAGCTTCTGTACATTGCTATGGTAAGGTGAAGTGGCCCATTGCTGTCAACTATCGCTGGGCAAAGGCAGGTGCTTTGTGATCTGTTTACAACCTCAGCAAGTCCTTCCTTACTCCAACAGCCTAATAATAATCCCTCCAAAACCAAAAACAATAATTAAATTGGTCATTTTCAATCCATCTCGAAGACGTGATAAGGTGCTGAATCAAATACAAGGATTATTATTATACCAAGCTTGATTGATTATTAGATTCTATTATGTTATCTGTTGGAAATGCGTTGCATTGCATTTTGCATCTGGTAAAATGCCCTAGTATTCAGATTAAAAATAGTCCTGCGGTCCTTTTCTCTCACTCCCACTCCCTCCGTTCTCCTAAATTTGCTCCACCCTCCCCTCCTCCTCACCTCAGGCGCTGACAGCATCACCATCCATGGTTGCATCCTCCACCTTACTAAGCCAGCCCGGAATTTTGGGAGTCTTGTTTGACCCTCAACTATCCTTTCTACCCCACATCTGTGCCATGACCCACTCTGCCCTCCCCACCACAACATCACCCGGATCCGCCACTGTCTCACTCTGCAGACTGCCAAAACCCTCATACATGCTTTCATTACATCAAGGCTTGACTATACAAACTCCTTGCTTGTCGGCCTCCTCAACTCCTCCTTCCATAGGCTGCAGATCATCCAAAACTCTGCAGCCCATGTCCTCTCCCGCACCAGGCTCCGTGACCCTAGCACCCCCATCCTCGCCTGACTCAACTGGCTTCCCATCACACAGAGGATAAAGTTCAAGATCCTCATCTTCAAAGCTTTCCATGGTCTTTCTTCCCCCTACCTCTGCCACCTCCTAACCCCCTACCATTCTGCCCCCTCCCTCCGTTCAGCAGGCTCCCTCCTGCTTCACATCCCCCACCCTGCCCGCCCTACCATTGACGGGCGGCCCTTCTGCCACTCTGCTCCCACCCTCTGGAACTCCATCCCTTAGTCCCTCTGCCTTGCCCATGCCTTGCCTCCTTCAAGACCCATCTCAAGACCCTCCTCTTCAACAGTGCTTTTGATCTCCCTGCTTCCCCCTGCCCTCCATTCTCCCCAATCCCGACCCCCAGCTTGGGTCCGAAACTCTGTCTGTCCAGCACCTTGGGACGTCCTCCCGAAGTGAAAGGCGCTTTACAAATGTAATTTTGTTGTTGTTGTTGCTGCTGCTGCTAACCCTCCATTTTTACCACAAAGCACTTTGAGATGCCCTCTCCATATGAAAGGCACTACACATATATATATATATGTGTGTGTGTGTAAACTGTATGATATTGTGAAAATACACAGCACGACATTTCACAGTAAAGTTGAAACGTGACTGTTTTTTCCTGACGTGAGAGGTGCTATTATCAAATGCAAGGATTATTATTATTTAAGTAAGGCATGGTAATTGTGCAATGGAAAGCATCAACATGAAATTAATATCATATTAGTGGTTAAAGAGAATAAATATTCGCCCATACATAGACTCAGGCACAAAATGAGGTTTGAATCTGTCTCTCTCTCACTCTCTCTCATTCAAATGATCTGATTTTAAAGCCAATATGAACCAAACAGGATTCACTAGACATTTCTGGATCGTCTCCAGAGGGTGGGGGTGGGGGGGGGTCATGTGTGACCCTTGTTTCCATAGCAACTACTAGAGAGCTGGGAATAAAATGTCAATTACGTGGCACAAAAACACATATGAATGTAATGGAAACGGAATGATTAGATCTAAATTTATAATAACCCTTTCTCCCCGAGAGGGGAAGGCATCAATCCTGATAAATGGCGTGCGTAATAGATGAGATGTTAAGCAGAGTGCTGGGAGCGAGTGCTGTAATTGTATTGTTGTGAAGATGAGAGACTGAGATTTTGTTGGGTTGAGTATCAGGTGCTCGAAGGCAAAGGCACTTCTCTGCCTTGATGTCTCGGGGTCTCTGACCAGCGAGTCTGTGAGATAATATCTGTCCTCCGGACGTCCTCCCGACGTGAAAGGCGCTCTATAAATGGAATCTTGTTGTTGTTGTTGTTGTTGTCCTCCAGATCTGGACGTGACTGTGCTTCAACAACAGCAACAACAAATTATACTTATCCAGCACTTTTCCTGTCAGGAGGACATCCCAAGGC